AGAGCCTCCTCGCCATCCCCACATCGCTGTAGGAGCGACTGTATAATTCATAACCCCAGTTGGTGCCTGTCAGGCTGTTTCACCGGCAGCGGAGGGGAAGCTGCCCTTAAGGCTTGACAGCAAAATCAGCTCACCTGTCCTTAACCTCACTGTGCAGCGTTCTAGTGAGAGAAAGTGGAGGACTGACCCTGTTTTAGTGACCTAGACTTACAGTGGTTGCACTTCTGATTGGCTGCATTTAAAGCTGTTTAGTTTGCTTATTTTAATACCTGAAACAGTTTCTATTAGAACAATAAATTAAATAGCCTGCTATATTATCTTATTGTATAGCCATATATTGGTTCACATTTTTTGAAATGTTGATTTTGCCCCAAGACTCAGTTATATTATAGATTATGTGACTGATGTCATGTTAACAGCCATGTTACATAATTAAACCACAAATCCATATGGAGTCTGTAGCGTTTCAATTACTTCATGTATTCCTATGGAGAGAGCGAAGTTGGTAATAATTCTCTGTGGTTTCATCAATACCAGCACTTCCTTCTACATTACATGTAGTCGGCCAATTTGTTGTGACTGTGCAGATTGTCCCCACGACCACAGCACAGTAGGGAACACAACCGGACTCTAGATGTGGTTGTGGTGTCAGTTCCAGTATATTCAAGCCTTAAAGACCCGGATATACCTACACAGACATTAGTTCTGTTTATACAACTTTCTGGAGTCCATTTGTAGGCCGCCAACAGGGAACCGCCTCTGTTCCACACCTTTGCACATTCGGAGCAAGATAAATTAGTTAGAAACCCGAACTGGAAACAAGATAATAGCAGGTTTTCCTTGGGAACCAAAGTGGATCATATTCTACAGGTTGTTGTGCAACGCCCTCTGTGGAGGAGCGTAGTGCCGCAACAAACTGGAAGTACACAGATGTCCACTTCACGCATACTGCTGGCTTACTCATAGACACAAAATGTTGGAATTCTGGCTTAACTGAGCGTCATTCCTCAACAATCTCTTTGACCTCTGTATTACCCCTTTTTAAAAAAAAGATGAGAGGCAGCTCATTTCAGCCTGAATAAAAGGTCTCTGATATGAGTCATTGTGTCTCCCCCTGAGCTCCCAGAGGAGGTCACAGACCCCAGGTTAGGAACCTCCAATGATGCTTTTTCACTAAGAGCCATTCCTGCCCCTGCGTTACAGTCCCCCTGCCAAGAGCTGTTGCATCCCCGCCCCGCCCCCCCACCCTCCTCCCTACAGCCGAAGGAGGAAGTGGTAATGTCAGGAATGATTAGGACAGCGGGGGTCGTTAGAGCGACTCTCCTGTCAGGGTTGTTGAAGATAACAGAGGTCTCAGGAGAGCCAACAGTCCAGACAGCTAACCTCTCCTCTGTCTCCCTTTTAACCTTAAAAGCCTCTTCAGCACCCACACCGACTGCTGTTTGTTTATTCATTTCCTTCTTTTTATGGCAGTGTGAGGTTCTGTTCTGGGCTTCTGCAGACAGAATTCTGCATGGTTGATGGCTGCAAAGAAGTGCCTGTTTGTTACGTCATTACTGCCATCATTGTAATTTTCTCAGCTGCACACTCTCCGACAGTACAACCTGTTTTATTTTGTTTGGTTCTTGGCATGAGGAATGATTTTGTTTGATAGTTGATAGGTTGTTTAAACTACGATTCTCTATACGCATGCTGAATTTGAAATGATGTATATTAGAATTTGTAGCGTAAGACTGCAATTTTGAAAAGTTTCATTGCTTCTTTAAAAGTCCAGTGTGTAACATTAACATTTATTTTTATTGGCAGAAATGGAATATAATATTCATGAAGGACGGCATGTTGAACCGCCATGTTTCTACAGTAGCACAGAATTTTGTTGTTGTTTGTTGAGTGTTTTGCGACCAACTTAGTTTTTCCCACACAGTGGGAAGGCTGAGCAGTATTCAGTTGGTTGCAATCTGCAGCTTCACCACTAGATGCAACTAAATCCTACACAGTAGAGCTTTAAATTGAAACGTTGTGAAACATCTAAATTTTAAAGAGCAGCTTAAAATGAAGTGATTTACTTTCAAATAAAAACAAAAAAATACATTGAGGGATAGAGCCTAATATTCACACTGAGATTGCATTAAAATTGCAATATTAAAAATAAGACCACAAACAACACAAACACTGGTTAAAACAAATACAGAATCTTAAGTTTTACAAGCAAAAAAGTCTGTATTTATATAATTTATTTTCAATTAGTAAAGTTAAAAGTAAAATACAGAATTTTGTGTTTTTAAAACAAAAAGTTTAAAAGTTTTTTCTGAGAAAGAAAAGTAAATTATTTCAACAAAAGATTAGAGGTGAGCAAAACCTTTTTTTAAATGAATTTCAAAATTTTAGACAGTTGCCCACAGTTAGTATGAGTTAATCTGGGGAACATGAAGTGTTCCTGACAGCTGGTTTGACTACCTTGAGGTCAAACAGCTCAGTCTTAACACAGAGGAGATTTCCTCTAATTGTGGATACCTTTATATTTGCCTAAGTAATGTTTTCTACTGACTGCAGTGTGATTTAAAAACTAAATACATTTTCACTCACTCACACTGATACTCTGCTCTGGGATTAGAAAGAGAAAGGTTTGGTTTGCGATCCAATTCAGTCTGTTTAGGTCACATAGAGTTGTCTCTGAGCCAACATGTAAAGCTTCTTGAAGCAAGGTAACTCTGTTGAGAGGTGTTTCAGTGTTTAGATCAATGATGTTTTGCACATTATAGGAGATATATCACTTACTGTTTGTGTTGTATGGGAAACTGAACTCAGCTTGTTAGTTTTGATGTACTCCAGCTTTTAATTAACCATCGAAAGTACCGATTTAGCTTAAATGGAGCAGAATCAATAACGGCTATTGATTATCTTCGCACTAATTGGCACAGTGTCAGTCATGGTGATAACATTTACACAGTGTCATTCAGGTGACCTGATGTTAGGTGCCGGAAGGTCACATAGGTTCACTCCTCTAATAATATTTGCGTAGTCAGTGAAGCTCCAGCCAGTTAACTTCCAGAAAGACTGAGAATATTATAAAATACATGAATGCTATGATGAATTTGAAATTGTATATTAATATTTTATGACAATGAATATTTCAGATAACTATTTCTCCTGCTTCCATTCTTATTCTTTATTGAACTCTGACACAAAACCACATTTGATGTCTTTGTATTATCTGACAGTCAAAAGTATAGTCCTCAAGGCTCATTTTCTATGGATTGGAAAAAATTAAGGATCAGATCAGTTTTTACAGATTATTACCTAGTTTTATGTCACTGCTTATCCAAAAGGTCCCCTTGTGATGAGCTCAGAAAATGCTTCCAATAATAGAAAGTGGAGAGGAAACAGTAACACGGTGCTCATTATGCAGCAAATGTGTTTATTGCTCAATATAAAACAATTAAAGACAAAATCAATCTTTAGTTATTCTTTTTCTTCTTTTGTCTATCAATAATGACCACACACTGCAAAATCAGCCCTTGTAGAAACAAGCCAAATACTCTTAAATACAATCACATTTTCTTGTATTGAGCAAAACAATCTGCCAGTTGGTTAAGACAGTTTTACTTGGCTAGAATTCTTAGAACTAGCATAAAAATGTAGCCATTAAAAGGCTGTAATGGGCCTTTAAAATTAGTCCCAAATTGTGTTTACAAACAATGAAAACTCTTTTTTAAGATAGACTTTTTTGAAAGTATTTTGGTCACTTTATTGAACTGAATTTAAGATTAATAATTGGCAAAAAATCTTAAATTAAGACACAATTTCTTCAAATGATGAAATGAAATTATTTTTATCATGTTGTATTAAAACAATGAAAAACTTAACAGCTGCTTAATTTCCAAAACTGGGACAAGACGACTTTCTCTTCAACTGAGAAGTTGTGCTAGTGGTCTTACTCTTAAAATAATTAATATATCTTGTTCCTCTGCTGGGATATTATGCAACCATTGTTGTTACTGGGTAAATTGAACTCAATATTAGCTGTAAAATCATACGAAGACAAAGTTAGATCTATTTGATGAAAACAAGATTACTTTTCTAATGCAAAATGTGTTTGACAAGTACATCAATAACCATCCATAAAATACAATTAGATTTCTGCAGCAGTTCAAGTAGAAAGACTTGCAGTGTGAACGCAGCCAAACGCAGACAGACAGAGGAACAGGGAGGGTTTGTGTGGTTGTGTTGTGTCTCCCTCTGAGCGCCGGGGCTCAAACGCAGCCCTGCAGCTCCTCGGTGACATGTGAGCACTCTGGGATTACATAAACCCTGTTCTCCTTGGGAATCATACGAATAACAACACTTAGTGAGGACTCTGCCTCGCCACTGATGACTAACCAGCAGGTAGTTCGGTCTCGGAGCTCAGCTCAGTTAATTAAGTGCTGACAGGCGGTCACATCATTAGGCACCCATCGATGACTTGCTCTTTGAAAGACAAAATTATTAATTATGTCAATTACAGCATTCGCAACACTTACACTGATTGCTTTAAAAGTTCTTATAGGTTTAAAAAGAGGTGACATTTCTTCCTTTTTAAAGAACACACACCGTCTCACAGGAGAATAATATTGGTTTCATATGTTATTTTATATCAAAGGAAGTTTAGAAGGGTGGAAGTGCAGGTTTGAGCCCCTCTGACAGTGAACATCTGCCCTACTGAAGTGTCCTTTAACAGGATGCTGAATCCCAACAAGCTCCGGGGACGTTGCTCTGCAGCCATGTCTGACCTCTGACCTCCCTGTATACCGGCCTTAAGAGAAAAGCCACATTTCTGCTCATGTGATGCACAGAGGGGGGAAAAGAAAGTGAATGAATCCCACTAAGGAAACTCATTAACATTATGAAATGATTAAAATAAAGTGTCTTTGTGGTGTATTCAGGTTGAATTTCATGGTTTTTATAGATTAATTAGGAAATTGTTTAATTAAAAGGCTTGAAATCAAACCAGTACAACAAGGTAATGCAGCAGACCAAGATGTAATTGATTTATTAATATGAACTGTAGGTTAGAGCTCAAACTGACAGCATTTTCCATATACAACTGATTGATGAATAAAAGGGCTTCTTTACATCGTAAGCAGGGCAGAAATCTAACAAAACCTTATTTTTACAATGGTGAATTATTTCTAGATCTATTCTAGATTAGATTTCCCAAACCATATCTTTTACATTCTCAAAAGTAAACATAACAAGTTGCTAACAGAGTAGAACAGATAGCCATCTTACATTTGCATTGTTTAACAGCAGGAAAACCTGATTCAACCAATGACATAAAAATATCTGAGTGATTAAAAGCGAAAGCATACAGTTTTAAAAAGTGTATTTTCTGCATGTTCAGATGTGTGTTACACAGATGTAATACATTCAGTGGTGCTGGTCAGACAGACATCACAGTCGCATCTCAGCGCGACGGGGTAGGTGTACATTGGGTCGACGTTCGGCAGGCAGTTGGGCAGTTTGACGGTGACCAGGCGGGTCTCGTTGTAGGTACAGACCCGCTGGTAGGACTCAATGAAGGGAGGGTCCAAAACGGGCTTCTAGAAATACAGAACGGACAAAACAAATAATCTTAATAATTAATATAAAAGTATTTGATGTTTGGAGGTTGGCTCTGACCATTCCTCTCTACAGAGGGCTTTCAGTTGGTGTAAAACAACCTGGCGGCCATATTTGAGGTCTTCAACGTATAGGACATTTTTCTAAATGTCCAACATGGCTCTATGTGAGCTAATATTATTATTCAGCTATGTGTTTTGTAATGTCAGCTGGTTAGCTATCCTTCACTGTTAACATCTTAAGTTTTGGCTAATTCTTCTGAAGATTTTGGCAGCTAACTGTTCAATTTTACCACCAGCTTGTTCCTGAATTTGCAAAGTACCTAGCCAACGAAGCCAACTCGGTCAAATTCAAGTAAAGAAAGTTCGTACAATTCGTAAAATTTTAGTGGCATTTAAATGGTTGCAGACTGCATAGAAGAGGACCTGCTCCCTCTGTAAATAAAAACAGCTCATTCAAGAACATGATTTGTTTTTGAATGCATTTCCTATCTCATAAAACAGATGGAAATGGTCATGCAAGTGCCTTTAGAGCTCAACACTCATCCAAGCATTGCTCTCCAGCACCCCTAGTGGCGAAAACATTCACAAGATTCCCTTTTAATTACTCTTTTCAAGCTACAAAACAACCTGGAGACCAGGCAGTTTCTCTCATCACAGTAATCAAATCCACCTTACTGGACTTTCCATTTTTAATACATTCTTTTGTTCATCCTGTCATTATTTGCACATAACTAATTTGCAAGTGAATCTCCATTTTGCCATCAAGCAGTGTTTGAGAGGAGATTTGCGACACATCTGCAAAGCCTCCATTAATTGCTTGTAGTGTTCGTGTTCCAGGAATTTAATCTTATTCTGCTGTTGCAGTAATTAAAAATCTCTCTATCATAACCTCGGCTGAACGCACAGAAGGTGAGAATCCTGAAGCTGCGTAGTTGTAATTAGAAGCTGTCCTATGACCCAAAGTTCACAGATGTGATCCCGGACCCGCTAACTGTCTGTCCTACAGACCGTCCCTACAGCGAGACATCGACTCCCTCCACTTGCATTCTGACCTCCCTGTGGGGTAGAGCAAACGAAAGGATGAGTCTCCTCCCCGAGGGGATCCAGAGAGTATAACAAAACAAAGCTCGGGCTTCCTGCGTGCACACCAGCCACACTGCAATAATGAGGCAGAGAGAATCATGAGCTTCCTAATGGCACTTGTCACTGAATACAATGTACCAGATGAAACTTGAGATTTCACAGCATTTTTTTTGTAATCAGTACCCGGCGACTTATGAAATCCAATTGTGTCTTTTATGCACTTGAGGCATTGTTAAGGAAACTGCTGCTGTCACTTCAATCTCTGGATTCCACACTGCTTTCCTCTCTCACACAGCGTTAACTCAATTTCACTGCACGCTGCTCCAAAAGCCTCCCGTCATCCTTCATTCTTATGCAAGATTTACACTTCAGACATCCCCCTCATTACTGTGCCACAAAAATGTGATCTTAGTAGTTTTATATTAACACAGAATGTATTTTTCTTGGACACACCAGTCTCTCTCTATCTGCTCTAATATTTGTCCGTCCATCTGCTGAATCTGTGGAGCAACTGAATCCCTGCACTCACAGCCGACCTTGCACTGACCTTCCTGTTGAGGGAGGAAAGTGAAAACAAATTTCCTCCATGGGGATCACCCATCTCTCCATCTCTGTACAGTATTTGTCTCACTGTCTGTCTGCCTGTCTGTCTCTGTGTGTATTTGGCTGTCTGACTGACTGAAACTGCATCTAATCCATCTTCTTCTCTTTCTCGAAACTGATGCAAACAGCAGACTGCATACTTTTGTGTAAAGTTGTCGGCTTTGCTTACGTCACCTCTCAGTATAACCACATTTACACTCGTCTCTTCTATGTGTGTGTGGGTGTGTGTGTGTGTGTGTGTGTGTGTGTACAGTACAGTAGCTGCTGTCTCCTGCAGCTCCTCACCTCCCAGGTCTCACAGCGCCCCCAGCAGGCGTCGGTGGTGATGTGCAGGCCCCCGCAGCCGGGCTTCTTGGCCAGGAAGGTGAACTCCCGGACGGCACAGCCAATGAAGCGCCGCAGGTTGACCGCTGACGCCCGGTGGAGGGAGTCCGGTTGAAAAGAGATCCAGAATAGAAGCCAGCACAGCACCAGGCCGGGCCTCCTGAGGGTGAGGAGCAACAAAATGCAACAATCTTTGTTACACATTGTGTTCATATTTGAAGGAAAGCTGAGAAATAAAAGAAGGAGGTTAAATAAGTTGAAGGAGGATTTTTAAGCACTGAGACAACTGCTGGTTTCTATTTCTACAAGTGAGGAAGTGTGCAACTAAAGCGGGGCAGACACTGAACCCCAACCAAGGATTTTCTTGCAGAAATCAGGAATATTTCATATTTAATGCCTTTCTTAACCACACAGTTCAGATTATCTAACTGAATGCATTCTGAGGTCTGTTCTGTCACTGTGAATGAGTCGTATTCAAGATGTACAGACACAGATACAGAACTAGTTTTTCTTGCGGCTGAGAGTGTCAATTATTATGTAAGCTTTTTAATAAACTTTAAATGATTTATATTACAGGAAAACTACATTTAATCTAATTTTGTAAAATAGTTGATAACCTATTGAGGTTAAATTCATTGCCTTCAGGGATTCATTTTCTTAAACGTCGGTCTCACTCTACCTTATCTGGTAGTTTGACAAGTCAGTGAACATGTTTAACGCTTTTACAGCTGCGTGTTTTATACCAGCCCAGATTGACTGTAAATACCTGGTACTGACGCCACTTTAGACAGAATTCAAGTATGTATGTCAGTAGTGGTCTTCACGTCCCTGCATCACACTGCAGCCAAACGTGCTGCGTTCAAGAGCCGTCTGCAGTGTAATGCTGCCGCTATCGATCAGCTAGAGAAGTTCTACGAGGGAACAAACTCCTGTATAGGTTTCAAATGTGAACAGTATGCCAGTAGACGTGACTAATATTGTCGGATTTGTATAAAAAGCTTTATTGTTTTGTTTTTGAGACTCACTGCAGGGTCCATTTAGAAGCTGTTCTGGAAGCTTTCGGTCATCTCATCACACACGCATCTTCATCATCAGTTTCCCCATTGTCACTGAAATGTTAAATGTTAAAATTTCCATTTCTTTCTGAAGACTTTAAGGACTTCTTGTTCCATGTTGCTTTTAAAAGTCCATTTGTGACCTTGCAAAAGGCACCCAGTACCCTCTAGGGTGCTAATCTAACCCTGACTAAGCTGTTTTACCATTAATGAGTCATAACTTTCTGCACACTAGTGCTCTTTTAATTTATTTTTTTTCCCCCAGTCCACCACTGCATCAGAGTACAATGCCACAACAACAGGGCCAACTCCTCCTGCTGATGAAGATCAGGTGATATGATCAAAAGGTCCAGAACAAAAATTAAACTGACCCTTGAGGTGAGATTGTCTGTTCAACCGCTGTTTGTTCTTTCTTCACTGTAACACAATAAGTTATTTTAACTAAATAGAAATGTTGAAACTGATTACATCGGAACAATTTTGTAAGTTAAACATGTTTGATGAAGCAGCTTTTACTAGAAAAAAGTACTTTTTGCAAGGTATTGTGTTTTCACATTACAAAAAAAGATTAAAAAACTAAACCAGTGTTAAAATTACTAGCGAAAGCTGCAGTTTCAACCATCTCTGTTAAATTTTGAGGTGTTATTTGTTTTTATTGCGCAGTATGTACCCAGGACTCCAGGAAATTAAAATAAATTAGAATTAAGTAAATTAATATTTTCTAAATTCACTCACCATTGTGACATCTTCTTTTGCAGTGTCATCTCAGCTGCAGCCAAACCCAGTGTGTTGACTACTGAATAAAATACTCTAACAGCTGTTTATCAGCTCTGAAGTTATTCTTTAGTGGTGTGGACGGCTAACATGAACCACAGCACTTGTCACTGTCTGCTCCTCAGACTCTGAACAAGCCAGGGCTTTTTATCACCCCTGTGTCCTGCCAATCAGAGTCCTCACCTCAGACTCCCCTCAAATCCCCCTGGAGGCCCTTCTACCTGTCGCTGCCCATCTAGTTCAGCCACCAGCTTGTTCCCACTCCATTAGCTCGATTAGGAGAAGAGTCTGCCCTTTTGTTCATAGTCATCCACATGGAAGAAGGGGGAACAATATACTCAAACACAGTGCCTACCTGTGTCTACTCTCACTCATCCGAGCTCAATTAGCCGGCTCCAGAGACAGACCCTGCTCCTGTTCTCACATGCCGACTGTGATGCCTGCACCCCAGAGCTCTGACAGTGCTTTTACCTTATTCTGCCGCTTTGTCTCATTCTTTTCATTATGTCCTTTATTTTTGTTGGCAGTGACATTTCCTCACACACACAGAAGCTGGCTATTACTGAAGCCATGTCTTGCAGGCTTTACCACATAGATCGTGCACTTAAAGAGATCGAAAAGGATGCATGTCAAAGAGGTTGTGTGTGTGTGTGTGCATCAGCCCTCGCATGAGACAATGACAGGAGGAGGAGGAGACGTGAGGAAGTGGGAAGAATTGATTTGGGTGAGTAAGCACCTCATCAAGAAATTACCATCGTCAGAGGCCCCGCAGGCACTAGCGTGGAGCCAGCCGAGCAGAAACTGCTCTCAAGAAGTTCAGGAAATGAATCTTTTAAAAGTAAAAGTTAAGGCCAAGCAATTAAAGTTAGATTAGAGGAAATATTGAAGAGGATGAGTCAGGGACAGGTTTACACTCCTCTCAGACACCCTGTCCTCCACACTATGAGAGCGAATTACCCATCTGGAGGCTATTATTGAGCAGCATGCAGGGTGTGAGGTAACAGAATGCATGTAATTGGATAACAGTGGTGATTACAGTGAGGTTAAATGTAATTCAGAACAAAGGGAGTAAGCCTGGATTTCCACAATCCGGCTTTTGTGCAATTATTCACGGATTGCAAATGAGAGATTCTCTTTAGGTTTTAGCTTCATTTTTTTTGTCATTAATATTTCTCAGGAAATTAGTGATCTTGACTATTGAGTATTTTATTTTTATAACCTGCCCTTTATAGTGGAAATTGAGTAGTAAGTACTCCAACCTTTCCTTTGCAGGTCTCCCAGAGGCCTGGTGGTCCCTTGTAGCAGCCAGATTATGCTTGGTTAAGTATAGTTTGAGATACTTTAGTATTTTCATTTTATGCTACTTTATATTTCTACTCCACTACATATTGTACTTTTTACTCCAATATCTATACCTAATGACTTTAGTTTCTATGCATTTATATGTTGTATTTTTAATGTGAATCATTAATAATACAACATATAAATCAACTAATATATGCTCCACCTTTACCAGCAGCAACAGTCGACAATGATAGCAGTCATACAGGGTTAGTGGCTTTTCTGCCTCACTGAAGTGAAGATGGTCTCATAAAAACTCTCATAAATAATAAAAGCATCCTTCTGAAGAACAGAAACAGTATATCTTTACAAACTTGATCACTTATTTTACCTCACTCCCAAAAACCAGTTTACTGCATGATGTTGTGCTGACCTCTGGTGCTCTGTTTTAGTACTGATACAGCAGCCGTTTAATAGCTTCGAAGCCTCTTTTACTTTCTAATTGTGTGTACTTTGTTATGTATTGTTCTGCTTATTATATGAGGGTTTTTTGTGTTTTACGTGTTCCTAGGTTTTATGTTTTGCTGGAGTTTTCCTTTTCTTTTTTTACAACTTATTGTATCAGGTTTCACTGTGTGGAAGTCAGGAAAGCACCTAAAACATCTCATTTGTGGCTGGAGAAACATGAACACCTCATATTTCTATGTAATTACAGCCTGAAATTAAAGGTAACTTCTACACAAACAGTGCCCCTTGTGCAATCTCTGCTGATGACCTTTAATAAACAATACTGTGCAGTGATGTATTAAGTCCACATAACTTTTATGTGTTCTTCCTTTATTTTCTGTTTTTTAGAAGCTATCTCAAGGTTTTTCATCAGAGGAAAGAATATCCAGTTTGATATTTTGCCAGTATAATATGTCAGGACACTAGAGCTCAGTGCAGACTTTAGCTGCTTTTCTGAACTGCTGAGCCAGCCTGTGTGAACTTTGACCTCTGTGTCAGCTCTTCAGGAATCTAAGGCACCCTGGGAAACATATGGAAACGTAGGTGTAGCAGTTGCTTTTGGTTCATTAGCACAGTATGGGCACTGACATAAACCCAAAGGCCTTTTTATATTTGGGTGGAGTTCCGTTAATACGTTAAAATAAGTCAAACAAAAAGTCAAAATAATTATTTCACTTTTAAAAATCCATCCTCCAACGGAAATCTGAACTTTCCTGCAACAAAATAAATGCCAGATAACATTTTGACATTTCGTGTAAGGTTGTTTAATACATTAAAAAGACATTTGACTTTTGTCAGTTCAAATGTTTCAGAAGTGTAGTAGCAACGTTCAGATGGCTAATCCAGCTAGCTAGTAATAACTGTAGCAAAATGTAATTTATCCTATTCTGCAATAAATTAGTGTCCACATCATCTATTAAGACTTGCGTGTCTTATTTGTAATTGTTGGTCATAAATGAATGGTCAATATATTTTAATTTTGTTTACTTTGAGTGGAAAGTTTGATTAAGTTATCTTCTGATACACCACAGCAGATAAGCTAACGTTAAGAGTTAGCGAGCTCAGTCTGAGTGCAGTTTTAGTGAAATACCACTGTATGGGTGGAGGGTAACATTATGCTAATGTGGCCAGCTAACATTACATTAGCTACTCAAGTCAGCTTTATTGTCAAATATGCTATATTCACAACATACAGCACTGATGGAATTTCAGTCCTCTCGGACCCACGGCGCAAACAGGCAATAAAATCTTTCTATAAATAGAAAAGACAAGTAAACAATCAACAAGACATAAAATAAACAATCAAGAATTTAACAGACATAAAATAAACAACAATCAAGAATTTAGGCACTTGGGTATCAACATGGTGAAATAAAATCGGATAAATTAGTCAAGTATTTAAACAAAATAAAAATAACAGATAAACAAACAAATAAACAGTGGAAAGTGAAATGTGCATTCAAGTTCTAGGTTAACTACATTCCTGGGCTGCCTAAAGCTAAGTTAATCTCTTTTATTATAAGTCTGTTTGTCTCTTTTTCCTCTGTTAGTAGTTCATATTCTCCCCTCAGTTTCAGTCTTTAAGAATGAGGGAACCAGAGTTGAATTTAAGCTCCCAGGTTTTGGATTTGTTCCAGAGTGAACTGACATTAAACTCCTATTGTTGTTGGTGGATATTTAACCCAGGTTACAGGCTCCACCAGTGCCAACCTCTTGGACAGGGAGTGTGTGTGTGACTGCTTTCTATATTTAGCCTCCCAGTGAGTTTTTTCTTTTTTTGTTGCAGGGTCCCAGTATGGCTCTGGCTTCTCCGGTGACAGCCCGGCCCGTCCTGGAGCTCTGACTGTGGACTGCAGATCTGTCAAACTTCAGGTTTCATCTCCACCGAGTAGCTTCTCTCAGAGCAAGACCTGCTCTTCCACTCTGGAAATCAATTATTGGCTGTACCTGCATCCAGCATCTCCACCACAAACACACTCTTCTGCTGCATGTAAGTACAAGCAACTTTTTATTTACTAGAAACTAGAAACAAGAATGCACTGGCTCTTGACTGACATAATCCGGCTGTAATTGATCCCAGATATCATCAGTAATGTTGTGTGTGTGTGTGTGTGTGTGTGTGTGTGTGTGTGTGTGTGTGTGTGTGTGTGTGTGTGAGTGAGTGAGTGAGTGAGTCATGTTAAACCTGCAGGTCAACCGCTTGTTTATCTGCTTTATCACAAAGTCCTCTGGTCTTCCTCAAGGACTCATTATAGGTCTGAACTGATCTGAGAGCAGCCGTACACACATGTTCCCTGTTGCTATTTTTGGGCCCTGACAGCTTCATAACAGGGACACTACCACACATTCCTGCAGTCAGAGGGAAGCGCACACTGTTACACTTCATAATATACAAGCAGAAAAGTAAAAAACTGTCAAATTCCATTAAAAACATTGTAAATGGTTTGAAAATAAAACTAAATATGTCATAAATATTATGTTGGTGTAATATTTACACACAGAATAATTGCATGCATTTGTATTCCTTAAAACATTACATTTGACTTACCTTTTTCAATATTTTTAGGGGGACATTTTATTGCATCACCCCATATTTAAACACTTTGACAAGAATATGAAGGGTAAAACCATCTGAAATAATGATAATAATGTTTAATACTGGCTGATAGATCTTCGGACATCTGCTCTTAAATTTAAGTTTATTCCCCTAAAGACAAAAAAGCTTCTCAGAATATGTGATTAACATATTACACTACTCACAAAAAGTTAGGGATATTCGGCTTTCGGATGAAATTTCAGAATGTACATAAAATGCACTATAACCTTTCCAGGTGATCTTAATTTGAACTTCTCTACTTAAATGCCCTACTTTCATGATATAATATCACTGTAGCATCAACTTTTTACATTTTCATTAAATTTCACCCGAAAGTGGAATATCCCTAACTTTTTGGGAGTAGTGTATTTTTATGGTAGGTTGCTTCAGCTATAATCTATTGCAGTTTACCCACCAGTTTATTGACCAGTGCATCAGTGGTGTATGCGTTTTCATCTGCATCTCATTGGAGATTCCACATCATATTAAAGCTGCAGTAGGAAACTTTTATAAAAAATATCTTTGAAACGTTCACTGTATCCTGACAGTAGAACATGAGACTCCTCCTGGTGCTCCTGATGGCATTTGTAAGAATCCACAAATACCCCCAAAGAACAACCAACAACCAATCAAAGCCAGGAAAGATAGAAGAGACACTTTAGGTTGGTGGCGTGAAGAGAACTGATTGTTGAGTCGGATTGACACTCAACAATCTTTCTCCGCTCTGATTGGAGGCTTTTGTTCAGCCATGGCAGATTCTTACAAATGTCATCAGGAGCTCTAGGAGGAGTCAGAGGAAGCTGATTTCTTTTTTATTTATTTATTTATTTTTTTAAGATTATCTGTCTTATGTTCTACTGTCAGGATAAAGTGAAAGTTTCAGCAAATATGACAAGAAGTGAGCAGCTGTGATGTTTGGGCTGTGTGTGGATGTGCATGTTTGTTCTGAACTTATTTCAGATGATTTGTTTAGAGACATCGTGGCTCTTCAAACTACAAAACTGTTTACCAGTGCTCTTACTCTTTATAAGACAGTTTATGCAACATTTTATAAGCTATAGGGCTCATTGTAACACAGCATTTCTACTACTGTAATGAACCACTAGTTGAAACTGCAGCTCCTCTGTTATCTCAGTTACTTTATTGTTGGGTGCAATAATGTATGTTATTGGTATGCTGAATATGTTTATTATTATTTCTGATATTTAAGGGTTACAGTTAGGGATGCACAATAAGGATTTTTCAGAGGATACAGATCATTTCTATTTTTCACAGTTATGTTTTCATTATCAGAGTAATTCACAATAATACACATTTTTCATTATCAACCCATAATTTATTGGCCTGATATATATTGTATATCCATAATCTCTACAGTTTGTGTAACCACTGATTTCTGATGGGGAATTTAGTTTTCTAAAGGCTATAAGAGTTTTGGTAATGCTCAGTATTATGGTGCCAGTGGAAACTCTCTCCATGTGTCTCTGTGAGGAAACAGAGGAATCCAGAGGTGTGCTTTGAACTTAAAACATAAAAACATTTCTGACAAGTGAATCCACACTTCCCAGCTGCCAAAGCAGATGAACAACATTGACACAACCCACCGATGTAGAGGATAATTGAAGTTAACTGAGGATGGTTCTGCTAAGCACACCCGATTAGAAACGTATATCATGGCATGCAGTGGTAGTATGACCCGGTTCACTGGCAACATACCGCGGATCAGGTGGACAGTGAATGCCCAAAGGTTGGAGCGGCAGGCTGCGGACCAGAATGTTCAGGAAAAGATAGACAGGGACTGAAACTAACACCTGTCTCTCTGCATGTGACTCGAAGTAAGAAAAGAGTGGCAGTGACCTTCTCACAGTCAGCTGATTTTTTTTGCATTGTTAAAAATGCATCCAAAATACTCTCCTGTATTTTTCTATAAAATCAACCAAACTCTTATTGCTTTAAAGCTTTCAAGGAGGCTTTATTGGCAGAAATGGAATATAATATTCAAAAGTATGTTTTCATTAGTGCATAATCACCTGAATATGAGGACTGTTGTGTTTTCATTACCTTCAAATGAGTTGTTTTCAGTCCGCCATGTTGGACCTCCATGTTTCTACAGTAGCTCAGAACAGACAAACCAAACACAGGCTGTAGATAGGGCTTTGTTTTACATTTTCCGAGAGTTTTGCGGCCGGCGTAGTTTCTCCTACCTACAGGCTTGGAACGGGAGGGTGAGGCGAGGGGGTTGTAATCTGCAAGATGAGATCTGCTACATGCTTCATACTGTAGCCCTTTTTGGAGGGCCAAATGGGATTAGGGTGAGAAATTGCACAACAAAGTCTTTCAGTTAAGTATTAAGTATTATACCCAAGGCAGCTCTCAGTGCAGTGTGACGTTACCTCATCAAAATGTCCGGAGATCACAATGAGAGTACACTGGAAACCTGCCTGCAGGATATTTCTCCCCAAATCACCTCTGTGTTGTGAAGTGAAAGCAGAGATTACCTCTCCCATCAGCTATTGTCATACGTTCCAGGGTGTGTCTGCGAGTGCTGCGTGTGACAGGTTCAGCCACACTGACTGTATTGATTTATCTCCCAGGCTTACACAAAGAGCACAAAGACATGCTGGAACTGACTTCCAGAGAGCTAATGAGAGTGTGTTGTTTTGACCGAGGGAGTCACGACACTGATGGTGATGAGAGGGAAGCACCAGCAGAGAAAGTTGTTGTTGTTGTTGGCAAACCTGATGTTGGAATGTGGTAATGTGGTTTCCACAGGCGTGTTACTACTGTACAAACTGTCAGGGTTTGTCCCAGCAGGGCTGCAACAAATAATCCTTTCTATTAATGACTAATCTGCAATTATCTCCTAGATTAATCATGATCGATTGATTGTTTGGACTATAAAATCCCAAGGCCTTTTGATGTCTCGTTGTCAGTCCAATACCCTAAAAGATATTCAGTTTAATATGATATATAACAGAGAAAAGCAGGAAAACTCCATATATGAAAGGCTGAAAACAGCATTTCCTTCCATTTTGTGCATGAAAGATTTAGGGATTAATCGATTATCAAAATGGTTGTCAAAATTCTTTATCTGTCCATCAACTAATTGTTAATTGACTACTTGTTGCATCTCTATGGCCCCATACTTTAGTTCTGTTCTGTTGGTTACATTTTAGTGCTTCAGTTCTACTCAGTTATGTTGTATTCGATCCACTTCAGTCAATTTAGCTTTAAAGAATAAAAAATAAAAGTAACAGACATAGAATTTCTCATGTGTCATAAGACATACTTGCTATTGAGTGATCTGTTAAATCAGCTGAGGTGTGGAGCTCTGACGCGTGAACATGATTGAATGCATCCCTCCCTTCCTCCCCCGTCAACCTCCCCACAGGGTAAACAATAATGTGTGTGCGCCTCCACTGTATGAACACGCACATAAATACATTTAAAAAGGGTGTAAAGCTGGTGTTGAGGCCTCATGACGTTCCCCCTCCCTGCGCTTTTTCCACAGCAGTGTGTTTCCCTGCCGTCCGCCTCGGTGCCACAGTTAGAGCTGACAGGAGTGACTTGTGACTTTGACTTAGGGAAACTCCGTCACAGGCTCGCTCTGTTTGTGTCTCTTCTGTCGCTCACTCATAAGTGTTTTTTTCTGACTCGCTTTTTTCTCCTTTAGGCCACTCTTTCTCATTCTCTTCCGCAGCATTTAACCCAAATTTTGCATCTTCATCTCTATCTGTCTTCATCCATTGTGCCTGACTGGTCTTCCTCTCTTTCTCTCTCCCTCTTTTAGTTAGTTTCTTGTCCTTTTGGAAATGTATTCTTCTCTTGTGACATCAGACAAATGCAGCAAAACATTACCAATAAAGACAAATTGATAGTAAAGTGATTTTCTAATATACTGATAACACCAACAATCAATAATCACATACAATCTTAAACACCCAAATCAACAATATATTACATTACTTTTTTTAATAAAAATATATTTGGCTTTAGGTAGAAAGGTGGTTCCTCTGTACTATGTATATTTTGACCTGATAGCAAACATTTTGGGGAGGTCAATATCTGCTAGTTAACAATACTGAGAGATGCAGACTTCACTACAAAATCGACTTTAATTCTGTTTATTCTGAACCGACATTCATTCAATTTGGTTCATTTAAATGTGAGGAGTTGAATCTGATACCTGTTACTTGTAGGAATAAATTCAATTCAAATTTTGTGCAGCAGCAGGCAATGAGATATCTATGTTTCTATATCTATGATGGCAACAACTCAAATTCACTGGAAAGGACGAGATACATCACCGAGAGACTGCTGTGACTCATACAGAAGTGTTGTTAAGATGTCTAGTGTTTACTTGACATCTTAACAACCTTTCACAGTTAGTTTTATTGGTTAGAGACAATGACAAATACGAAGCAAGAAAAGCTCCTATAAATGATATATGTGTGATATCTGAGTCCCATTTCTCTTTTTTTATTTACAGCACCTTCTATCTTTCTCTTCTCTTGTTGCTCGTTCTTCCTCTCTCTACCTCCATCCCTCTCTTTCTCTCAACCCTGTCGACCAGCTCTCTCACCTCCCCCGGTCACTGCAGCTGACGTGAAGCCTTGGGATAGCTCGAATGCCGTGCTATAGTGGTTTAACCTTCCCCACTGGTCCTTATCTATAGTTGTGTTTTTAGCACGTGTTAACTGCTGCAGCACTCTTGTGTAGAGCACTTGAAGGCCAGATGCATTGCACCAATTTATTTAATTTAACACAGTGCTGTATCACAGATTCTGGTGGTGTCACGTTATATCACTGTATTTTTTTTTTTTTATATCTATTTTTTTGCATGACAGGTTATTTTATATAGGTTTGTAGTAGCTTATTGTACTCACAGAAGGACATAGATTATAAACATGTTATTGTCCTTATCTATATACTGTGGACTTTAATTAGCATAGGGGTTTCTTGTCCCCATAAAATGATGCTATATTCAAAGAGATATGTCTTAAAGCTGCAGTACGCAACATTTACATACTGCAGCTTTAAATGTTCTATTGCACAAGAAACAAATGAGGTACCGCTGTTGTTCCAGCTATGCAGCAGTATGGCGGGTTAAAACTAAAAAAATGTTTTTTTGCTGATAATTTCACTTATTAAGTTTCTAATTATTTAGCCAGAGTTTTACAAAAGGAAGTAATGTGATTTAGTGACACTGTTACATACTTGCAGCCCACTGCAGATAAAGTCCAATATAGAAAGACAGAAACCAACCAGAATAATTATGTGTAGCTGACCTTACAGCAGGCAATTTGGTGAGCTTGTAGGATCTTGCTGCTTATATATTGGCCTTTCTTATTTCCGATGTTTGTGGTAATCTAATGGCATATCCAATTTAATTTAAGGTTTTGCTGATAAGATCCCAGCATATATTTATGAACTCTAGGCAACATATTATAGAGACAGGACTGTGTTACTGGCAGTTCCTCAGTCAAAAGCTTCTGCCATTGTGGCCCCGGGGTCTGCAGCAGCCTTTCTGTAGACATAGTGTGTCAGAGTCTGAAATCGAAAGACTGAAACTGCGCCTGCAGTGTCTTACATCTTAAATCGTGCAGACAGCCATAGCACTGATGTTGTTTTTCTAGTTTGTTCTGTCATTGTGTCTACCATGGAGGTTGTGGTTAGCAGGATTCGACCATATCGCAAATGGCAAATGATTTATATGATATCAGAAAATATCAAGATTATTTCATATATAATTATTTCATCCATATCACACAGCCTTAAAGCTGCAGTAGGTAACTTTTATAAAAATAACTTTTTGTCATATTTTCTGAGATTTTCACTATATCCTGACAATAGTACATGAGACAGATAATCTGTGAAAAAATAAGCTTCCTCTGGCTCGTTCTAGCACTCCTAACAGCATTTGTAATAATGCACCGGGCCTGAATGAAAGCAACCAATCAGAGCAGGGAAAGATATAAAGACGCTTTCGGTTGGAGGCTTGATGATAGTTGATTTTGAGTCCGAGGGTCCCAGAGTATCTGTATTTGATGCCATGGGAATGAGACTGAACAATCAACCATCTTTCTTAGCTTTTTCACAGATTATCTGTCTCATCTACTTCTGTCAGGATATAGCCTTGTGAAAGTTTCAGACAATATGACAAAAAATATTTTTCTAAAAATGAAACATAATATTTATCTACATTTTTGCCTCTGCACCAATAATTGCCCATGTTTTTATGATTTTAATGATACTAGTGCAGTGCCCGTAGGAAGTATGTATTGCTATAGAAAATGGGAGGTTAAGTAGCTTTTTCATGGATGGCCAAATGAGGTTGTGTTTGAAGGTGGGACGTCAGGGACATTTAGGTTTGTTGTGAAATGTGTAGATTGATAACTATTGTGTTTTCATATAATTTGTCTTTTAGCAAGGACACTGTAGGGAGATGAACCCCATTCCACTAATGTGAAAGTACCACACCTCATGGTCAGCACATATAAATTCTGAAAGAAGAAAGTGAACTACATCTGAAATGGAAGAAACCTGGCAGCATAAACAGACTAACTTGTAGCATAGCCTAGTAAATGAACTGGGCCGGACATATTATTTAGCCCTGTAATATAGGCTAGCATATATCAGAGAGAGAGAGAGAGAGAGAGAGAGAGAGAGAGAAATGGCAGTAAGGGTTTCCACATCAAAAAATTTTTTTGAAACTACCAATATAGTGTGAACGGATAAGCCGACGGCGCGGAGCGAGGGCGTGTCGGTCAGACAGTCTGATAACTGCACAGGTCTCTCACTCAACTTAATACAGAGAAATGTCCCACAAAGCAACGTTACAGGACCAAACAACAGTAACGTAGTAACTGTAACTGTCTTTGGAAACTTACATGAGGGAAAAAAATACCACAGCTGTACGTGGAGAAGCGTCTGTCCTCCTGTCTGTCCTCCCGCCTGTCCTACCGACTCTTCCGTTACATTTCTGCCCGAAAAGCAGCGTCTGTCACCGGCGAAAAACTCACAGAGTGTATGCGATCAAAAATCACCACGACCGCCAGCCCTCCGGACCGAGACATCAGTTTACTTTCCACCGGAAAACATTCACCGTCTTGCGAGTGAGGGAGTATAATTATGTCATTTACAGTGAAAAACGTAACTTCGTCACTTTCCAGGATGTTTGGTGGGTCAGGATCTCAATCACTACACATTAGGGCTCTGCAGTGATTGGCTCTGGTGCGTACGTGGCTATGGTGGCTATGGTAATGCTAGCGGAATTCGTAAATCATTTATGAAATAATTTATTAACGGTATCTTTGTAGTCCAAGCAAAGCCGACGTTGCAAACCCTTAAACCACACAGCAGCCATGTTGAAACTCTCAGGTCAGTCTGATCCTGATCTGCAGAGATATTTGAGCCACACACACACACACACACACACACACACACACACACACACACAGACAGAGATTCCTTGCTTTATAAATAGATAGATAGATAGATAGATAGATAGATAGATAGATAGATAGATAGATAGATAGATAGACAGATAGATTTTATTATTATTATTTTATATTTATATTTGTAAATGAGATCCCACCCCCCTGGCACTACAGGCAGGTCAAAACAAACCAACAGCTACTATTTGACCTGGTTTGCGCTGCTTTATTGGTGAGGCCTAGTGCTCCTTCACACTGTTTTATTTTAGCCTCACTCACCTGTCCGTTCTCCTAAACTGTCAGTCACGTTTGTGTTCAGCAGAAAAGGACGCTCCAGTCAAATCAGAAGCACCTTTTCGTTTTTCAGTGTGATTTGTTTAGGCAGGCAATTTTGGAGAGATTTCTAAATGTCACGCATTTTTCTCACCCCACTTATATATGTCCTAGGGCGAGACAGAACAAGACAAGCCCAGCACCCTTCATCCAGCACCTAATGTTAACTGACAAAACAGTGTTTCATTGCTCTATGAATGATGATAAGCTCCACTGGACTGTATTGTTGTATTGGTTGAAAAAGTTGGAAGTTGTTGGACTTGTTCCTGTGTGTGTGTGTGTTTGCTGTGCTTAAGGTCCAAACCCTTCTGCTGCCCTTTAAAGAACTTTTAGACAAAGGTTTTTCAACAAAAGCAGTTTACCTGACATTGGTAAAACAGATGTTCCCTGATTGTTATGATCATAATGACCTCCCCTCCAATTAGCTTGTAGCTATATCTGGTGAATTAAATGAAATAAATCTATAAGTTTAATGTCTTTAGATCATCCATCAGTCACTCAGTATTTTTGGTGTGAATTATGGGATTATAAATAAGGTTCATGAAATTGTAGTGGCCATTGCTCTGCTTAGCATGTTGGGTTAATTGTTTGTGCATCATGTAAAATAGCCTGCAATGGTACTGATTGCATTTTTACAATACGCTGGGCAATTATTAATTCTTTGCTTTATTGCAACATTTTTAAAATCTATACTGATCAGGATATAATCATGTCGGGTTGGTGCACAGAGACACCGATACCCAATACCGTATTTTAGGCAGTATCTAGTGTATTTATACATCTATAGTCCTGATTTGACTATTCCAAATGTAGATGAGTTATCAATGTCTGCAATCATTGTGGCAACAACCACCATGGTCTGCAAATAATGATTCTACCTCTGCAATAGATACTAAAATATATGTACTTTTATTAATCCCGCATTGATTTTAGGATATCTTTTGGACAGAAAGTGAGCTTTAAGATCCAGATGTTCTAACACAGCGGGATCAGACCTTTATCCCTGCAGAGATAGTGTTAAACTTCTCTTTCCTCTCTTTCTTTCACAGCGGTGCCATGCTGCCGGGAGGCTGTGCATGAGAAAGTATGTCGTCAGACTTCTACTCCAGAGATGACCTGGTGGAAAGGGGGGCCATCCCCCTGGACATCGACAACGTCCACTTGCTGCTGCAGGGTCAGTCCGTCTCCTCTTACAGTGCAGTAATGTTAGTGTTTTTATGGTATCTGAAAGAACAGAGCAGGTCTTTTTTGGACTTTTCTTGCTCTCAGTTTTAGGTTATTACAGTAAAACCGTGGTGCTTTTATAGACTTCAAGCATTCAAGCTAGACTGAGTGAAGGCTCGTTGTTTCTGGTCTCTGCTCAACCTGAGACAAGTCTGAGGTCATGCAACTGTAAAAAGAAAAGCCCCATGTCTTGATTTCACTGTTTTATCTTGGTTACTATGGCAACATAATAAGTATTAAGCCTCAGTTTTCTGTCTCACTCAGGGGAGCAGTGTGATGACTCTGTCTCAGTCCACTGCTGGCTCTGTCCTGTTTCACTTTTGTCACTTTTTTTTTTGAGGTCATGCTTGTTTTAATCTGCTGAAACTGAACTCTCAGAGAGACGTGAGTCATATCGCAAAGAGCCCTCTGCGGGGAGAGAGCAGGAGGGTGGAGGAGATAATTAACTGCTGCTCGCTCATTAAGTCGCCGTCTCCCAGGGCATTTTTGAAACATCTGAAGCAAAACTGATGCGCTGTAGGGTTGTTATTTGATCGTGTATGGACGACATATATCATCAGTTCTCAGCATTTCAAGTGGTTCAAATGTGTCGCTTTATCTGTGAGATTTTGCTGTTTGAACTCTGGTTTCATAAAACCTTTCATTTCAAAATGTTCAAACTAAATGATTAACGCACTGTTTCCTGAATAAAGTTACAGGTTTCTGAGTTTGAACAGTGTGAGAAACATATGGGGCTGTATAACTAACAAAATATATAACTCTAGTTGTAGTTGTAAAGCAGAAATGTTACATATAATAGCTTTAATTGTGTAAGGCATTTATCAAACCAAATTCCAAACTTTCTCTGGTTTCATAAAATAAGAATCATTGTAAATTGAACACCTCTGGGCGTTGGACTGCTGGATGTTACCTTCATGAAATGTGAAGCAAATTGTCGTTCCTGTTTTTTGACATTTTATAGACTAAACAAATGACAAATAATCACTGCTTTCAAAAACACTAAACTCAAATGACTTACACACAAAGTTGTGACAGAATTCTACATTTTACAAATATAGATTTACACCATTATCACCGTATTGTGATAGAAGGGTTTGTGTGACCCCGGGAAGGTTGTCTGGAGAAACAGTTCCAGGTAGGGTCTTTAAAACACACTGGGCCTAGATGGTGTCGCGCATCTGGATTGCGACTTCTTTGCAACTCGTTTCACTGCATGTGGCATAAGCAATGTGCCACTTTCAGTTTCAGTGTTCACTTTATGTGTGACATTTGCAGGAAGTTTTTGATTCCTGCTTGAACTGCGTCGTATCTCAGCTCTTTTGCTTGTTAGTGAGACCTGGTTCGTTGTTGTTAACGTTGATTCTCTGGTGGCGAGGTCGCAGTGTGGACAGGCGTCTGACACTGCTACATCTTTTCTTGAGCCTTGTGATGGTTACACTATGAACAGATGGCAGCGCAGGCTCTGAAATGGCCATTGCACTTTTGTTTTTCGATCTTGTCTCCTATCTTTCTTTCTGTCTTTCTTCCAGTTCTTTTTATTGCCTCTCCACCTCCTTGTTATGTGGATTGTTTCAGGATGTTTCCTACATTTTCCTGATGTCCCTGTCGGCCTGTCCTTCTCTATCCACCCACCTCAGTTCTTCTCCTTAGTTTTTGGGTCCATTCTTGCAAGCTTCTCCACTCAACTATTTTTAGCACATGACTCCCCACATTTAGAACACAGAGGGTTTATTTTAATGAAAGCCTTGTAAACGTTTTTCCAGCTATGTAATTTCCAGGTGGTACAATGTGCAGGATGGATGATGTAACCCTCACGTCCCCATGACAATCCAGCTTGTTAAAGTGTGAAAGGTTTGTTTTTTCTGTGTGTATTTGAAGCGTAATGATGAAAGAATGTCGGTAAAAATAGCTCATACTGTGTGTGAATGCTGGGTGTATTCAACAGGCCTGGGAAGAATGCTTCCTTATGCAAAGTACATGTAATCTGCTTTTATTACGTGATGCTTTTAAAGTGATTAACTGTGTCAGAACAGTTAAGTAGGTTCAAGATTGTTGTCCAAAAGCGCTTAGGAAGGATGTGTCTCATGTAGAGATCAAATGCGATGTTTCATGCAGACTTTGTGACTGTTACTTCACTTTAGATACCTTATCATTAGATTATTATCAGTTTAAGCCACTCCATTAATAATATTCATCATCATCATCATCATCATGATTTTGTTATATATATATTATATATATTTAAAGATGTTTTTGCCATATTGTGCAGCCTGAATGTAGTGCTTAAAAATAAGTAGAATTTATAACAATCCACAGTACAAGCAAAGCAAGAATTAGCGAAACAATAAATAACAAAAACTGAAATGTCAGACACAGAATAAATAAATATTTAAGATGTAGAAGTATTGATACAAACTGTTATCATTATCTTTTATCTCTTTTCAAGTCCTTCACAAAAAACATCTATTAAAGCATAATGTGAGAAAATATAGCAAAAGTAAAAACAACAAACTACAGTAATTAATAGTCCAACTTAAAAACAAGATGGAGGAGGCAGGAAGTGATTTTTAAGAAGTGGATTAAAAAGGTGCACAGTGTCATCAGATATCCTCAGGTAGGGGCCCTAGAGGAAACTATAAAGGCTCAATTGCATTAATGTCTTTATGTTGATAACTTGTGTAACTCTGTGCTAAATGATGGTTTTTCACAGAACACAGAGGTAAATAACACAGCAAGTTAAACAGAAAATATATCATCCAAACAAATCCTAATGCCGTCCTTTGACTGAGTATGATGCAATGTTCTCCTTCATGCTGTTTATAAGAATGCAACAACCAGAAGTTACACTGCGAGTGACATTAGAAACCGACAGCGACGCTAATTATTGGACCACAAAGTGAGATTTCTCTCACACACTCCTCCAACTCAATATCACATCTCAGCAGTCCAACATCTGTAATGTTCCCAGTCGTAGATGCCAATCTGGTGGGCCACTCGTGTGCAGGGGTTGGGAGAGGTAAGGTTGGGTTAGGTAAGACATACATTGTTTCACAGCATTTGGATTTGGCACACATTTTCTAGCTTACGTAGCATTAAGCTCCCAGGAGGCTGCAGGAGCACTAGCTTGTTGCAGGTCTTGTTTGGGCAGGCCTGAAGCCTTAGTGAGCCTGATTTAAAGGAGGCGGGGCCTGGCTGGTCTCACCTGCATCCCCCGCAGGCTGGAAGTGTAGACTGTTAACTGGTTAGATAAGAAGTACTCTCAAACTAATGTGTTTTTTCTTCAAACCTCTGCTGCTGAAATAATGGATCTGCAGTGTTTAGAGCCGGTGGGGTAAACTATGTTTATTAGATAGAGAAGTTTGATTTAAATTGCTATGCACCAGGGTTTCTGACCTGGTTACGTTCCCTGCTGAATCAGCATGAGTGATCCCATCATGGGTGAGTTTCTCTATTTGTCTCTGTGGTGGTGAGGTTTACTGATATAGAACAACTATACACACAAACCGAGTGGTGAAAGTCTCAACATTTGTCAGTGAGATAACAGTAGGAATGGAGAAATTTTAACTAATTGTAGGGTTCAATACTTTTAAAAATAAGTTCTCCTCAAAACCATTATGTGTCCATCTAGGATTGTTTTTTTTTATTTTTATCAGCAAGTAAATCAAAAATCAAATATAGGACTTTTCTCTTTTGAAGGAAAGTTTGTTTTTAGGGCCTGGGTTGGTTTTGGACCTGATAAGGAGAAAATAGTTTTCCTACAAAGTCATGCATGTGTGCACTTCTTCAGTGACCCATAACAGTGCAGGAAATACCGGTATGTCAATGTGTGTGCTTATGTTAATAATATTGCCTCCTCTTAGATAATAAATATAACAGGTTTGCACAAAAACAGCCAGTGTAGCATACAATTACAGTAAAACTTAGTGGAAACACAAAGTGAGAGGCTGAACTTTGATCACTTCTCTGTGAAACACTGAATAGAGCATTGCCCTGAAGGCACCACTCTGCTGTGACGTTTAAGGGAATAAATCAATGTCAGCTTTGCGGGAAATATGGAATCAGATACTTCCAGTCAGACATTGTGGCTGCTAAATGTTCCACTTAACCAGACGGGTCTAAAAGCATTTAGTTCTTCTCTAGAGGCTTTAAAGTTGTGTCGGGTTTTTCTTGTTTGCTGGCTTGGCTAACAGGCTAACTGAATATATTATGTGGCACTATTATGTATTTAGATTAATTAATCAGCTGTGTCCACAAATAGTTTACTGAACAGGTACCACGTTAGCTAACAAGCCTGTTCTCTATCCACAAAACATACGAGGTTAGCTCGCTAACATGCTAAGTAGTATGAGTTGATATTTGAGTGGTAAAAAAACCAACCCTAACCCTGCAGCCTATATGTTAGCCAGCTAGCTAGTAAGCTAGCTAAAATAGGCTAATATGATAGCATAATATCAGGCAATATGTGGTGACGTGATGCAAATGTGAAAGGCCACACATTGTTCGGAAGCATATGTGGAGCTTTTTATTCACAGGGTGGGAATATGCTGGTTATATAATGGTTATACCATTATATGGTTGATACCATTCATCCCACAACTTCAAAACACTCAACGGCAACAATACCAAGTTTGGATGCTACAGTGTCACATGACAGGGGGCACAGGGCATTGCTTTGTGTCACAATGCTTTATTTGATTTTTGACGGCTCGGGGCTGTCCTAACTCTGTGTCCCGTGGAGGGAAGCCTATCAAGAAATAATCAAACTTTGGATGATATGGGGATTTCATTTGGTCTGACTTAAGCTATTCGTATTAATGCAGCTACAAGAGGTGCAGCTCAGCCAAAGGGGGCAAATGGGCTGTTGCTCGGACAACTTTAGCCCGGCATTGTGCACGTCTTTGTTAGTTGAGGTAAAGGAACATCAGCTCTCAGTTGAAAGCTACATAAATTAACCATGTGTTGGCCAAGTTATTATCTTTGCATGATTCAGAGACTCACGCCAGAAGACGCTCTTCACCCCATCGCCTGAAAGCCATCAGTCGAGCAGAATAGTTACCGCCCACTTTTATAATCACTTATATAAGTGACTGAATCCCTTTCATCTATTATGTCAATTGGTTTCAGTCACTTTTCACCATTGTTTTGAATATATTTGGTTTTGTGATTAGTACATATTGCTTTTGAGTGGATTTTATTTGACTTTTTTTTAACTGTTCTACCACCATGACCATAAACTGTACTTTTATATCCAGAACGTTTATATCCAAATGTTTCAGCTCTGTTTAAAATATACATGTATTAAATTAATATTTCTTGGGTAACGTGATCAATTGAAAGTGAAAATCCATAAGATTTAGTGACTTCTATAAGTGGTCACTGTTTGTGTTTCCTGCAATTGAGGTAGCAGGGATTCATTTCAGGGGCTGCTGAGAACTCTGGAACGGACTTGAAAGCACCGTGGCTTCAGTGACCAAACGGGTTTGTTTAAAATAATTCTTCTGGCAAACTCCCAAGTGTATCAGAACTCTCCGGTTTCTTCGTCCTCTCCACCTGCCAGCACAGGAACTCTTGAGACTATAGGTTTCTTATTTTTTGTTGGTTTGAAGATTAGTGATCAGCAGTGCTTCTATCCAGATGTTAAAACAACTCAGAGGGTCAAGTTGCTAAAAGAAAACCAACCCCCTTCCCCAGCTCCCATTATCTTTGTTTGATGATACCAGATTAGTTATAATAAGATGTCTGAGTCATCGTAGGGGCTCCCCATAATTAAGATTAGACTGCAAGTGAACTGCAGCCAGAGGTGGCCTGCTGTTAAACATATTAAGATAGAAAATAGCCTGTAAGCTGTCCATTAACGAATCTCAGAGGCAGCCTGAAGGAGAGCTGGAGCTGAGCACAGACGAGAAAGGACCAGTCGCCTTTATCTGCTGTAGGGAACAAAGACACGGAGAAACTTGATCATAGTTAAAGTATTAATGATCTAAAAAATGAGGCAGTTTTGAAAAACTTTCATAGCTTGTGCCTCATAACTGGGGTTGGTTTTTATTTAAAGTTTTACAACCATTTTTGTTACAATCAGACAGGGTGATTACCAGCTTAATGTTATTTGTAGTTTAAGAAAAGGAATCTTGATGTAGTATAGACCAATAGTGGAGAAACTGGAAGTTTAGGCAAACTCTGACTGAGATGTTTATTGAGTTAGAGTTGATTTTATGAGGACAATGGAGATTGAGGACTGGATTGTATGTGAGACTCTTCATACTGTCACTGACCTGAATGACTTCGTTGAGCTTTACAGTGGTGAGTGTTGGACAATTAACTGACCAGGTCTGCTGTTACTATAGTGTTTGCATTATGTGAGTCTTGTACATTACAACTTTCCTTAAAGGTAATCAAGAAATTCTATCTCAAATGAAGATGACTGATACTCTTCTTCACTGATGTGCGTCTGCTCTCTCCTTTACATTCATACAATTCCACAGATTCACAGGTGGCAGCTACAACAGTACAATGTATATTTCAAAATGCATTCAGCATGTAAAAGGAACCCACTTTACATGTTTTTATAAATGCATTTTAAAAGTATTTTAAATGTGTCAACAATATATTTAAATGCATTTCAATATGTTGGTAGAAATATATTAAATGTCTTATTCTGAGACATGCACTTGCAGGGAATTTGAAGTCAGTATGTTTGCAGCTCCTCTGTGTCGAACTGCATTTATAGTTAGTTATATTTCAAATCTACTTTAAGGGTGTGTAACATGTAGGAGGATCTATTGGCAGAAATGGAATATAATATTGATAGGTATGTTTTCGTTAGTGTGTAATCACCTGAAAATAAGAATCTTGTTTTCAGTACCTTAGAATGATCTGTTTTTATCTAATGTTGAACTGGCATGTTTCTGGACAAACCAAACACTGGATTTAGATTTTTCATGTTTTTTTGCGAGTTTTGTGGCCAACGTAGTGTCCCCTACATACTTGGAACGGTAGCGTGAGGTGAGGGCGTACACATTGGTCCTTTAAAATGTTCTTGCAAATGTATAGATGTATGTAAGACAAATATTACTCCAAACCAGAACTCAAATACAGACCAGAGAAATGTATAGATTTCTTAAAGAATATCTATGTGGGATGTTTGCATTTTATTCGCAGATTGCTTGCTCGCAGCTCTGTTTGTGCTGAAGTATTTTCTGTGGCCTTTCATTATTAACACGCACTGAGGCTCTTTGCTTGTTCGGGCAACACAAAGACCGAATAGTTGTGTTTGTGATCATTATGCCCAGAGGTTTTCCAAAGTGATTGGCCAAACCCCTGGAGGTTAGCTACAGTAATTACATGCTTTTAAAAGGCCGATTATTGTAGGTTTAAACACCCGGCTAATTTCACAATCAGTGTACAAAACTGCCTACTGTTTGTGAAATGGTACCTTTAGGATTTAACTGAACAAATTGAAACTATTTTAAAGCCTTCAGTTGACTCAAGTAAACAGGTACAGGTTACATAAAGTGTGCTTTGATTAGTGCTTCAATACTTGGAAACTATCCTGGGAGCAGTTTGAGTTGTACCTTGATGTGTTGCCCTCCAAAGGAAACATGTTTTACCACCACATAAACCTTTTGTTACACTTTTTACTGTTTCTGGTTCAAGTTCATAGGTTCTCAGACAAATTAGGAAGTTTCTAGCAAAAATAATAACATAAGTGGCAGCCATCTTTATTGTTTAAGAACATGCCTCAATAGTCAGTAAGGTCTCACTCCTCTGCACAGTTATCGTACCACTATGTTTGGTCCAGCTGGATCCAGGACTGGTGGGAATTTGTCTGATTTCCACCAGTCCTGGTTCCCAGAATAGAACATTTTCTTCTTAAAAGTAAATTAATAACAACTATACAAGACATGATATAAACCCTGGTGTCAGTTACTAGCTACTTGTAAAAATTACCTTTTCTGTCATTTTTCTGGAGAGGACAGTGTTGTCCAATGTACTTCAGTCTCATGGTGCCTGCAGTGGACTGCTGTCTTTGCCAGTGAGAGATACACACACTGTTGCTAATAATACCAGCAATCAAAGAAACTGAGACTACTTCACTGTTGCACTCAGTATAAACAGTTCTTTATAGCATCGTGACCTTAATGCCTATGATTTAAATCTGCACTAACTGTGTGATTTACTGTTGAGGATATAAGTTAAACTTGGCATTGTGTGTTTCTTCTTCTTCAACAGTGGAACAAGAACAGATTCAGAAGAAGACCTTCACCAACTGGGTCAATGCTCAGCTGGCAAAGGTGAGCCATGACATTTAATGATCTGCATTATTAGTTTAGACTTACTGGTGTAAATTTTGGCTATGAATAAAAACAATCCTCAACCTAAATGAAATGAAATTTTAGTCTTTTTATCTCAACGCATACAGCTAGTTTAATGTTTACTTCATTACTGCTGAAATGACCCAGCTTACCCTCCCGGATAAGTTTGTTTTATCCAGTCATGTAAAGTCATTAATACACTGTATTTTCCCTTCCCTAAGCTAAGTTGATGCAGCTTAATAACAAAATGCAGGTGAGCAGGAACATGTGAGGGCTTGAGTTGATGGAACACAACTCCTGTTCACACATATTCCCTTAATATAAAAAATAGTTTATAAAAAGATGGTGCATCTGACATTACTGAAGCCACTCACAGCAAATAGGTTAGGCTAAGACACTGTATGCACAAAAACAACACAACAACGTATCTTCTCTGACAGCAAAGGGCAACTTTCAGTGTCTGTGTTTTGCATTTCTATGAACCCTTTTAACCCTTTACATCCTGTTATTCTTGTCCTTTTCCAGTCAGTCACATTTTTTTTATATCTTAAGGGAAAATCAAGAAATTCAGTTAATTAAGCTCTCAGTGAGCTATATGAAAATTGTATGTGCACATATTGGGGGAAAAACATCACAATTTCATTTCTTATTAACTTCCCCTAAACTACTTAGCATCTATTCTTAAGACACCACCCAGGGTGTTTTGGCACATTGTTATCAGTCTGTGAGCCATTTAATAATCAGACCCCAGGAAAACCAAAATAAATCAATGAGCAGAAATAATCAAAATCCAAACTGCATAAAACATGACCACATCCTACTTTTAATTACCCTTAGAGAGCTTTTTCCTGTTAGCAGCTTGTGTTTACAGGAAATCCAACATGACCTGAATTTGGTAAAAGACCTTTGCGAGACAGCGTTGTTGCAAAAGGTCGCTGTCTTGCTCTCAAACTGCCTCCAAACATGAGTCAGCAGCAGATTGTTCGCTCTCTGTCTGCCTCATGGTGGAGGTCAGCTGTGAATGTGACAGTGGAGGACAGTGGGGTGGAGGTGGGGAACCGTGTGTCCATAAATATAGCATTGAGGAGCAAGGTTCACAGCACACAGACAGACAGCAACAGACGGCCACCACCCTCCCCCTTCCCTCCGCCCTCCACACCCCCTCAATCCGCCTACCGGACGTGCCCCCAGCTCAGGACTTGTGCTGGACTTGGCCAATAAAAGGAATGGTGGGGATGATTGTTAATCCGTTGGTGGTTGTTCACGTTAGAGCTCACATTGCAACAGCAACTTCTTTCTGTCTTCTGTCAATGTGTTTGAGCTGGGAATGAGAACAGGCTTTGAGGCCTGCAAAAAAACCCTACAAAAATCTACAGCCAGTGTTTGGTTTGTAGGTGGAAGGCAACCTGTGGCGTCTGTAGATAAGATAGGTTCATTCTAAGGTAATGAAAACGATTCCTATATTCAGGTGATTATATACTAGTGTAAACATACCCATAAATATCATATTCCATTTCTGACAACAGATCCTCCTGAATGCTACACATTGGACCTTTGAACAAATATATTTACCATATAATAAAAAAATGAATAGCTCTACGTCATTATAAAGCTTGAATCATCGTAAACACGACATGAATTGCTTAGAAAATGAGTACCAGTAGTATCACAGGAAATACAGAGAGGACTATCGGGGTGGATTAGTAAGTGTCGTCCTGAGTTGGGACAGAGTGGTTTAAATAATCAATTATATTTGTCTAATAAAGGCTGACGAGCATCAAAACATTAATTTCTGTCCTGTCAGATGCAAACAGTACAACTACAATTATCATCATTATCTGGAGATGATTTCCCATCCCAAGAATGTCCGCTTCTCAGAAACTAACAGACGGCCTTGTTTTGAGCTCGACCACCGCGTGTTGTAAAGTTGAACTAATCGATTTTGTTTGGACATCACAAGGAGTCATCCTTTAGCTCAAGCTACATAAAGATGGAAAATTCCAAAGTTGCACGCTTCATCGATTTCTGTCAGAAACACATTCTTAACACTACGGCAACACTTTATTTGGACAGTCCACCCACAGATAGTTTATTCCGAGTATTTGAAACATTTCAACCACATTAATTTGTCTAACAGATTATGTGAGACAATTTACGAACATACCCCACTAAGATGTTTTGGTACATATTTGAATAAGTGATGGGAAAGTTTTCTCGTTATTTGAGCAGCATTGTCCCAAAATTGGAAACTAAAATTGGCTTATTTGACAAAAAAGATGAATATTCTGGTCAGTTTTTGTACTGAAATGCAAAAACCAAAATCGGGAAATTTTGTCCCCCCCCCGTTTTCCATTTCTTTTGTTTTGAAAATAAAAACTGAATCAAAATTCCATCTGTTTTGTTACCCTGATTTATAAATGGTCGTATTTCTGTTTTTTTTCAGTTTGAAAATAAACAAAACAGAAAACAATAAATGGCCCATTTTCCATTTTTTCTGTTTTGGATTTTATAATGAAAACAGCCTGCTTTCCTTTTTTTTTTTTTTTATATAAAAAGAAAACAGAAATGCTAGTAGGACAACAGCTCGTTTTCAGATTTTAGTTTCCTCATTTTAAAACAAAAAGTTTGTAGAGCAATTGTAACTTTGTAACAAATGTAGAGAACATGACTGCTAACAGAAAAGATGTTAATGCCTTGGTTAAGCTATCATCTCTGAGTGTTTTAAAGCCACAAATGTAAATGTAAATGAAATAAAATGTGTGTGTTTTGACAGCGGAGGCCACCGTGCATGGTCGTGGATCTGTTCAATGATTTCCGTGACGGCTCCAAACTGTTGGACCTGCTGGAGGTGATGAGCAGCCAGCGCCTTGTGAGTCCCCTCTCAGTTCAGCACTTAACATGTTCTCCAACTGACAGCTGACCATTTTATTGAACCGACTGACCGACTCTCTCTTGCAGAGTCGGGAGAGAGGCAGAGGAATGTTTCAGCACAGGAGCAACATTGAGAAAGCCCTTTCCTTTCTAAAGCAGAAATCGGTAAATGACACTAAAGGAGCCTTTTAATTAACTGTCAGACAAATACAATCGCCTATATATTGAGAACTTTACTACTCATATTGTTAAACCCAGAGGGATAGTGCGTAACTGCTGCACCATCCGTCTGATTTTGGCATTGTTTAAAGGAAATAATGAGATTATTAAATTTCTATGAGAGTTTATTTGCTTCGTGTCGTATGAATTGGGACTTTGTGCGCGTTTGAAAGATTTCCTTTATTCTCCTCAGATCAAACTCGTCAACATAAACATTCCCGACATTATTGACGGTAAACCGTCCATCATCCTGGGCCTTATATGGACAATCATTCTGCAGTATCATGTGAGTTTAATATGTTTACTTTCATATATTTTCGTTTGTGTCTGTGTCTGTCGTTTCATGTTTTCTTATTGGTTAATTTTTCCACTCTGAACTCTGTCCCTCCGAATGAGAACAGCTTTTTCTCTTATTTTCTGTACTTCACTATCAACCAACAATCAGACTAAATCACTGGAGCAGAGAAATAATTGGAGTGCTAAAATTAAACACATTCATTCAAGCTTAACAACACAAAAACATGTTTTATAAGCCAAGGGATGTCCCACTGGATTCTGATGTAGTGTAAAAGTTTCTTATTCCCTGGGTTTTAAATGTTTTCCCTTCCTTTATCTTGCTTGTGTTGTACATTTTTTTCCTGTTGCTTTGCTCCTTTTTAACTGAGTAAACTGATTAAAAAGTTTCCAAATATAAATGGCTGAAATGTTAAACAGAAACCATGTGCTGGTGGTTTTCTCAGATCGAGGAGTTGGCCAGCGGCCTCTCGTTCAGCTCCCGTCAGTCCTCCATGGAGTCTTTGACCAGCCTGGACTCGCGCTCCACCCTGTCGAGCCGCTCAGCCAGCAGTAGTCCTGTTCCTCCCAGAGGCTCCCCGCTCCACAACCGTTTCAGGGTTTCTGCCAAGAAGGCCCTGCTGCTCTGGGTCCGGGAACAGTGCCACAAGTAAGCACTGGTCAACTGAGTGCTATCAATGAACAAAGCTACATCTCAGTGTGTTGTGTATGGTTTATAATGAGTTGCATTGATATATTGGCTTGTCAAAGCCTAATTGGTGCAACTCTTCTATTGTGAGCCAAGTATGTGATGTCAGGAGTGATATATCCTCACACAGGGACCTCTTGGTCATTTCCAGGTCTGGGCAGAAGAACAAAACCTGATCGGGGTTTTACTGTCTGAGCTCTAGGCATTTAGATGCTTTGCCTGCCAAAATCAGTTAAAATACATTCCTATATACACGAAATCTGGGAAAGTACCGGAAGTAAAGAGCTCGAATGCAAGAAGTGTACAACTTTCTTCTTTTCTCTTTACTTTCTATATAACGTTACTTTTAGAGCTATGTCTAGGAAGTATAAAAGAAGCTGTGCAGTTATCAGCTGCTCCAACAGTACTGGCAACCTTCAACTTTACATAGATTGTCTGGACGTGCTGGCTCTTGTTGTAACAAATGTCTAAAATGTAAAATTTTGATAATACTAAAATTGCTATCCATGTGAAGTACCGTATTCAGTAACTGAGGGAGCCTGACGTCTTCAGTCAGACTACCCATGGTACTGTCACAGAGTTACTACAACCTACCACCGCAGTAATGGCGACGCCACTAGATGGCAGAACACGGTCGCCAGATTCATGTATACATCGGCACTAATAGCATTTTTTTGTTTCACTGTAGTACACAGCATATAGTATGTATAGATGCCCATAGCCCATAAACTAATTTTGAAGAATTATATGAAAACATTGATAAATTTAACATATTTATCAGTATTTATTTTTTATACTAAAATCTATCAAACAAATAATAATATGCACATTTTAAAAATATCCTTTCATATGAGTGGCAAACATGGGGTCCCATTGATTTTGTCCCTGATGTTTTGCAGTTAAAGTAGTTTTTTTTACTTAACTTCAATACTGGTTGGTTTTTACTTTTCTTATAAATATTTTTTACCTCCTTCTGTTTGTTCATTGTCTTCTGGATCTTGGCTTACATTATTATTTGTAATCTTAGCATTTTACTGTTTCTTTTTGCCTGTTCTTGATCCTAAAGCCCCTATAGACCCAGTTCAAGACAGCAGTACATGCTAATAACTGCAATATGAATGACCTGTAAATTATAATAGTAATAAAATGATTTGTCTCCCTCAGAGCTGGATGTACATTAAATGTTAAAGACTTCAAAGCTAGCTGGAGGAGTGGAGTGGTCTTCCTGGCAATCCTGTACGCTCTGCGGCCTGACCTGGTGGATCTGTCCAAAGCCAGAACCAGAAGCAACAAGCAGAACCTGGAGGAGGCCTTCTGCATCGCAGAGAGAGAGCTGAGGATCCCCAGACTGCTGGATCCCGACGGTGAGTAATTCAGCTTTCAGAAACCAGTGAGCATGCAGCAGGAGCTTGTATAGTCATTACAAGGCAATGTGTTGTCACAGTCAGCCATTGGAGTCTGTGTGATAATTCCAGTATCTATTTGTTTCCCTAATATGCAATCATATCCATTTGCAATCTTCACGTGGGTTTGTCATGAATATTCTGTTTACACTGTTCAGGTTTGCTATGACACATAACTCTAAAGATATGAATGAACTGATATTAACACATGCTAGTGATGTTAGAGAATTCAAAAATGTAAAGTTCACTGTCACTAGACCTAGACAGACAAGAGGAAACAATTTAAATACTTAGCCTACTTGCCCATGGTAGAAGCACGTAAATCAAGGACTAATACCCAAATCAATAGCCATAGATTCTTCTACACAGCCTGTTCTCATTCCCAGGTCTTCAATATAGATGCAAGCAGTGTTCAGTTTGTTGCAATCTGCAACTTCACCGCTAGATGGCACTAAATTCTACACACTGGTCCTTCAATTGTAATAACAACAACTGCAATAATGATCAATAACTACTAATATTTTATATTTGACCGTTTTTAAGATATGAATAAACACATTTCTTTAGATGACTTGGATGTTTAGATGTAAAAATGTCTTTGGAGGTTGAACACATTTTTATATATATGCATGATTGTTAAAAAGACTCAATTTCCAGCACTGCAAGTTCAGTAACCATCAAGAGGAGGTGATCGCTCTCTTTTTTTCCCTTTAATTGCACATTTATGCCGATGCAGGAGCTCTGCGAAAACACTCTCAGTTTACCAACACAATCACATGGATCCAACTTCTTTTTTATGTCTTTACTTCTGCTAGTCTTCATGAAAGTCCCTTTTGGTAAAAGTGCCTTTTGGTGTGTGACAAACAACCAAACACTCTTTTCCAAATATGATTAATCAGATTTCTCTGTATCTCACTGACATACTGGTGTAGCAGTAATTAATGTGGTGCCATGTGAATCTTTGTGAATGTGGGCATAGTGTAGCTGAGTGCTGTGCCATATCCAGTGAGCCTCAGGGCGAGTGGGATGACGATCTGACAGTCTGCTGACTCACTTGCTGCTTGTTTACTTCAGCCTCATATAAAACCTTCACTTGTTTCACTCTGCTCTGCCTGTTAGTTCATTAGCAGACTTTTATCATCCGGATGTTTGAAAGAGGCAGAAAAGTTACACCTCCATTCCTCAGATTCCAGCATTAAACTCCACCTGCTTACTCATGTGTTAGTCTAAACCTTGGACGGCGGTGTTGTGGTGTGAGACTGATCATGGAGGATTGTGATGTTGATGCAGATGTGGACGTTCGAGACCCCGATGAGAAGTCCATCATGACCTACGTGGCTCAGTTCCTGCAGTACTCCAGAGACCTGCCAGTGCCAGAGGAAGAAATGCAGGTCTGTATCACTCACTTGTATTTTGCACTGCAGCAGCGTTTGCGGAAAGGTTTTAATGTCAGTGTGGCTCCTGGTTCTGCAGACAGAGGTTAGGATTCTGCTCAAGATGTTTTCAGCTGGGGTGTCCCTGCTGCAGCAAAAAAAGGCAAAAATGTGTTTTCAGCTGCACTGCAGTTCAGTGTCAACAGTTGGGATACAGCTGAGCTCTCTCATCCAAACTGCTCAGTAAGCACTGATATGGGGATTTGCAGGTTAAAAAAAGGCTAGACATTAAGGTTTAAATCAGGCAAAGTCTGGTAGAAAAGCAACAGACAACTAAAATAGTTTTATATTTCATCCTGACTTTGCCCATTTTTGCCCATAATATCTAGATGTTTTTAACCTTCAAGTCAATGCTTAGTGTTCTTTCTCTTTTAACTGCTCCAATCTGTGTGTCTGCAAGAGTCTGACTGATGATTTTGCGCTGATGCCAAAATCAATATTTGATTACAAAGACAGTTATGTGTGCATAATGTTGCAGGAGTCCTTTGAATCTGGCCATCAAAGAGTTGTTGTTGAGATGTAAACCAGAGGCAGGGTATTTCTACCAGTAGAACAATAAAATGCATTGTATCTGTTAAATGTATTTGCTCGGCTGTGATGCTTCTCTGTCAGCTCACATGCCAAAAACTCTTGTAAACACTGGTATAAATGCAGAAGATATGCATAAACATTCTGTATATATCTGTGATAAGTTATCAGCCCTCTTAGAGATCAGTCTGGAATATTTGCAGTTTGCAGTGAACATTTGTTTATTCAGTGTTTCAGCTGTTTCCAAGCTGTATTCAATTTGCTTATACTGACCATCAATGTTAAGAAGTACTGTATCTCTGCCACTTCCAACCACCTTTTCACTGAAATATTTTGCTTTTTGCTCTGGATTTCTCACATTTCTTCCTCTTGTTTTCTCTCCTCCCTCTTTCCTTCCTTTTTTCCTCCCAGACACAATACCTGAATCTTCCTAAAAGTCCTTCTCCTATCAACCTGCCTGTTCATTACACTCCTGCTGTTTCTGCTTCACCTCTGCGTCAGGTACACCTGACCGCCACGACCCACCTCTGCGTCATTTCTCAGCTTTCATCCACCTCCTTACCTTCCAGTTACAGCACCTTGCAATACATTCAGTGCAACCATAGATTAAATCATAAATGTGTGCATAAATCTCCTTATGAAATAACGTTTTTTAGATACTAACACTTGTTGAAGATATAATCTGCATCAACCGTTTTTGATGGTCTAGGGAATAAATAACTGTACAGTAACAGTTAAAAATGAATAAAGAATTATTTAAATTAATAAAAAATCAATAGTTGAATAGTACATAAACAAAATGACTGCCTTACACGCAAGTTTCCAAAAATATAAACACTTCAAAAACACCCATATCCATTCTATTTTTTGGACGTTTGTCTGAATCTACTATATCTCCGTCAGTGCCACACCCCCCTGTCACTGCTTCATGCTTTTTCTCCATTCATGCAGTATTTGGAAACCCTCTGGCTTGCTGGTTTGCAATCAGTCAGAATCATTACTGCTGTGTCACATGGCGTAAATCAGCCACATTAAACCTTTGTAGCAACCACAAATAACTTTAGATTGTATTGCTGACAATTATACCTTGTGAAAACATGCCACGAAAGTTGTTTATTGGGATGGCACTGCAGCTACTCAAATAAAAAAGTCAGTCGCAAAGAGCCAAGATTAACTTCAAATCATATGGTAGTTAAAAGCAGGACTGTTCATGCAGAATTAAACTAGTTTGCCCTGTTCTCCGGGAAGGATTCCAAAGCCACAGTGAGGGTGTGTTTCTCTGCCTCCCATGAGATGAATAAAGCGCTCACGGGGCGACTGCAGCGCAGCTATTTCTTCCACTGAGATCCTGCTGGTATCGCCTGCCACAGAACTCATGACTGATCAGCCACAGTGGACCAAACAGCTGTCAGCTTTGGTTTCTGACAAGATATCAGCATGCTGGATGTGGCTGCTGGCGTCTTGGAGTCTTTAATCCACCTTTTATCTTGTTACTCCCCCCCCCAAGAGGTTTTAACTTTAGAATTTGGGAATAATCCTGCAATGATTGTGCAAGATACAGTGCAGGGTGGAGCACACAGGAATTAGAGTCTGGAAAACATTCTCCATCTGAAAATAATATCCACTCTTGTTCTGCATAAAATGCACAAAATAATAAACCTTAATGCTTCTACAAACTGCATTCTTTATGCAGTATATACATGCCATAGACATCCACATTTACAGGACAGAGGTTGTGCATGTTACCATGTTCTTATGATTAAAAAAGCAACTTTGTGGCCAAAACAAACCTCTGTATGGGCTTGGTACTCTGCTGTGCACAGGCTTGCAAGCACAACACATTTTGGCAACTTCATTCTGTTTTGTGTAAAGTATCTCATGACTGGTGAGGGTGCCTTGTGGGAAAGCTTTTTGCTTAGCTCTTTTGGTTTGTTAACACCATTTTCCAGTAGTAATTAGAAAATAATCTGCACGAAATACAGTATTTTAGCACTAGAGAGAGTCAAGCAGCTCTGCAGACATTGTTTTGTCCATCGGTTCTGTCTTCTACTGGTTACAGTATCCACTTGTATAGATGGAAATACACAAACAAAGCTGCAGTTATTTTACACAGATTTGTATGTGGAGCCATGTTTGGGTATTACTTTGCAGTGTAGTTTGTCTTAGTTGTCAGAAATGATAGAATAAAGCCACCGTTAGTGCCTGATCATGACTAACCTATTTTATAGTGGTCTTCAGTCAATAACAGTTTTTTGTGTTCCACATTGCCAGGCGACACCTGATCGAAAGGCAAAGGAAGTGACATGCTGGCTGGCTCAGGCGTACGATGAGCTGCTGGAGGGATGGGACTCCACAGAGGGAGAGAGCTACTCAGAGAGATACCATGTACGTTCCCAGCTAGCTCCTATCAAGATACATGACGCCCAAACATTGTGTTACATGTAGCATTTTTAAGTATTGTAGCATAATTGTCTTAATAACTGTGGTACATTCATATTGTATTATTATAATTATATAAACAATTGGCAGCCTCACACAAGTGGTACTGCAAATATTATATTTTCCAGCTATTATGAGCTCTTCTGCTTTGTTTTGTACTATAATTCCATATTTACCCGTCCTGTTTTCCCATCAAATCTGACTGATCTCTTGCAGAATGTTGTGCATCATCAATGTCCAGCAAAGAAAAGTTGATCTTTGAACTTCGGCAATTTGAGTTATTTTTCTCCTGTTTGAGTTCACCTTACTTCCAAGAGTGGCACTAAAAGTATGACATTTTCCATCTCTCAGGTATTTCATACCTTTCTGGTGTCCTTTAATGAGCAACGGCGTCCCATCATGCCTTTGTTGACAACAATGAGACGAACCCCGAAACTGAGCGATGAGCAGCGGGCTCTCAGAGAGGCGTGGGACGCACTCAGTTTAAAGGTCAGTTTCACTCAAATCTCTTTAAGAACCAACCAAAAACAGGTGTTAGTATTTCTGTACCTCCACATTATGTTCTTCAAACACACTATATTTGTTTCTGTATGCAATTCGAAAGACATTGTGTTTGTTTCTTTTCTTTCAGCTCCGTGAATACAAAATTGAGTTAGATACGAGTCTCCCGGGACCACTGAACACGGTGGCTTGCTGGCTGTTGAAAGCGGAGGGGGCTCTGTCCGAGGAGGAGGGCGACATACCGGACCATGGCCGAGCCGCTGACGAAGCCAGGGAGAAACAGGAACTGCTGAAAGTGAGTATTTACTGTGTCCTTAAACTACACGACTTTAGGAAGTGAAATAAACAATAATACTGGCAGGCAAAACCTCAGGCAGGGTTTTCCACACTTAAGATATAAATAGCCTCTGCAAAATAACCCCTTTATTCTGCATTTGTTAATTCACTGTTCAGAAAAGGTGGCAAACAGAATATAAAATTTATACAAACTGCCATATAAGTCAGTTCCTGGAATACATTTGTTTTTGGGATAATGTGGATACCCTTGCTTCATATGTAAAGCATTAAAGTGTAGATCTTTATGGGCAGAAATGATGAATCTGTAGGAGATTTAAACATAAATGTGTGTGTGAATGTGCTCATTGTTGCTGTAGGTTTGCCTGGAGGAGATGCCGCAGCATGTGAAGATCTTCCAGTCCTTCCAGAACGTGGATGAGTATGGAAACATGGTGGTTCCTACTGACAAGATGGATGAACTAAAGAGGAGGTGAGGGTACTTTCCCACATGGACTGTGATCATGTATGTGTGTGAAATTGTATGTACCTTATGAACAATGCTTGAGTTAAGCTGAATGTCCTACAGATGTCCTAGTACATCTAATGTCATGACCTGGAGGTGATTATAATCAAGGCCTTTGTTTAACAGCTACAACACACCAAAGATGGTTCTGACGTATGCTAATAAAGAACCGTATTAAATGATGTTTCTGTTTTATTTGCATGAAATGATACAAGAGAAGCATGAACTTCAAGCTGGTGTTTTTTAGTTTTGTTGGCTATGAATCATGGCTGGTGGCATTTAAAACAAGTATATATATGATTCTGTTTCAACTTGTCCAACAAGGACTTTGTTGCACTTTGCAGTTATTAAAGCTGCAGTAGGTAACTTTTATAAAAATAACTTTTTTTTTTTCTATTTGCTGACATTTTCCCTGTATTCTGGCAGTAGTACATGAGACATATCCAAAAAATCTGGTTCCTCTGGCTCGTTCTGGAGCTCTTAATAGCATTTGCAAGAATCCACAGGGCCTGAACGAGAACAACTTATCAAAGTTGAGTCAAAAATGACCATGCGCAGCTTTAAGCGTTGTTTCTCATTTTGATTGCTCTCACAACCTTATTTGTTGACATCTTCACCAGGTTCACCAGTGTGAGAGTGTCTGCTAAATACCATGGGATCAAGCTTGAGTACCGGGAGCACCGCCACACAGTTTTGGATCTGTTGGGGCAGATCAGGACCAAGCTCCAGGTCTGGAAGAGACCTTATATTTCCCCAGAGGCTGTCAGGGTGTTGCTGCAAGAATGGCATGTGAGTAGTCTTTGTTTAGATTTGGCATCTTCATTTATTGGGAGCAGTTAGAAAGCAGTGGTAAGAGGTGGATTTACACATTATATGTGTTAGATTGTTTACTAATGCTAAGGTACAACTAAACATGATACCACTAATAGTAGCATTGGTAAATGATGCATTTAGCAAAATTCATACTTCATCATAAACTTGGGCTAAAGGTCTAAGAATTACTAATAAGGTGATCTCTCAGTTTTTCACCCAGCCACCCAAAACATGGTTCTTATGGCCGCAGACTTAAAATCAGCCTGTCCACAGGTCTTGTTGACAGGTCTTTTCAATCTCAATTTTAAATGTGTTTTTGGGGGAAAATTTGTATTGATCACATTGTAACAACTAAAAAATGAAACCAATGGAACAAATACCGAAATAAAATAATGGGTAAAATAGGTCTTAAAGGTCCAGTGTGTAACATTTAGTAGGATCTATTGACAGAAATGGAATATAATATATTAGTGTATAATCACCTGAATATAGAAATTGTTGCGTCTTTGTTAGAATGAGTCATTTGTATCGCCTCCCATGGAGTCCATGTTTCTACAGTAGCCCAGAACTGACTAAAAAAACACTTTCTCTAAATATGGACTTTTTTCACCAGTTTCACGGACACCATAGTTTCTCCTACACTCTTCACAGCCCGTTCTCATTCGCAAGTCATCAAATACAGACGCGAGCAGTTAGTTGCAATCTGAAACTTCACAGCTAGATGCCACTAAATCCAACACACTGGTCCTTTAAATTGCATTCACAATGGCTTCAAAAAGATCTTAAAAAGTTGTAAATTTAACCTGTTGAAAACATTTGTTTTAAACACAGGAGCTGATAAAAACACAGGAGCTACCTACTTTGTTGAAAGCAGCTCTTCATAAGCTGAAGCAGATTTCTGAGAAATATTCAAGCAAATCTGCCCTAGGTAAGTGTTCTCTCTAGGAACTTTATGTGGAATTCCAATGAACAGATCAAACACTTCATTTTTGCAGCTTGGAATTAAACTGAAACCTTCGTGGATTCATTTTGGGGGTGTTTGACTGCTGTTTCTCTTTGCTCCACAGCTTCAGATTACCACCACGTCAGTCAGCAGGTGAAGCAGCTGGAGCAGGACACCGCCGTGGTTTTGGAGGAAGTGACCAAAGCCAAGAGCACCATGGGACGGGTCCTGTCTGCCTGGGACTCCTACAGCGACAGCCTCAGCTCCCTGCAGGCTTGGCTGGAGCAGGGCTCTTTAACACACAGTCATGGCCACAGGCCAGAGGTATTATTAACACATCATTTTAAGAAATTGTATATAATGTAGTGAGTGGCATGGGAACTACGCTTGAAAAAGTCTTATCAATAGGATGTCTGTCACTCTTCTAAGACGATGGAATAATGTCATTGGTTCCATTATTCCTTCCTGCAGTGCATTTGGTGACATATTTGTGTAAACATCTACTAAAAAGTCTGCAAATAAAGTGTGTGTGTAAATAAAAAAACTAAAATATTGCTCTTCTGCGTCTGTCTCCTCTTTTTGTTAAGGTGACATCGGAGTCCATCGCTGAGTGGGGCTCACGACAGGCCCACTTGAATGAGGTGGGCAACTTCCTGATCGAGTCAACAGACCCTCAGACCAGCAGGAGCCTGGCAGAGGAGCTGCGCAGAGTCAACATGCACTGGGCCGAGTTCGTCAAGAGAAACACATTCGTAAGTTACACAACAAGGAAAACCTGGTTGGTGAGAAAATGGATCAGAAGATGTTTGATCAGTGCCATTTGTTATTGTTCACATCTTAGGTGGAGTCTTTGCTGTCACGTCATGTCTTTTTTTGCCTGATAAAGTTCTGAAACATGCACACTTTTTTCACAGCAGCTATTTTGACATAAAATAGTAGGGTGCACACAGGTGTTATACTAATTAAGGCTCCATTCAATTTAGATACTTAATTAGTATCATTGGTAACACTTGTGTTTACTGTTTAATGTCAAAATGGCTGCTGTGCTCAGTTGCTTTTCAAATTTGTTGACAGTTAATTTCCTGTCAGTGAATTAATCGGTGTATTTCTCCAACATGAAAGCACTGCAGATGTACTTTCATGAAATGCTATGTTATTCTAATAGTTTCTTGTGTTTATTTGCTGTCAAGTGAGAAGTGACAGCAGGGATTTGGGTAACTTAATGTCTAAGGCCTGTGGAATTTAAGCTATAATTGTCCCATTGTTACAATTACCCCCACCCTATAATAATAAGGAGTGGCTCAAGTTTGAAAGTTGCACTCCACCTTTACGTATTGTGTGGAGGCAATTATAAATGCAAGTCTTTTATAGTCTTTGATTGCAGTGTATTATTATGCAGCTTCACTGATTGCTCAAGTTGCATGTTGGACAGGTGTCCAAATATCTCATTGAATTGTCTGCGAAAATATTCCATCAGACTATTGTATCATATCCACTGTGGTATTAAAGTGTGGGAAGAGTAAATTGCCATGAATTACAAGTCCAAACAATTTTCCTATTATTATTTGATCTTGATTTGAATTTGATTTGATTTGACCTGATATTTAACATCTGTAGTTGTGCTTCTTCCAGGACAGCATGGCTGAGCCCAGTGCAGACGCTCAGGCCAGACCCCAGGATGTCCAAGCTCTGATCAGAGAAGCCACTCACATTTTCAAAGAGCCACTGGAGACCATGGCAGGTCCCTTACGCACTTACAGAAAAAGAATACAGGTAGGACTCACCGATGGATAAATGACACCTTGAGAGTAGTAGAGAGTAGAATCATAGCTGTTCTTAACTATTAACTGTCTCAAGACTGTCACTCAGCTCTAAGATGACCTAAGATCCAAGATATTTTTTTTATAAATCAACAAACTCAATAAGACTTTTTGATAACATAGTTGAATTAGCAGTCTGCTCAGAATTAGAAATAACAGAGAATAACACTTTTAATTTCATACACTAATGATTTTACTTTAAATGACCAGATATGTCTCTCTAGAACTGACTGTTTACTTTTTTCCCTTCAGTTCATAATGAGGAAGATAAAAGAAGTGGATCTGGAGGCTCTGAATTCCTCCCCAGAATGCCCAGCGGATCAGTTACAGAAACTGAAGCTTACTATACCTGAAGTATGAATGATTTCTTTCCTTTTTATACATTACTCATACAGCGGTGTTCATAAGCATCTAAATAGCAACTGGCAACTTATGAATGTGCTGTAAGTTTATCCATTCTTTACCATCCGTTCCCTTCATATCACCAGGTGATGCACACCTTGCTTGAGGCAGAACAGGTATGTACAGAGCTGCAGCATAGTGTGTCAGGTCTGGACACTCGCCTGGCTGAACTCCTGCATTGGGAGACCGAGGCCAGGGAGCTCTACCAGCTGCTGAGGGCCTCAGAGCGACAACAGCGGGGCCAAGACCCACGTGCAAGGGTAAGAAGATCTACAGAATAGGAATGTTGTTCAGCTGTGATCCAAGTTACTCGAAACAGTTTAAGCTCCTATGACAATCTTATTATTCTTTCATAAAGAAACCCTTATGCGTAATTGAGTAAACGCTAAACGTTATTCAACACCATGTATTCTGCCAGGTCCTGATATCCCGGGGTCTACAGCTGGAGGGTCAGGTGGTCACAGAGGAGCAGGACCTGCAGGTGATGGTGATGACGAGTCAGAAGGACTCTCCCATCCAGTATCTCCACGCCTCCGCCATGCAGGACCGAGTGCGAGCCACTGTTGCTCAGTCACAGGTCAGTTGTCTTTTAGTAAATTGACGGGGCAAGCCATTGAGTTGATCATGTTCTGTATTTCAAACTGTAGACAAACAAGAGGCATAGCAGAGACTGTTATGATAATATAACTACTATGTTAGCTCTTCTAATGTGTGTAATTTCAATTCCAGGAAGCTGTAGGTATGCTGAGCAGCCTGGGAGCCAGAAGAGACCGAAGCAGAAGCCCTCCAGAAGGGCCACCATCAAAAGTCTTTATCCAGGCTACAGGTCAGCCTCAGCATCTGAGAGAGCCAGACACCAGGGACCCAACTCAGCAGCCAGACACAAAGTTAGTTTCTAATCAGTATCATGAAACCTTTGTGCCAAAAATTGTGGTGCAGGAATACAGAGAAGAAAAGACAACTTCTCCTCCAATGCCATATACCTACGCACAAGCTGTGATGCAGACCAGGACAAAGTCACCACCAGAAGCAGTGGAGACCGCCACACAAAAACAACAACAGACTCAGGAACAAGGGTTGACATCACAGCGAGAACTACTGCAGCAGGAACAATATCAGAGACAGACAGGAAAAGAGCAACAACAGCAAGAACGCAGGCAACAGCAGCCGCAAGAAGTACAACAGCAGGAGTTGAAGCCAACACAGCCACAACCACGGCAGCAAGAGCAATATCAGAGTCAGACAGGAAAAGAGCAACAACAGCAAGAATGCAGGCAACAGCAGCCGCAAGAAATACAACAGCAGGAGTTGAAGTCAACACAGCCACAACCGCGGCAGAAGAAGCAGGAACAACAGGTGGAGCAGCAGCAGCAGCAGCAGCAGCAGCTAGGAATGCATCAATATCAAGTTCAGCAGCATGTGGTAACTCATATACAAGTTGAACCACAAGTCGCACAAGCATCAGAGCACCAGAAGCAGACTTCACCTCAACAACAACCTGTAAGTAAGCCACCTCTGAGCTCCCAGGAGCTTCAAAGCAGAAAGGCTCAGGCCATGAAGAACCGGCCCTGGCTTCAGAAGCCAGCCTCAGGAGAGAATAAAACTCCAGATCCAGAACAGGATTCCACTCAGGAACCTAGACAGACACAGCCACGGTCAGAAAGAGAAACTGTGGGATCAGTTCAGGTTGTTCCACAGCATACAGCTGCCAGACCACAGCCTGAGACACATGCAAAGGTTACTGAGCAACCACAACAGCAGCAAAAAGAGCAACAAAAACAAACACAGCAACTCCAAATCCAGCAGCAGCAGCAGCAGCAGCAGCAGCAGCAGCAGCAACAACATCAGCAGCTGTCATATCACCAACAACAACAAAAAGAAATGCATCAGCAACAACAACTACAGCGTCTGGAAAAACAGGAACGGATGCTGCAGCAGCAACAACAACAACAGCAATCACAACAACCACTGCCTGTAAGAAAGGCACAACCACATTCAGACACCAAGGCTAAATCACAGAAAGCAACTATGGCTCAGCTTCACCCACAAACAAAGGCCAAAAACCAGTCACAAGCCCAGACTTCAGTTCATTCTAAATCACAGACACTGGTCCAAGTGCAAATGCAGTCTACAAGTGTGTCCCACACTATGACAGACAGTCAGCAACCACTGAAAACCATGTCCCAAACCAGAGTAAACCAGGATCAGACACAAGTTCTTCAGCAGCCCCATGGCCCCATGAAGATGCAGTCACCGACCCAACTACAGCCCCAAGTTCAGACTCAGCCCCAAACATATGTCCCAGCTGGACCTCAGCCATCTATGCAGCAACAGGGTCTAGGCCATGGCCCAGCTGTAGCTCAAGTACAGACATGGGCTCAAGTCAGACCTTCTTCCCCTATGCAGACTCCAATGCATGGCCAAATTCCGCCTCCTGTGCCATCTCACATTCAGCTTCGTAGTCATCCACAGTCATGGGCTCCTGTTAGGCCCCCCTCCCCTAAGCCTCCAACACATACCCAGTCTCAAATTGATGCTCAGTCAATGTCCCAGTCTCAAACCCATCCTCAGTTAATGCCCCAGTCACAAATCCATCCTCAGTCCATGGCCCAGCCTCAAACCCATCCTCAGTTAAAGACCCAGTCTCAAATCCATCCTCAGTCCATGGCCCAGTCTCAAACCCATCCTCAGTTAAAGACCCAGTCTCAAATCCATCCTCAGTCCATGGTCCAGTCTCAAACCCATCCTCAGTCCATGGCCCAGCCTCAAACACATCCTCAGCCAGTGGCTCAGCCAAGCCACCTCCAACCTTCAACCCAACAAACCCAATCTCAACTTGTAGTCCAGCCTCAGGGTCATTCTCAGCCTATGACTCAGTATCCCATTCATGCTCAGCCAGTGGTACAGCACCAAGGCCATATTTCCCAGGGCCAAATCCATACATGGACTCAAGTTAGAGCATCATCACCAATGTCTATCCAGCATCCACAGGCTACAGCACAACCTCCATGTTACCCCCAAGGTTACTCTCAGGGTCAGTCTCCATCCCAGCAGTGGACACTCAAACAGGAGCCACAAAGCCAAGCCGTTGCCCAGCAGAGGCATCCAATTCCCCAACCATACCCTCAGCAAATAGGTCAAGCTCCACAGGCTCAGGCTTATCCAACAGTTCAGGCTCTATCACAGTGGTCCCAAGCTGGGCCTCAGCTAGGACCTCAGATAGGGCCCCCGGAGTATTCTCACATGGGACCATCATATACTCAACCTCAGATGCAGCCACAAACACAACCCTGGGCTCAAACACAACCCCAAGTGAGACCCCAGAGTTCTATGCAACAACAATCTCAGATGAGTTCTTATGATATGTTTCATATCCAGACACAACAAGGCCAAGTTCAGCAACAAACATGGGTTCAGTCACCACCTCAAATTCCACCCCAGCCTTATCCCCAGCCTCATCCTCAGCCTCATCCTCAATCTCAGCAATATCCACAGGTTCAACATCAGCCTCAAACTCAGCGTCACTCACAGCCACAGATGCAAGCTCAAATACCTCCCCAATTGCAACTGCCACAACTTCTTTCACAGCCCCAGCTTCAACATCAGCTGCAGGCTCAGTCTCAAACACACATCCAGACACAGCCATCGGTACAAGTAAGGCCCCAGTCCCAGACTCAGCAGCCTCAGATCAATCTTCAGTTTCAGCAGCCACCTCCACAACCCAAACATCAAGCCCAGCTACAACCACAACCAAAGATTCAGTCACCTACTCGACCAAAAGGTGAATCACCTCCACAGCCCAAACTTCTTGCCCAATTAGTTACACAACCAGAGTTTCAATCAGCAACTCAACCTATGGTTCAGTCACCAACTCAATCCAAGGCTGAATCACTGCCGCAACCCACACCTGAGCCCCAGTTTGCGCCACAGCCCATGGCTCAGTCACCAATCAAGGCCGAATCACCACCACAACCAAAATTGCAGGCCCAAACTGCACCACTACCTGATGCTCAATCACCTACCCAACCCAAGGCCCAATCACTGCCACAACCCAAACCTCAAGAACCATTGTCACTACAGCCTCAACTTCAGGCTCAGTCACCAATACTACCCAAGGCCCAAACGGCACCACCATCTGAAGCTCAATCACCAACTCAACCAAAGGTTCAGTCACCAACCCAACCCAAGGCCCAATCACTGCCACAACCTAAACCTCAGGCACAATTACCACCACAGCCCCAAATTCAGGATCAGTCCCCACTCCTCATGGCCCAAACTGCACCACAGTCTAAGGCTCAATCACCCCCACAGGCCAGACCTCAGACCCAACCGCTTCCACAGTCAAAACCTCAAACTCAGTCTCCTCCGCAACCCAAACCTCAACAACCCCAAACTGTTCTCCGCTCCCAGGTCAATGTGCTGCCTCAGTCCCAGGCTGAGTCACCAGACCTGTGCATTACACCTCCGGCCCTGGCCCAGGTGCCTCCCCAGGCCTACACAGAGGCTTACACCAAGGCCCAGGCTTTGGCCAGAAATGGCTTTGAGGAGGCCAAGCACTGTCTGCAGGAACACATCCTGGAAACCATTAACGTTTTTGAGGACAAACGTATATCAACTGAGCAAGTATCAGTGAAAGAGGTAAATGTGATAACTGATAATCACTTCATTATAATGTTCTACTCAGCGAGTAACCTTAATTAGTAAGTTTTAAGCTGCAAGATCTTCATGCAATTAGAGCTCAGTTTTTGTACTCTATGTTGCTAAAATGTATATAACAATTAAAACGGTATACCCAGTTTGTGAAAACTACATTTGACATTTGTCAAACACTGAGTGCTGTAATAACCTTTGATAGTGAGATATTTCAGATAAAATATGCCAAAACACACTATTTGTCTTTTTTTCCTGTTACAGTTTTTAACTGAAATAAACCAATTTTCAAGAAGCCAGTATATATGCAATTATATATGCCTTTCCCCTCAGGAGACTCTAAGGACCTTGGACCCAGAGTTGCTGGAGGAGTTCTTGAGAGCAGCCAAGGGCATGGAGGCCTTTTGTACCCCCTCACAGCTCAGAGACATGGAGTTCTACACCCAGTCAGTCAGGACACAGTGGGAGGTAAGCCGCAAACTCTCTCAGCCCCTTACTGGGTTTTATATTAGGTTTTTTATAATGTTTTAACGTGTTTGAGGTTTGAAGATAATTGCTTGTGCATGTCAACCATAAATGTACTAAACTGTTGCAACATTTTCTGCCTTTGTCAACTTTATTTTAAAAGATATGAATGTCATCCAGTTGTTCATTTGCATGCTTATAAACCATTCATATGTTTTAACGTGTGGTTTTTCTTAAATTCATTTTATTTTATTTCCCAGGCTGTGAGAGCTGAGATCTCAGGCTTTTTGCAGCAATTACGTTTTGAAGTAACAAGGAAAGACTTTAACACAGCTGCCCTACAGTGTGAGATGCACTTAAGGTCCCGATTAGAAAACCAAGCGCAGGTAGTTAACGCTAGAGCTGAACTCTTGGCAGGTGTGCTTTGGTGTTTGGGTATGCATTCGGTTTATCTGCTCCGCGTATCTAACCCTGTTTCCTCCTTCTTCTTTGTATGCCTCAAAGGAGACTCTATCAATGGGACTTGGTAAATTTGATACTTCATTCTGGTTTCTCTTTAAGAGAGTGCTGTTTTAGTTTTGTTTACGTTACCATATAGTATAATGCTATAATTTAGTAACTTGCTGGGCCAGAAAAGACAAACCTACTCAGGTAAAGGTAAACCTACTCAACAAAGTAACATAATAAAAGAAATGAGCTAATTAAGTTGAAATTCTCAAAGATTTCCAATTGAAAACAGCATTCTTTTATTTTTTTGTGCAGTAAACATGTGGGCTGCTGTCATGTATGGGTTGGCTTGTGTGTTGTCTGTCAAGCAATCAACTTCAGACATAAATTTGATTCTAATTGATATAATATTGCTATGCTATTAGGCAGGACAAGCAAGGTAAAATTTACATTGCAAGTCTGCCCAGATTTGTCTGAAGTCTAAAAAACAAATTAACGAATACAATGAACTAATAAAAAATAGGGTTTAAGTAGGTTCAAACTGGTAGTATTAATCATCTGGCTTCAAATCTAGTTATTAACATGCCTGATTACTTACTCTTTGATCTGTCAACATTCACCAGGCTTGTATCTCAGAGGATGGCAGCTTTGCCCAGGCAGGGCAGCACCTCGAGGCCCTGAAAGAGCTGTGTGACACCCTGAGCCCAGAGGATGCTCACCGCCTGGCCCAGACTCAGCTAAGGGAGTGCGAGAACAGGCTGGCTGCCATCCAGCGCCAGTTCAGCGGAGACCAAGATGCACCACTCCCAGATTCTAGGTGAGATGATATTATTTTTTCCTCTACACTGACATCTATTTAAATTAAGAAAAGTCTCAGTTTTAGATCATTTCTGGGTTATAAAGCTCCTTCATGAGCGAGACATTTCAGTTCCATTTGTGGCTGTTTAAAGACAGATTCTGTTTTGTGAATCAGTTAAGATAAAATGTTAAATAAAAACAATTTTATTTATTTATTTATTTTGGTTTCACAGGATCTCTGTTGCCTTTAGTGAGGATCTGACCACACAAAAGGAACCTCCAAGACCAAGTGACAAACCTCAGATCTCAGCTGAGGTATGACTTTGTCAAAAAGAAGCCCATCAAGACTGTATGATTGTTAAAAATAATAAAAAATACATAATCCAAACAGAGAATTGTATAAAAAGTTCCCTAAACAGTAAATAATCTATTAGTTTTACACAGAATTCTTGTAGTTACTAAGTTCACTATTTGTGTTCATTGTACAGTTTTGAATAAAAAATAACCATAAAATATCAGTTTACTAAATGGTAGAAAAGGGGTACTTTTAGTAAAAAGGTTGGGAACCACTGCCTTTTTTCCACAGAACATTTGCAGAATGTGCTAGCTCTTCTCTAGTCACTGTTTCACATTTATCTGCATTTATACCTTTAAGGATATACTGTCTTCTACAGACGGTCACTGAGCAGCTCCCGAGGTTTGAAATAACCGACAACATGCTTTCACTTTTCAGGTGTTTCAAGTACCAATGAAGACAGTCAGTTTGGAGAGGAGGGAGGTTGAAAAGCAGATGTCTGTAGAGGAAGAAGTCAACAAGAAGGAGGCTTTAGAGAGGTAGAATTTAGCTCAGTTTAGGTTTTGATGAGCTAACATTCATTGTACTGATAAAATTTGGAGGTCATTATATTCAGTCTTTAACTTGTTGTCTTTCTTTGTTTTAACTTCTCCAGATATGAAAATTGTAAGAGGATGCTGCAAGCCCAACTGGCCAAAAATGAACAGAGCATCCAGGATGTTCCCTCTGACTCCGTCTCTCTTAAAGGCCTGCATACAAGGCTCCAGGAAATACAGGTAAGCTACAAATTGCGTGTATCAGAAACAGATTTAAATACTAACTAATTATTGGAAGATTGTTTCAGTGTCTGGAGTATTTTTACAGATATTTACTAATTGGATCAATACCCATGACATGCCAGTAATCTTGAGTTGAACCCCTTATTTCCCAGTTCTTGAGGCAGGAAACAGAATCTCTGTGGTCTGAGTATGCAAACCAGTGCTCCCAGTGTTCCCAGATGAGCGGGGACACTGGTCGGGAGCAGGAGAAGGCAGAGCTGCAGGAGCAGTGGCGCACCCAACAGTCCAACCTTCAGAAGAGAGGCAGCTCCCTGGGCGCTGCCCTCAGACAGATCGACTCCACCGAGAACCACATGGTGGACTTCACCGACCGTCTGGACCGCTTTCTAAGACAGCCCAAAGACATCACTGCCTTCACACTGGCCAACACCAACATCCTGAGAGATATTAAGGTATTCTGTCATGAATGCCTTTCTTTTGTGTTTATGTATTCTTTGATTGTCTAAAATCCTAAAAGTCTATCAGTATGTTTGTAAAATAGGTTTCAAATTGCATTCATAATGATCTGAAAAAGTTCTTAAAATGTCTTAAATTTAAAACCTGGAAACCAGGAAACCTGCAGAAAACCTGTTATTAATAGTGACTCCTCTCTGAGACCCAAATTTAATAAAATGTATATGCAGAAAATAGTGCAGCCTATATTATCAAAAATAACTAAGTCAGAAAGCCCTACTAATCAGTGATTGGATGATCAAGACTAAAGGTGTGTTCAAACTGAACACATTTCACACAAGTTGAATATTTTTCAACTCGAGCAAAAGATTGCTGCTTATCCCAAGACTAGATGAATCCATGAATGTACGACAACCAGAGGAAAACGGACACAAAAAGGTGGAAGATTTCTCTGAAGAACTAGAGTTAACCTTCTTACAGTAAACAAAACAAGCCACAGGTCAAATTCTAGCAAATAAAAAGAGGAAAAAATGCCTTTCTTTCAGTCTAAATGCACCTTAACATTACACTTGTATCTCAAGCAGCTTTGGCAGAACACTTCACAGCCTCCTCATCTCAAACTACTCTCTCCTCTTACGACAGGAGCTGGATGACAACATCCAGAGCGAGCTGGACCAGGTGTCCCGTCTGGACCCTGAATCCAGCGATCTGGACCCAAGAGACTGCTTCGCTCTGTCCTGTGAGGTTGAGACTCACAGAACCAGCCTGGATCAGCTTCGACAGCAGGTCCGCAAGAGCGAAGCAGCCGCACGTGCCCTCGACCGTTTCCTCATGTCTTTGCGTACCGTAGATGAAGACATCTCTGGAGTCCAAGGCGCCCCCTGCAGTGACGCTCAGGTACTGCAGGAGTGCCGTTCCAAGCTGGCTCTGATCAGGCAGAGCATCGACAGTCTGAAGGAAAAGGCGCCTCAGCTGGATCTGCTCCTGCAGGGGGCCAGGCTGACGGTCACCAGGGATGCTGTCCCAGCCTCCTGCCTGGACATGGTGACTGCCCTGCTGAGAAGGCTGGAGGAGGCTGACAATGGGCTGGCCAGCCAGCAGAAGGGCATTCAGAAGGAGACACACAGCAAATCCCTGGGCCTGAGGAAGAGGACACTGCTGGGGGAGCTGAGGACGCTGCAGGATACTATTGAAACACAAGGCCTGAAGGAGCCCACCATGCCTGCTGTACAACACAGGTGCATTATGTGTCTTTCTGCTCATGCATTACTTCAGCTAACTTTCTGATGGTTGTAATTTTAATTTTGTTATATCTAAAGACATTTGCTTGAAGAATTAAACGCCTGATTTCCAAAAATAACGTCCTGATAATAATCTTGTACTTCCCAGGCTTCGTGCCCTGTCAGATTTGGAGGGTCAACTTCAGGCCCAGCATGCCGAAGTCCAGAACCTCCGTGAACTTCAAGAAGAACAGGGAGGAGGAGAAAACCTCTTTGAAGAGCTGGAGACTCAGTGGAAGGAGACCCAGAAAGCTTTTTCTGACAGGTAGGTTAGGCAGGAGAAGCATGTTCAGATCAAGTAACTAAATAAATAGAAAAAAATATTAAGCCATTAGGAAGAAGTGACTGCTGGCCACCCTATATGTTAGCTGAAACAAACTGTAACTGTAAACCTAAACAGATTAGTCTATTTATTTGACCAACACACTGACATCAGTGGACTACAAACTGTAGCTTCTACTGGATATGGGTGTCTTTGATAAAAAAATATTGATATTACCTCGTATGATATTCATGTAAGCTATCCTTACAATTCATTTTCAGTGCTACTGTTGGCTAAAAGCAGTGTTGCGAGACTTTACCTAAAATCCCTTGTGTTCTTGTCTTCCTCCGGCAGGAAGAAGCAGTGCAACGCCCTGCTGGAGCTTCTGAAGAAGTTCCAGAGCTGCCGCAGTCACCTGAGCAACACCATGCAGAGAGCAGAGCAGGCGATCGGTGATCAGGCTTCCTACATGGGCAAGGACAACCTGCAGAGGAGTATAACCAAGGTTAGTCCACAAGATGACCTACATTTGAATCTCATCAATTCAAAACATAGCATTCTAGATAAGAGGAAATATGTATGTTTGATTGATTTGAGATGGAATGTCCCTTTTAATATAATGAATAAGAAGCAACATTTAACATGTGTATGTACCGCACATGTGCAGTAAATGTAACAAACCAGTAGATGGCAGACAAGTTCTAAAATGAGAACAGTCACTGTGTGTTCAGGTTAACAGTGTGTTCACTTGTGTGTGTGTTTGTGTGTGTGCAGGTCCGTGATATTAAAGAGGAGCTGGGGGGTCTTGGGCAGCGTATGGAAGAGATGAGGGGAGTTTGCAGACAGCTGCAGTCCCAACTGAAGAAGTTCCCAGACTGTAGTGAGACTCCCTTTGAAGCTGAGGCTGACACACTCATGGACAACTGGCTGGATGTAAGCGCCTATGCATACATTCACAACATATGGATCATGTACTTTATTATAAACAGATAGATTTTTAGATATTGTACTAAATGTGTAAGTCCAAGGAAGGATACAGGTCACAGAAGGAATTTAAACTTTTGCTTCAGTGTTTAATCACACGGCTTGGCTAAACCCTCTGAGATCACAGTACCTCCTGCCTCCAGACTAGCTCTGTCTGTGAGAAATATAGGAAATTAAAAAGACTAAATTCAAGATTATAATTATTATTATTTCATCATAACTTGACTGAATATTTCTGATTTGTGGCACTCCTGCAGGTGACAGAGAAGACAGATGCCTACATGGACAACCTCCGGGTGGCGCTGGAGCTGTGGGAGAAGCAGCTAATGTTGGGAGGAGAGGTGGACACCTGGGCGGGGGCCAAACTGGCCCTGTTTGCGGAAAGCCATCCCTTCCACAATGAACAACAAGTACTTGCCATGAGGGTAAGATTCCCACAAAAGTAACATTGAGCCTGAGCAACCTCCCAAAAAGAGCACTTAAAGTGATTTAAAGGGAAAATCCTCAACCGTTGTCAGACTTTTAGATTATGTCCCTTGATCTTTTAATTTCTCCCATATTATGTTAACTTTTCATTGCTGTGTAGGATGAGATCCATGCCAATGAGGAGAACATTGAGCATTTCCTCAAGAAGTCTGTAGAGATCCAGGAGATGCTGCAGAGTCAGGAGGCACCGCTGGAGCTTCAGGTCAGTTTGATTGATTGATCCCTTCTGCTTTTATTCTTATAAGTAGATTTCCACGTTACACTGTCTTTATCCTGTTTCAATAAGGTGATGGAAACTCAGCTGAAGAAGCGGATGCAGCAGGTGCAGGAACTGTTCTCCGACTGCACTGACGTCTTTGAGGAGCTGATAGCTGTGAAAACCCACCTGGCTGAGAAGATAGAGGAGTGCCAGTCAGCTGTGGAGAACATCCAGTGTTCTCTCAGCAGGGTTGATGCAACACAACCGAAGGTGGAAGACCAGATTCAGGTACACGGCTGTTCAACGTTGTAACTCTATTTGATATAATTCTTTATTTTATAGACCTACTATAAGTAGTATAATAAACATATTGCACTGGGTCCTATCTAATCAGTTTCAAATCATGTATGAAGTATATTTTTGACATCATCTGGCGGGCCAGAGGGAGGCGGTTGGAGAGCCGGCAGTTTGAGTTCTCCTTGCTCTAGAATAACTGCCATTGTCACCGTTTTATTTGTTGTCCTCACCAGGATCTGTGTGACGATCTGGAGGCTCAGGAGGAGCAGGCTGAGGCTGTGTTGAAGGAGGTGGGTTTGGTTTCCAGTGTGGCCAGTCCTCAGGTTCTGGAGGCGCTGTCTGTAGACTGCAACAGGATGAGGGAGGCCATCTCCCGCACCAAGGACATGATCCACCTGAAGCGGGAGGAGAGGGACAAAGGCCTGCTCAAGGTTATCAAAGGTTAGTGTTGAGTCTGTCCCTCCCATTTAAGTAGATTACAGTGGATGTGTTTTCAATCATGTGCTGTATTGCCATTGGGAAATTGATACCATTAAATAAGAGAGTTCATAATCAGATCTCTTTTGCAAGAAACACCTTAGCACAGCAGAAGTATGAAGAAGTACAGAAATAAGACATGCAGTGTCATACCAGTCACACAAACCTTTTTCACACATATAACGTAAATGACTGGAATAACCTTTAGGGCACTGGAATAACCTTTTCACACATGCCACGGCAATGCTGGAATGGATGGGGCAAGGGAGTCCAGTAGATGGCGGTACTGAAACACTAATGAATGCCAACTGCCATAAAACTCAATGGAAGAATATGATGGGGATGTACATGTACAAGGCGACACTACACTGTGTGGTGAAAGCTCATTTGTACTCATTTTTCTTTTTTAATATTCTTTTTATGAATCATGTATTGTAATTATACATGACGTTAACATGTTTCATTTTGCTCCAGATGAAAAGCAGTCCTTTGAGGCATGGTTCCAGGACTTGCAGGTGTCCGTCAATGAGTGCTTTGAGAACCCTGAGTGCAGGACAGATGTGGAAACATCTCTGCAAAGACTCACTGTAAGTAGATAAATAAGTTGGTAGATAGATTCTGTAGATGGTTGGATGATGGATGGATGAGTCCTTAACAGATTCTCTCATGTACATCAGGCCTTCTTGAAATCCAAGGATGCAGAGAGACGTCTGGTCCAGCTGAAAAATCAGCTGGAGAGGGGCAGCCAGCAGGTTCCTCCCCAGCAGCTCTCTGAGTTCACCGACTGGCTGAAGGAGCAGCAGGAGGAGGTGGGCACATTCGGAACCCACTGCCACAACAGGCAGAAACAAATGGAGTCACTACTCAGTGACTTGAACAGGTAATTGCTTCATTTTGTTCCCTTAACAGCAAATCTGCACATTAAGATTTCTGTGTGTAAAATCTGGCTGTTTTGATCAGGAATCTCTCAAACTGCAGTGAAATGTTGAGTGTCATTATAACCACTGAGAAAACATGTATTTTGAATTGTGTCTTTTGTTCTCTAGTCTGCAGAAGCAACACGACAGCTTCCGTGATTGGCTGCAGACCAAAGAAAAACAGTCTGTGGAGTCAGACAAAGTCAAACATCTTCTCAAAGACCTTCAGGATGAGAGGTGATCATCGACGGCCAAACACTAGAGCATGAAGCCTGAAACTGTTAAACAGTGATGCTTCTGTTCTTTCTACTTCTTTTGTATACCACTTTCCATTGTGTCTTTATATTTATGTCTTATGTAAAGCACTTTGAATTCCCTTGTTGTTAAAAGTTGTTATACAAAAAATTTAAATTTGTATTGCCCTTCCTGTGACAGTGGGAGAGCTGACACCCTCAGCGAGGTTTTAGCGTCAGTACGCAGGCAAGGAGTCAGAGCCGAGAGCCTCCTGAAGGACAGTGACAACTTGATACAACGCTACCGAAACCTGGAAGCCAGGCTGCAGCAGCAGGCAGACGCCCAGAGAGCCTTGGAGGGGGAATGTGACAAGTTTAATACCCAGGCTGAGAGCACCAGGACCTGGATTACTGACCTTCTGCGACCCCTCACCTCCGCTGGCACAGGAAACCAGACAGAGGAGATGAAGAACAAGGCACAGGTCAGTGAAACCCAATTTGATTGAATTTAGAATGCAGAGGAAATTAATAAGATAATACAATTTATTCTTATATAGTAGAAAGTCTTTGATCAAATCAGACTTTTTCTTTCTTTTGCACTTCTGGATGGGAAATAGTCTGTTTCTCTTTTCTGTGTTTTATTCCACAATTCTTGATTTCAAAACCAAACCTATGGGGCACATAAACTATTGGCCAATAATGGGAAATTTATATTGTTATGTATTATCATTATTAAATTATCGGTTCATAATGAATTCTCGAATTCTTATGATTAAATTCTTACAACTAGTTGATAGGCTTTATGTTCTTTGAATGTTCGTTTCTTGCTATCAAGTGTGCATAAACTACACATTAATAACTATTGTTGTGATCTTATCGATCGTGCAATTGACGCTGAAGGATATTAGGTAATTCAATTTGGACCAAACTGTTGGACCAACAGACTGATATTTGTCCTATAGCTATGCTGCTAACCCAACATCACTAAAATGTGTTTTCCTTTTTCAAATGTCATTTCTCCCGTTTTGTCACCAGGTCATCCTGAACTCCAAACCTGAGGGAGACTCTAAAGTGAACGACCTGAGGAGACGAAGCAAAAGTCTGTGTGAGCAGGAGGACCTGGAGAAGGGCAGGAAACAGGAGATTCAGCAGTCAGCCAGAGAGACCGAGGCGCAGTGGAGGACGACTCTGCAGACAGCTGAGGAGGCTCTCAACAAGGCAGAGACACAAGCCCTGCTCGACAAGGACTTGGACGCTTTCAGAACCCAGAACGAAAGTGTTCAGTCCTGGATTAGAGACCAGGAGCAGAACCTGCAGTCGATTGATGGCTGCATGCAAACTGAAGAAAAGCCTCAGATTGCACAAGTGAGTTTAAAATGGTTGTGGATCAGTTTGTTAACATTGTGGTGGATTGTAGAACATCTTATAAAGGACGGTTTTTAAAGGATAGAGCCAATGTGGTCACCTAAAGTGATATTTGTTCTCTTCAGGCCACTCTGAGCTCCAAGCCTGATGGAGACTCAAAGCTCCAGGACCTGAAGCGACAATGCCAGAGTCTGTGTGACAACCAGGGCCTGGATGAGAGCAGGAGAAGAGAGGTTGAGCATGCAGTCAAATGCAGAGAGAAGGAGTGGAGTAAAGTCCTGCAGGCTGCTGAGCAGGCTCTCAACAAGGCAGAGACTGAAGCCACCACCGAAAGAGACTTTGATGCTTTCAAAACCCAAAGTGAAAGCATCCAGTCCTGGATCAGAGAGCAGAAGCAGAAGCTGTCCCCTGGTGGTCATATGCAGTTTGAAGAAAGGTTACAACTCGCACAGGTGAGTTTAAAAGGCAGGTTTGACTTGAAAACCAGATATATTTTCAAGCAGCAAATAGATTTTTTAATCTCTCTTGGACCACCACTAGGCGTGCTAGAATACTTAAAAAACACACACAGTAGGCCTATATTTCAGCATTTGGTTCACTTCTGTGAAGAAAAGTAAATGTAAAGTAAATTGTCTAAAAGAACAATGACCCAGCATCAGGTACAAGAAAACACAGAATTTGTCAAAACTTATGATCTCTAAGTTCCCACACCACCATTTCTGCGTCTCCACCTTCAGGCTCTTATGACCTCCAAACCTGAGGGAGAGTCCAAGGTGCTGGACCTGAAGAGGCGAGGTGACAGTCTGTGCGAGTGTCTCGGGGAGAGCAGGAAGCCAGAGATTCAACAGCTGCTAAAAGACACGGAGCATCAGTGGAGAACGGTTCTGCAGACCGCCAGACAGGCAGAGCTCCGAGGTCTATCAGACGACTTCGACACTCAGAGTAAGAACACTCAGTCCTGGATCAGAGACAGACAACAGAAGCTGCAGTCTGTGGGCGCTCGCACACCACCTGAAGAGAGAACCAACACAGCTCAGGTCTGTCTGAACTCACTGTACTGTAGTAGCAATGTGTTTTATGACTTTTGATACATTGGCTTTAACAAAATATGGACATTAATGCAGTTTACAACATCCATCTCTCTTAGGTAGAGCATGTCTTTGTTTTAAGGCAGAATTTGAACTACTCTGTGTGTTTTGGTGGTCAGAAAAGTCATATGAAATACTTTATGCTAAACATCAACATCAGCATGCTAAGGCTAACAAACTGCTCAAAGCCAAGCCAATTAAATTAATTTATTCCTTGTTTCAAATATTTGAATGAATCAAATCTATTGCGTTTAATAAATATTGTGTGGGTTTTTTTGTCTGCAGACCATCTTGAGCTCCAAACCTGAAGGTGACTGTAAAGTGAATAACCTGAGGAGGCGAGGCCAGAGTCTGTGTGACCATCAGGACGCAGACGAGGGCAGGAAAGCCCACATTCAGCAGACAGTGAGAGACACAGAGGAGCAGTGGAAGACGGTCCTGCAGGCTGCTAAACAGGTCGAAGCCGCTGCAGGAGCTGAGATCACCCAGGAGGCCGAGAGAAAGAAGCTGGAGGTAAGAGAACTCAAACTGTAGACAGAGTTATCCAGAATGACTAACAGTGTAAAAGCTTGTTTTTGCTACCGCATATGATTAAAAAAAGTATCCATCCACAAGCAACTTGGAAGTCTTGAGTCCATCTTGAGAGCTTTCTGTGAAATCCCTCGCAGCTCTGTCATCTGTTACGGTTCTTTCTGTTTTCTTTTCTTCTCTTATAAGCCCATAAGGTAGAACTTCTTAAAAGTGCATGTAATACAGAAAAGCACGTTGATTTGCTCTGAGTGGAGGCTACCAGACAGCACAAGGACTCCAGCCAATCTGAGCATGGTGATCTTCATTACTAAGGACCATGCCGTTTATATTATATATATATATATATATATATATATATATATTACTTGGAATATATTTGATGAGTAAATATTTGATACACTTTGGTCAGGACAACTACTAAATGGCAGTATGTGACCATGCACACACAGTGGGAGTGTCCTCCTCCATCCTGTTGGAGGGCAGTTTTCGTTGATCCAGTTTGAACTGCCTCATTATGTATGTATATTTCCCTTTTCAGCTGAGAGAATTTGATACCCATCAGCAGGACACTGACAGCTGGCTTAAAGACTTCCAACAACAACTGGACTCACTGAACAGCCAAACCAAAGCTGAGGACAGACTGCGCGCAGCTCAGGTGAGCTGCTGGGTCATGTTAAAGGGAGCAACAACATCCTTCTCTAGCACAAAAATGCATTGAGTTTTTCACTGCTGGTCAGAAATTTTTTAAGCCTCTTTCAGCTAATTTTTGTCACTTTTGGTTCAGCACTCTCATCAAACCAGTGTAAGTTTAGTCAGTCACCTGCTAAAATGACATGAATTTGTATTTGGTTTGTGCCCCAACCAAATAATGCTGTGATGGATGGACACAGATTACGTTCATGGCAAGTCTTAACTATGCAATGTCCGTATTTTATCCCCAGGCCATTATGAGCTCCAAGCCCCAAGGAGACTCCAAGCTCCAGGAGCTCAGGAGACGAAGCCAAAGTTTGTGTGGGCAGGACCTCGAGGAACACAAAAAACAAGAGCTTCAGCAAAAAGTAAGAGGCGCTGAAGAGCAGTGGACAAGAGTCATGCAAAATGCCAAACAAGCCCTGGATCAGGCTGAGAAACAGTGTGCTCTGGAGGGCCATATGAGAGACTATAAAGCCCTGAGAGAAAACACCAGAACTTGGCTGGAAGACAAGCAGCAGAGCCTTGTGTCCCTGGACAGTCAGACAGACCCAGAAAGCATCATCAACACGGCACAGGTTAGTTTGAACCATAAAAGGTTTTCAGCAAAAATATATCCCGTAGATCCTCCAGATTTAGCTGACAAGCATGTAGTTTTTGCTCTTAGTCTAAATTATTCAAGCTGTCACGCCTTCACATTTGCATGCTTTTTTAATCCTGAGCAGAAATAGGTTTGTTTTTCTTGTAGTGTTTTTGATATTAATATATCACCACTAATCAAGGTATAAGTATTGTATGTACAGGATTGATTTGTTGTTGGGTTTTATTGTGTTAATCACTCCACATCCCATCACATCTGTATTTACCTTTCTGTTAACAACACTTTGTAACTTCAGTTTCAAAAGTGTAATTAAACAAAGAAATATTTCTTGATACTCAGACTATCCTAAGCTGTAAGCCTGAGGGAGACTCCAAGCTGACAGAACTGAGGAGACAGAGCCAGAGTCTGTCCGACCAGGAGGACCTGGAGGAGAACGCGAGACGAGAGGCCCAGCAGACGGTAAAAGACTCAGAGGAGCAGTGGAGGACGGTCCTACAGTCCGCTGAGAACACTCTGAAGAAAGCGGAGGTCCAGTACTCGCTCTCCAGGGAGCTGGAGGCCTTCCGTATCCAAGCAGAGAGTACAAAGACCTGGGTTAAAGAGCTGCAGCAACAGGCTGAGTCCAAAGGGAGCAGCACTCAGGGCAGCCGGGCTCAGATAGAGGACAGGCTGAACACAGCACAGGTAAAACATGCAATCTGAGGTGTGTTTTTTAATAATATGTAATGGTAATTCAGGGAGGTTTGTCAGGCAACACATGAGAAAACTGTGTATGATTGTGTATTTAGGTCATCCTGAGCTCCAGGTCCAATGGTGAGGCACAAGTGACGGGGCTGAAGAAACGAGCACAGAGCCTGTGTGAGCAAAAAGACCTTGAGGGAGACAAGAAACTGGAGGTTCAGCAGACGGTCAAAGACACTGAGCAGCAGTGGAGGACGGTCCTGCAGGCTGCTGAGGAGACACAGAGGTACTGGATGCTGTTTTTAGCTTCCTGAGAAGCTAAAATTCAATTTACAGAAGCCCTGAGAGGCAACTGAGAATTTCCGATTTTCTAAGTCTAGTCTAAATAGTTTTCTCTCCATTGTTTATGACACAAAAACAAAGAAATTGAATTGGCATTCATATTTTCTTCCATGTGAGTTTGAAATTTCTTCATGCACATGATATATATATTTTGTGTTAGCAAGTAATGTACCATTACTGTCTAATGTCTTTCTTTTGCCTTGAAATATATTTTAATCAGACCTATCTGCCGTTGACTTGGAAGAAAACATGAATGCTTGTAGTCCTATTTAGAAAATGGGGTAGTGGTGCACCTCAGCCTCCTGTGGCTGAGAAAACTATTTAGATCTGATGTGGAATTTTTTTAAGTTTTAGTTGTCTCTCAGGGCTTCCGTATGAATGAAACCACAAAGATTAACTTTCAAAACAGAAGTTGTTCCTGATAGATTACATGTTTGTTTCTTAGCTAAATGACAACCTGAATGTTTTGTTCATTGCTTGCTGATAAAAAGAGATGGAACAAAAACAACCATTGGTTAAGGTTAAGTAGCTAATGTCAAAGTGCATTAAGATACAGAAACATTAATGGAGGCTAGATTCTTGTTTTAAAAAATAACTTTAAAACGTTTTAAAAAAAGTCAGTAATTTATTTGCCCAAGAAGTTTGGATTTTCTGGCCCCAGTTACTGACAAACCCAAACCCAACCTTCAGATGTCCTTGAAATTACATTATACTGTATCCATGTTTTCTATCCATGGTTCTGTGATCACTTGAATTTGAAGGTTGAACCTGATGTCCTAATCTTACACCTGCTGTTACCCATCAGGCAATTGAAGGGTGTTGTGGACCGCCTGGCGTCCTGTCAGCACCAGCAAAGTCAGGCTGAGGCCCGTCTGTCTGAGCTTCAGAAGCAGACGTCCAGCCTGCCGCGTGCCTTCCCCTGGCCGGGCCTGGGAGAGCGGAGGCAGGTGGTGGAACAGGCCCGGACCCTGCTGGACCAGAGCACAGCTTTGGCCCCCGTCCTCTCAGACGTACGCAAACAGGTAAAGACCTGGACTTAAGAACTATGTATTTTTTCGAATATTATTAATCATTATTCATGAAAATGTAATATAAACTAAAAAAGATTTCAACCTGTACTGCACTGTTTCCTCAAGACCGCACAGCTGTTTGAGATCACACAGGACCGTGGCTGGTCAGATCCCTCCTGGGAAGCCAAGGAGGAGTCCATTCCTGCCCTGCTGAAAGAGCTGACTGTAAGTTATTAGAGACACGATCTACAGTAATCCTAAAGAAAAATAAAAGGAGCTTCTTTATTGTTGACTTTTTTAATGATTTAAGTTTTTCACTCTCCCAATATAAATGTATATTTGCATTGAGAAATGTTGATGTAAATATGACGTAATTCCTAATTAATAACAATAGTTAATTTCATAATGTGTCAGTTTTAGAAAATGCAAGTGTCTTATATCTTTTACAATTTATTATTAGTAGATCCTTTTATTTATGGGCAGTTATCTTTATAACACTGATATGCTATAAAACTAGTGTGTTATATTATATATATATATATATATATAGTGAAATTCCACTTTACTCCTTTGTTTTTAGGCTGCTATAGCTAACCTGGAGCAGGGCATTATGACGGAGAGGCAGTGCACCCAGCTGGTCGAGCAGCATGAAGCAGCCCAGGACTGGCTGAGGGAGCAGGTTAAAGGCCTGGGAGCTCCTCCAGCAGACAGACAGGGTCTGCACAGCACAGTCAACACTCTGAAGGTCAGATAATAAAACACACAATGTAGTGTGGCACCTAGTTTGATTTGCCACTGTATTGCACCAAACTGAAGAAATCTCTTTTATAGTAACAAACCAATACATTTCTAACACATTTGAGGAAGACATCACAAAGTTGTACTTAAAGACATGGGTTATGGGCGTCTGGTTAGCTCAGTCGGTAGAGCTGGCAACCCATAAGTGGAGTTGCTGCAGTGGCCCGGGTTTGAATCCGACCTGCGGCCCTTTGTTACGTGTCATCCCCTCTCTCTCTACCCCCCTTTCCTGTCTATCTTCGGCTGTCACTATCTAATAAAGGCATGAAAAGGCAGAGAATTATTTATTATTCTTTTATTATTATTTTAATATTCTTTCTGAATATTTTAATTTGTTACAACTTAACTTAGTAGTCAAAAGCTCTTTACAGGGATGTGAGAAACTGTTCTTTCTGCTTTCTAACAGTCTGTTTCTCCTCTTTCTCCCTCCTGATGCCAGGCTTTGCTCCAGACAGTGGACAGGGAGCAGAGAGAGATGAAGGAGCTGGACTCCGCCAGAGACAGCTTGCTGGACCTCTGTACCCCTGGAGGTCGGGATGCTCTCACCCTGGAGGTCAGCCATCTCCACGACCTCTGTGCCACCTCAGAGCAGGAAGTGAGGGAGCGCCTGACAGCCTGTGAGACACGGCTGGGGGAGCTGGACGCTCAGCTGGCAAGAAGGACCCAGGGGCTGAAGGAGAGATCTGCAGCCCTGCAGTGGGAGCTCCGCTCTCTGGACCAGGCGCTCAGTTATAGTGAACCACAGAACAACATCACTCAGCTCCAACAGCACTGGCACAGCCTTCAGGTTATTACTACTTTAATTTATCCAAGCACAAAACCTCATGTAATAACCGCTTTTATTATCTAACTACTACTACTGAGTTCCCACAGAAACCTGAGGCAGAAGGTAATGTACAGTAAGTGAATATTGGAGTTTTTCCACCTGCAGGCGTGTGAATTTTGCTAACATGATGTTGTTGCAGACGTGAATATTACTTAACGTGATGTTGATGTGTATCCCCTGTTAGAACTGTGAGAAGTCACTAGAAGATTTGGGTGTCAAAGTTCAGGACCTTTACCAGGAAGTAAAGGCTGCACCTGTCACTGACGAGCTGCCAGCAGAAATTATCACTGTGGTGGAGTCTTTACGCCAGCAGCAAGACAGGTAACACATCTTACAGCTGATGCCATTTCCTTCAGCATAGGAGAGATGTCACAAATAGAACATAAAAACACTATATGGGTGATTAATCATGACATCTGATTGTTACTGTGGTCATAGCACCACTGTTTTACTTTATGTTTGATTCATATATTTTTGATTCACTCAGAGTATAAACAGGGAAGAGATGGTCTGAGAACAAACCAAACTCGCATTATATGCAGTAACATCTGTCCACTTTACCACTGGGGTTTTTTAAAAACTGTATATAGCCTACTTGAACAGATTCTACAGCAATACTCAGCTGGCCTCCCTCTATTTCAATTTAGCTTTCAGTTGTTCTTACATACCAGCAAAATGCCTTTGTGGGTCATTCTGCTCTTGACATGGAAACACAGGAGTTCTTCCAATTTTCTCCTGATTTGAAACCAAAGATTACATGTTATCTAATACCTGACCAAGAAATGACTCACATCTGTACATAAACATTTCTCTATTGTTATTTGTTGCTTGCATGGGTTCCTTTTGAACAATGTTTCATTTTTTCATTTGGATCTCATTTAGTGTAATACATGCAGATGCCATGCAAAATGTTGCATTTACAGTAAATGTGATTCATTTATGTCTACAGTCTAAAGTCCAGGCTAAGCGAGCGCCAGGGTACCTGCTCTACAAACACAGCTCGCTGCCTGATGGACTCCCTTCACGCCCTGCAGGAATGGAACCAAAGCAAACCATCAGAGTCCAGTTCTTCTGTGCAGGTTTCTGTCTTTTAATGCTTTCACTGTTTTGGTAGGCAATGTAAGTGCTTTATTTCAGTAAACATTTGTGCAGTTAAATATGTAACTGAGAGAGCTTCCTAGTAGAGTTAGTCTTCTACTGTTGTTCGTGTTGAACATATGAAGACTGTCATTCATTATATCCTGTCCAGCATTTCTAATATCTCCTTTAATAATCATCATGTAAAATGATGTTGCAAGTTTGTTTGGAAAATATACATTAATTGAAAGAGAAAAAAGAGTAATGAGTTTTTCATCAAAGAAGGGTTTCTGAGTCTAAGCATTCGTGAAGTGTAATATTTCCAGTCGATGGAGCACTCAGCACAGCACATAGTGGCTATGCTCTCTTGGCAATGTGTGATTGATTTTGTCATGACATTTCACACATAAACACAGATTTTTCATCACTACAAGCACTTTAACATTTTTTTCCTTCTGGTGTTAGGCAACGTTAGAGGGAGGTGAAAAGTTGCAGGAAAGCCTGCAGGAGGCGCTTTCTCACAAACAGTTTCTAACAGACTGTTTAATGCCGGTCTTGTTTGAGAAACTGGGAAGAGAGGGTTCAGAGACACTCAGAGAAGCAGACAAACATAAGACTTCTCTCAGCCAGTGCTTAAAGGTATTTAAATAATGTAAAGATTAAAGATCACTATATTTAACTGTAACTCTGTAGTGATTATTGCTATTTGTATCTTTTCTTTCAAGGAACTTAATGAAAGGAGTAAACAAAAGCTGGCTTATGATCTAAAGGAGACGAAGACATCTGTAGTGCCACCACCACGAAAAAACAAGCGCTCAACTGAGAAAAAAGATCAAGTTCACCTACAGAAAAACATTCCCTTAACAGAAAAATCTATTGATGATGAATTATCAGTTTCATCTGAGCTGCAAACTGAGGCTAAACCATTATTGTCAACAGCAGCCATGAAGGACACAAGTATTACTGTTGTGGAGCAAACCAGAATTGAACCAACAAAAGATACATTTCAGAGTACAACTTATGCTTCAGAACCTTTTACAGCACAACATACCTCTCAAGAGGCACAGTTTAAAAGTATAAAGGTAGATATCACAGGTGAGCCTGCTGTAGCTGAGCAAATGAAACCTGCTGCTGAGGGTCCTGTACTGATCCAAAAGGTCATTGAGCAGTCTGCACCGGGTGTTAGTGATAAAACTACACCTGTTCCATCCAGGAGAAAGTCCAAGACTTCAGCCACTGATACAGAGCCTGCCCAGACTAAGGTGGAGCCTGAAATGGTGAAAACTATTATTACTGAAGAGGTACCCAGAAATCAGACAGGAACCGCTGCTGCGAAAGAAGCCACGAAAGTAGATGATAACCTGCAGAGTCTAGACGTGTCCTCAAAGATTACTGTGGCAAAACCTGCACTGATCAAGGGCGACGCTGTGAATCTGACGTCTCTCCCAACTTCAGTGCCTATCACAGAAACAGATGCTGGGCAACCTAAGTCTGTATCAAAAAGGCAAGAGTCGAAGAGTTCTACAATTTCAGAGCCGGTCGCTACCCAAAGTAAAACTACGAAATACTATGCAGAGCTTGAAGAAACTAACGAAGAACCTAAGAATGGGAAGACTTCTACAACTGCACAGCTGATCACACAACCAGTTGAAACTGCTGTTTTGGGAGAAAGTAATCTTTCACCAACCAAAAGAAAGTCAAAGCCAAAACTTTCCCCCGGAATTTCTAGCAAGGAGAAAACACAGACCATGGAAAAGCCTGAACATGAAGTAGCTTTACTGAGATCCAAGAAGCAATGTGAAGCTGCTCTAGTGGAGGAAGAAACTAAGGTCATACCAACCAGGAAGAAGTCAAATAGTCTAGCTATTTCCTCTGTTCCAGAGCCAGTGTCCACTGTTGAAAGAACAGCAGGTCTGCTGAAGGAACCTGAGAAGAATTCAACCTCACAGTTTGTTCCAGAGTCAACCAACACTGCTGTTTTGGTACAAAGTGAGGTTTTACCACCCAAGCGAAAATCAAAGAGTCCAAAACTTTCCCAAAAACCGGCCGACCAGCAGGCAGCACAGATGATGAAAGAACTGGAAAGGTCTGATTTGAGTTTGAGGGAGCAAGCTGAAAGTGTTGTGATTAAGGAAACAAAGCTCATACCAACCAGAAGAAAATCAAAAAGTGCTGAACCTACCACAACTTTGCAGCAAGTAGAACTTGAAGATAATAAGAAAGAACCTGACAGCCTGAAGTCTTCTTCAACTGCACAGGTGGTCATAGAACCAACTGTTGTTGTGACAGAAAATAAGCTTTCTCCAACCAAAAGAAGATCCAAGGGCTCAACACTATTCCCAGAACATGATACCAAAGAGGTAGCAGAGACTAAGCAAGACCCTGGAAGTCAGGAACCTTCATCAAGCTCCACAGTGCAAACTGAAACAGTTGTTGTTGAAGAAACAAAGAATATAGCAACCATTATTCTAGATGTTTCAGAGCCATACACTAATGCCCCTTTAACAACTCCCACTGAGGTAACAGCAGCTAGGAGAAATTCAAAGAGTAATGAACTTACCACAACTGTGGACCAATCTAAACCTGAAGATGATAAAAAAGAACCTGACAGAAAAGTTGCTGTTGTGGAAGAAACTAAGGTTATACCAATCAGAAGGAAGTCAAAGGAAGAGCCTGATGTTCAGAAGCCATCTCTAACACCAGGCATGGTCATACGACCAACTGAAATTACTGAAACTACCAAGGTGGAAAAAGGTAAACTTTCACCAACCAAAAGAAAGTCAAAGGGTCTGAAACTTTCCCTAGAAGTTGCTACCACAGAGTTAACACAGACCGTGGAAGAACCTGACAGTCAGAAACTATCTTCAACTTCAGAGGCGGTCAAAACAACTACTGAAATTACCGTTGTGGAAAAAGGAAAGCTTTCACCAACCAAAAGGAAGTCGAAGGGTCTGAAAATATCCCCAGAACTTGCAACCACAACGCTGATACAGACCAAGGAAGAACCTGACAGCCTGAAGTCTTCTTCAACTCCACAGGTGGTCACAGAAGCAACTGTAGGAAGTCAGAATCCTTCTTTGAGCTCCAGAGAGCAAACTGAAATTGTTGTTGTTGGAGAAACAAAGAATATAGCAACCATTCTTCTAGATGTTTCAGAGCCATTCACTACTGTCCCTGTAACAACTGCTCCTGAAGTTACAACAACTAGGAGAAAGTCAAAGAGTCTTGAGGTTTCCTCAGTTCCAGAGTCAGTATCTCCCCTTGGTAGAGTTACTGGTGTGGAGCCCAGAGAAACAAAACAAGAACCTGTAAATAATACCACAACACCAGAGTTTGTTCAAGGACAGGCTGAAACTGCTGTTATGGAACAAAGTAAGTTTCTACCACCCAAGAGAAAGTCAAAGAGCACAGAACTTCCTCTTAAACCTGCTGACAATGAGGTGCCTCAGACAAGGGAAGAGCCTGAAGGTCATAAGTCTTTGAGTTCCAATGACCAAAATAAAAGTGTTGTTATTGAAGAAACAAAGCTTGCACCAACCAGAAGAAAGTCAAAGAGTGGTGACTTTTCCACAGCTTCTGAGACAGTTACCCATGTTGGATTACCTGATGTGGAGCCTGAACAAAATAAGAAAGAACTAGACAGTCAAACATCCTCCACTCAGGATGTGGTCACAGGACCAATTCAAAGTACTGTTGTAGAAAAGGAAAAAGCTAAGCTTTCACCAACCAAACGAAAGTCAAAGGGTCTCAAACTCTCCCCAGAGCTTGCTACCAAGGATGTGACAGAGACCAAAAAAGAGCCTGACAGACGGAAATCTTTAGAGCAAACTGAAACTATTATTTTGAAAGAAACAAAGCTTTTACCAAGCAGGAGGAAGTCAAAAAGTTTGGATGTTTCTGCAACTCTAGAGCCTGTCATTGGTGGAACTCTTGATTCAGAGTCAAAAGAAGTGAGGATGGAACTTGAAAGTGGGAGTGCTTCTGCAACTGCACAGGTAGTCACAGGAATAACTGAAACACAGGCCATGGAAAAGCATGGACAAGCAAGTCAGTTAACTGAAGCTGCTGTCGTGGAAACTAAGACTATACCAATCAGAAGGAAGTCAAAGGAAGGCCCTGACAGTCAGAAGTCATCTCTAACTCCAGGCTTGGTTAAAGGACCAGCTGAAATTATTGAAACAATTGTCGAAAAAGGTAAGCTTTCACCAACCAAAAGAAAGTCAAAGGGTCTGAAACTTTCCCCAGAACTTGCAACCACAGAGCTGACACAGACCATGAAAGAGCCTGACACTCAAAAACCATCTTCAACTTCAGAGGTGGTCACAACAACAACTGAAATTACTGTTGGGGAAAAAGGAAAGCTTTCACCAACAAAAACGAAGTCAAAAGGTCTGAAACTTTCTCCAGAACTTGCAACCACAGAGCCCAAGGAAGCACCTGACACACAAAAACCATCTTCAACCTCAGAGGTGGTCAAAACAACTACTGAAATTACTGTTGTGGAAAAAGGTACACTTTCACCAACCAAAAGACACTCAAAGGGTTTGAAATCTTCCCCAGAACTTGCAGCCACAGTGCTGAAACAGACCAAGGAAGAACCTGACAGCCTGAAGTCTTCTTCAACTCCAGAAGTGTCCACAGAAGCAACTGTAGGAAGTCAGAATCCTTCTTTGAGCTCCAGAGTGCAAACTAAAAATGTTGTTGTTGAAGAAACAAAGAAGATAGCAACTATTATTCTAGATGTTTCAGAGCCATTCACTACTGCCCCTCTAACAACTGATCCTGAAGTTCTACCTACCAGGAGGAAGTCAAAGAGTGCTGAACCTACCCAAACATTGCAGCAAGTAGAACCTAAAGATAATGAGAAAGAACCTGAAAGCCTAAAGTCATCTTCAGCTCCACAGGTGGTCACAGAACCAACTGTTGTAAAAGAAAACAAGCTTTCTGGAAGCCCAGAACACGATACCAAGGAAGTGGCACAGGCAAAGCAAGATCCTGGAAGTCAGAAACCTGCACTGAGCTCCAGAGAGCAAACTGAAATTGTTGTTGTTGGAGAAACAAAGAATATAGCAACCATTCTTCTAGATGTTTCAGAGCCAGTCATTACTGTCCCTGTAACAACTGCTCCTGAAGTTACACCAACCAGGAGGAAGTCAAAGAGTCTTGAGGTTTCCTCAGTTCCAGAGTCAGTATCTCCCCTTGGTAGAGATACTGGTGTGGAGCCAAGAGAAACAAAACAAGAACCTGTAAATAATACTACAACCCCAAAGTTTGTTCAAGGACAGACTGAAACTGCTGTTATGGAACAAAGTGAGTTTCTACCACCCAAGAGAAAGTCAAAGAGCACAGAACTTCCTCTTAAACCTGCTGACACTGAGGTGCCTCAGACAAGGGAAGAGCCTGAAGGTCATAAGTCTTTGAGTTCCAATGACCAAAATAAAAATGTTGTTATTGAAGAAACAAAGTTTGCACCAACCAGAAGAAAGTCAAAGAGTGGTGACTTTTCCACAGCTTCTGAGACAGTTGCTCATGTTGGATTACCTGATGTGGAGCCTGAACAAAGTAAGAAAGAACTAGAGGGTCAAACGTCCTCCACCCAGGATGTGGTCACAGGACCAATTCAAAGTACTGTTGTAGAAAAGGAAAAAGCTAAGCTTTCACCAACCAAACGAAAGTCAAAGAGTCTAAAACTCTCCCCAGAGCCTGCTACCAAGGATGTGACAGAGACCAAAAAAGAGCCTGACAGACGGAGATCTTTAGAGCAAACTGAAACCATTATTTTGAAAGAAACAAAGCTTTTACCAAGCAGGAGGAAGTCAAAAAGTTTGGATGTTTCTGCAGCTCTAGAGCCTGTCATTGGTGGAACTCTTGATTCAGAGTCAAAGGAAGTGGGGATGGAACTTGAAAGTGGGAGTGCTTTTGCAACTGCACAGGTAGTCACAGGAATAACTGAAACACAGGCCATGGAAAAGCATGGACAAGCAAGTCAGTTAACTGAAGCTGTTGTCGTGGAAACTAAGACTATACCAATCAGGAGGAAGTCAAAGGAAGGCCCTGACAGTCAGAAGTCATCTCTAACTCCAGGCTTGGTTAAAGGACCAGCTGAAATTATTGAAACTATTGTTGAAAAAGGAAAGCTTTCACCAACCAAAAGAAAGTCAAAGGGTTTGAAACTTTCCCCAGAACCTGCTACTACTGAGCTGACCCAGTCTAAGAAAGAACCTGAAACTCAAAAACAATCTTTAATCTCAGAGGTGGTCAAAACAACTACTGAAATTACTGTTGTGGAAAAAGGTACACTTTCACCAACCAACGGACACTCAAAGGGTTTGAAATCTTCCCCAGAACTTGCAGCCACAATGCTAACAGAGCCAGAGGAAGAGTCTGACACTGAGAAACCATCATCAACTTCAGAGGTGGTCACAACAACAACTGAAATCAGTTTTGTTTCACCAACCCAAAGACAAAAAACTGAAGATGTGGTTATGGAAGAACCTAAGGTTATACCAACCAGAATGACCTTACCAGAAAGTGAGGAAATGTCAATTTCTCCAGAAACAGCATCTGCACTCAAAAGAAGCACAAATGAAACCGAGAAAAAGAAAGAACATGTGAATAAGTCTTCTGCAGCCCCAGAATGTGCTCCTGCTGAACCTTTCTCCAAGCCTACTGATCCACCATGTGTTGCAGACTACATAGAGGAGTTATGTAAAAACACTGCTGAGATTCAGAAGAGATATCTGGTCCTTGATCTGCCTGAAATAGGAGTCACCCAGACATTTGAGATAAAGCCACATCAGGCAGAGGCAGATACTGTGGTTGAAAGTGACTCAACTCAACCTACCTCTGCTATTTTTTCAGGGGCACAGCCTCACACAGAAAAAACAGAGTTTTTAGGAATAAACTCATCAAAGGGAGAAATAATAAAACCAAGTGAAACTGTGAGTCAGCTAAAGTTCTTGGAAACCACTCAGGAAAAACCCAAAAAGGACATGGAACATGGTATCAAAGAAGAGCCTGATAAAGTATCTACATGTGATAATCATGATGCACCTAAGAGCCTGGAGAAAAACCCTTTCAATCTGAAAGAAATCCTCAAGGGGGCTGACATGCACGTTTTAGAAATGAATACACAGACTGGTATACATAAGCAAGATCATACAACTGTCTCAACAGACAGACAACCAGTGATGGATATGCACCAATCAAGTATGCAATGTAAGACAGAACCACAAAGCAAGGATATTACTATCACTGATATTCAGCCAGATAAGGCTGCAGTTAAGGTGACCAGGGTAGAAGTGCAGGAGAGTAAATGTCAAGACACTGGAGCAGCAGTGCAGCCAAGTGCAGCAAAGACAACATTTGCACAAATAAGCTTGCCTGAACAAGAGAAAGTAAAACCAAGCCAAAAGTTGGAGCTCTTGAGAACCACACAGGAAAGACCCAAAGAGGCCAAGGATGATGTCCAGGGAGAGGATGGTCAAGTGTTGACACATGATGCACATGATGCACCAAAGAGCCTGGATGAAAAGTCTGTTAAGGAAATCCACTTGCGGCCTGAAGTGTGCATTCTACAACTAGATATACAGACCAGTCCAGAGGAGGAAAACACATCTGTCACAGGAGCTGTTCAAACAAGTATCCAGAGTGAAAGAGTGCCAAAGAGCAAAGATAGGACTGCTTCTGAAGTTAAGTCAGAGGAGGGTGCAATTAAGATGACTACAAAAGAAGTGGGAGAAAGCAGTACTGAATGTCCAGACAATATGCCTCAAAGAGACTCTGCTCAATGGACCTCTCCTGTTTCTGACTCATTACAACCACATGTGACAGAGACAGAATTTATAGAAATAAACATATATGAGCAAGACATAGTAAAACCAATCCAAACTGAAACTAAAATAGAGCTCTTGAAAACCACACAGGATAGACCTACAGAGGTCAAGGAACATGGGGAAGAGCACCCTAAAGTGTCTGTTCAGAAAATCCACATGGGACCGGAAGTGCATGTTTTGAAACCAGATATACCGACCAGTTCTGAGCATCATGAAAACATCTCTGTCATGATAGCAAAGAAGCCAAGAATAGATACAGTTCAAACTAGTGTACAGTGCGAGAAAGTGCCTGAAAACAAAGATGAAACTTCAGCTGATGTTAAACTAGAGAAGGCTGCAGTTAAGACAAGAGTAGAAGTGCAACAAATCAACACTGAAAGGAAAGAGAATGTGGATCACAGTGATTCCACTAAACCCACCTCTGTTGCTTTTGCAGCAGTGCAGCCAAGTGAAGCAGAGACAACATATACAGAAATAATCTTATCTGAGCAAGACACAGTAAAACCAAGTGAAACAGTGATTGAGGTAGAGCTCATGAAAACCACACCCAAAAAGGTCAAGGATGGCAACGTGCAAGAAGTGCATGCTGAAGTTTCAATAAAAGATGTGCATGATACACCCCAGAGCCTTGCTGAAAAGTCTGTTATGATAGCAAAGGCACCAAGGATTGATATAGATCAAGCAAGTATCCAGTGTGAAGTGCCAGAAAACAAGGACTTGACTTCAGCTGATGTTCAGCCAGAGAAGGATACAGTTGAAAAGACAAGAGTAAAAGTGCAAGAAATCAGTACTAAAAGGCAAGAGAAAGTGGCTAAACGTGACTCCACTCACCTACCTACCTCTGCCGCTGTAACCGCTCAGCCCCATCATCCAGGGACAGAATTTGTTGAGATAACCTTGTCTGAACAAGACCAGTTGAAACCAAGCCAAACTGTGACTCAAATAGAAATCTTCAAAACCATATTGGAAAGACCCAAAGAGGTCAAGGTTCATAGTGTTCATGAAAAACCGGCTGAAGTGCTATCACGTGATGTACCCAAGAGCCTGGATGAAAAGTCTGTTAAAAAGGAAGAAATCCACATGAGTGTACATGAATACAAAACTGTCACAATAGAAAAGGAACCACGGATGGAATCAAGTGTCGACTTTGAGACAGTTAAAGAAAGCATGGATGTGACTCCCACTGATATTCAACTTGACAAGTCTGCAGTTAAGATGACCAGCGTAGAAGTGCAAGAAAGCTTTACTGAATCCCTGTCTGAACCCAGTGTGGTCCCTAGAACCCAAACAGAGAGACACACAACAGATGTAAAGGAGGAAGAACAGAAGGAGGGGAAGAGAAGGACAATTCAGGAAGAGGAAAGGGAAAAAATTGTCACAGTAGAAGTACAAAATGTTCAACTTCCAATGGCCACGACCACCACCACTGGTGAAGTGAGGCTTCAGAGTATGGATTTGCCACAGGTAAGACATTTGGGGGTTACAGTTACATACAGTATGATACAGTAAAATAACTCTTTGGACTGGACTGTGTTTAGTTTGTTTTGGGGGGGACTGTCCTTGTGATTTTTGGCAGTTTGTAGTTAATTCTAAATAAACTACCGTCACAAGTAAACACTTGATGTATTTTAAGTAAAATTCTAGTATTATATATGACTCATAGAACTGACTCACCACTATGTTATATGTCCATAATGTCTGACATTTGTGATTACAATAGACAATGCATACTTAAAGACAAGTTGAGTAGACAGAAAGAGGGAATGTGAGAGAGAAAACAGTATTCAGAGAAAAATAGGATAAATATAGAATTTTGCTTCAGGGACATCAGTAATGTATATCATCTATTATGCTCAGTTTCTTGCACATACTTGTTTGCTCTTGCTCCCTAATATTCTTGCACCAAAGAGTTGCAAAAATGACTGGTCAGTGTGTCTTTAGAGCCTCTGTTTATGAGTTCTTAAGATATTTACTTATTTAGAGTTGTAACAGGGGCACACACAGCTACATTTCATTAGCATTGTAACGAAGCAAAGAATAAAGGCCTGAGACGTTTACTCCTGTGCTACTAAAGGTTTTATTGCCTCGGGGTAGGAAACATGAACTTGCTCATACATGTTATCAGTGACACACTGTGACTGTCAAAGGGTGTAGGGAGAGGCTTGGTACAGTCTTGAGAAAACAAATCATTCAAATGGTATAGTCCTGTTTTACAAAGGGGTGACAGTTCTTTTCTCAGCTCAACTGAGACTCTATACAATTGTTTGTCAGAATTTTTTCCTGCATTAATACTGGTGTTTTGTCTTCACAATGGGAGCAGGTGTACAAGGCTGACAAGATATCACCAGCATCATCGCAGGCAGTTCAGAAAACTTCACCTGACATTATCTGGGGTGAGGCAACCCTGGTGGAAGGATTGCCCTCTCAGGAAAACAAAGCTCAAACAGTAACAAGTGTTGTGACGACTGAGAAGTTTGTTCTGGAGGTACCAGAGGGAACTGCCACGGGGAGCATCTTCACAGAAATACAGCCACTTGCAGGGACAGGACCCAACAGTCAACTAATTAAGGTATCATGATTACTGTGTGCCACAGTCATTTTTTAAGACTACCACTAGGAGTCGCCAAAGTCAGACTTAGTCAAATCCTACACATAGGTGTATGTGTGTAAGGAATCTATTACGAGAATACTAGTGTGATGAGCATGTAGCATTGGCGGTTTGAATCTAGCTATTCATTTAATCTATTTTACATCCTTTCTGTTGCTCTCCACTAGATATTAACAAATTGACTGTGAACAATGGTGGCAAAAGCAAGATTCCTTTTTTTAATTTGATCATGATTGAACAACATCAAAACCGATTTTGGACCTCAGCTGGACATTTTGAGACTCTAATGTGTTTCTGTGTCTTTAGGGTAAACCATTGGAGGATGCTCCACAGGCTCTGATTACATCCACCAGTGACCTGGACAATCATCTGAGCAGGCTGGTGTATAAAGTCCTGAGCTGCAAGAACCATCCAGCTGAGCTCAACCCAACAGCCATGGCCCAGCAGCTGGAGGAGGCTCAGGTGCGATATTCAGAATGACAGGGTGCATGACTCACTAGAAAATTAAGAAGATAATTTATGGCAGCGGCTTGATTTGTATGTACAAATCAACTGTGGAATTGGACAGCACATGTTCCTCCAGAACTGGGCATCTCTAATGCATATCTGTACCAGCCTGTTGGATATTAAAAACAAGTACATAAGAATTGTACAATAGGCCCTTACCATTTGTGACTGTTGAAAAAACCTGCTCATAGCATTTATTTGTTTAGTAATAATTAGATAATCTCAACATAAAAAATGAACATGACAAAGAGCTTTAAATAAGCGGTTTACTTTTGCAGGAGTGCAGAGAGACTGCCCAGGCACAGGTGTCATTGCTCTCTCAGTTGAAAGGCGCTGATGCTGAGAACAGGGATGCTCTGGAGCTTGTAGAGGACCAGTGGTATACTGCTGTTCAGGATGCAGCTGCTGTTATCCAGAGTAAAGAGGCCCAACTGCAGGTGCTGACTGATTACTGCAGACAGATCCAAGCAGTCAAGACCACGCTGGAGAGACTGACAGCAGAACTTGATGCTGTTAAAATGTCAGTTATTTATGGTTTCCTTTTAATTTCTTGTAATGTAATGTAATGTAATCGCAACACCTCCTCTCATACTCTTATGACTTGACTGTTTGTCTTTTCAGTTCCCCAGAGGAGAGCAGCTCCAAGGATGCAGAGCGACTAGCCTCCTTACAGAGAAGTATAGAGGAGAACAGATCAGTACTTGGGGAGATGCTCATAACCCATACCAAGCTATGTCCCCACCTCAGCCGGTCGGAGCAGGCAACCACACAGACTGAGCAGAAAAATCTACAAGACAAGTGGAGAAGCCTGGAAAGAGCAGTCGAGAGGACCTTGTATCACAGAAATATCCATTCTCACGAAACCAACAGCCTTCTGTCTGCGATATCAAGTCTTCAGGAACATTTGGAGACAATCAGCAAAGACCTTGAAGCCAAGTCACCTTCAGTTACTCAATGGAATTGCAAGAAGGCGCAAGAGCTGATGGTGGCAAATGCTGAGGTTAAAGATGCCCAGCAAAAATACCTTTATTTGCAGCAGCTGTCAGAGGTGCTACTCATTAGCTCACAGCGGGAGAAGGAAACACAAAAGATACAACAGGGACTTCAGAGGGTCAAAGATCAGCTTTCCCACACAGAGGAACTAGTGTCTTCCCAAACTCAAAACAGCAGCAACCCCATCATGGAGAAAATTATTGTGGTGATGAGGGATGGCCTTGCCTGGGCAAAGCAGACAGAGAGTGACATTGAGGGCAGGAGGAAGAGGGTGGCTCTGCTCCCTGAGGAGGTGCACCGGCAGCTCAGAGATTTGAAGAAGCTGCAGTCTGAGGTCATGGCCAAAGAGGGCCAATTGGAGTCACTGGTGGAGGAGGTGACGGAGCTCCTTCCACAGCTGGACCAGGCTGAGGAAGTGCCCATGGTTCGCTCTTGTCTGGAATCCCTTCAAGAACTCTCAAAGTTGACTACTGAGAAGCTAGCCAAGGCTGTGAGAGAGATAGAGTCAGGACTGCAGACCAGAGAAAAACTGTCAGAGCAGATTGCTGACCTAGACTCCTGGGTTGTGGCTCATTTGCATAGAGAGGCCTTGAGGAGTGCAGATGATGAGCTCAGGAGCCCTATTGAACTTGATCGCAGAGTTCGTCAGATCCAAGAGACCGTGGCTGAGGCTGAAAAGCAGGGCCCTGTGTGTGAGGCTCTTTTAATGAAGAGTAAAGACATTGCCTCTGAACTCAGCATCACAGAGAACTGTCAGCTTTTTAACAAGCTTACCAAGCTCAAGGAGGACATCCGAGACATCAGCAGCTATGAGAAGGCCAACAAAAAGGAGCTGGACAAACTCACCCAGACTGTAGATTCAAGCAAGAAAAACCTGGTCACCATTGAAAAAAGCCTTAGGCAGATGTTAGTAGATCTTAATAGACACAGGTACCCCATCACAAGAGAGTCTCTGCAGGCTTTGGAGCCTTTCAAACACATGATTTTGGAGCACAAGTCCCAGGTTGACCTTCTGCAATCTTGGATTCCCCAGGAAAAGACAAGGGTACTGTACTCAGTCATTTCTGAGCTTCACAGCAAAATGGCCACCCTTGAAATGAAATCCAGAGATCATGAGAGCTACCTGTACGTGAGGCAGTGTGTGGAGGACCTCAGGGAGAATGTTCAGGCGCAGGTCCATCAGACCAAAGAAGACAGCAGGGAGCTGGAGGAGAAGTACAAACTCTGTCAGGCGCTCCTCGTCCAGTTACCTCTATTAAAGTATTTGTCCGAGGAGGCTCACACCAAACTCCAGATGATTTCTGCTGACCTCTACCCCTCACAGCTGACCACAGAGCAACGCAGACTAAAACAAAATGTGGATAGCCTTGACACCTTGGAGATGACACTCTACAATAACCTTAGCATCCTTGAGAGGAAGCTGCTGAAGGAACTGGACCTGGAGTCCGAAAAGAAAACCACTCAGGCCTTCCTCTGGAAGAACCACCTGGAGCTCCAGAAACTTCCCATGTTGGAGCCAAATGAAACAGCAATTAAAAACGAATACTGCAGAATCCTGTCTTTGAAAAAGACTGTAGAGTCAAGAATGAGAGCGCTGGAGGTTCTAGAGAAGCAGAAGGGAACCAAACGAGGAAGCGGATCCCAAAATCTAATGGACTTGAAGAAAGCAGTCCTCATTGAATGTGACTCACAAATGGCAAGTTGCATTGTTTTTCTATTATTTATTTCAATTGTCACGATAAAGGCATAAACAACTCCCTGCCCAGTTTTAATATATTACCTAAAACACTCATTTGGAAGATAACTTGTATGAAATATAAAAAAATTGACTGTGAATCAAGACTGAAATGTATAATTAAGAAATTGTGTTTATTATTTTTTAGGAGAAGATCTCCCAGGCTAGGGACTCTTTGAGAAGCTACACATGCGCTGTTAGACAAGCAGTACAATTCCTGAGGGACATCGACGTCTCTCTGCTGCCACCACAGGGCTCTGCTGGACTCTGCTCTGAAAGGCTGGTGGAGACCCAACAAGCTTTGGCCTCGCTCCAGCAGAGATTCCAGACCCATGTGGAGCAGCTCCAGAGTCAAGTTGCCCTGCATCCTTACCTGTCCCCCCAGAAGGTGGAGCAGCTCCAGGAGAACATTCTGAGCCAGCTCCTGGTGAGGATGTCCACGCTCCAGGCAAAGGGACACATACAACTGGAGCGTCTGAGCAGGTAATAGACCTACCATAGACATTACACTACACAACCATTCTGTGCCTTCACATTTCTTTATGCATGTGAGAAGAAGCAAAAGCTTCTTATTGCACATAAAAAAATCAATATGGTTTCTATTTCAGGTGTGCAGAAAATCACAGAAAATACACCAAGTGCCAAGATGAAATCATCCTGAGTGTGAAGAGCACAGAGAACAACCTCTTACAGGTCATACGTCAAAAGGTCACCTGTCTCGCTGACTGCACTGACCAAGAAGCAAAGCTCAGAGTACGTATGAGACTGGTTGTGTTAGAAACAGAGAACATAAAAGCATTCAAGAAAAATAGACCTAAGTAATGGTTTTTGGCTTTGAGGTTTTTGACGTTGATTACTTCCTCTTTTTTTAAGGTCAGACATATAGGCCAAAACATAGTTTTTTCATGCATGGCAATTTTGGGCTATTTTGCTTACAAACATGTCTTATCACTTATTATTAGTGGAAAGAAAATGCCCAAAATACGTGTGTGTTCTCCTAAATTAAAAAGTTAGCATTAGAAAATGCCTTTAAACATAACATTTTAGAAAACTAATAATTGTCTTATCAACTGGGGAAGTTTCATGGTTATATCTATTTTTAATAAATTGTACCCTATTCACCTGTAGCGTCTTCCCTTAAACTGTAACCTTTGATTTAAATGCCTCTGTCTTGTGCAGGCTCTGTGTGAGGAGGTGGAGTCCTTGCAGAGGCGTCTGGAGGAGCTGAAGGAGTGGTGCCCAGAGCAGAGCTGTTGTGGAGGCCGAGTGGCAACAGTGACTGTCGTCTGGAAACGGGTAACAAGACTATTTCGCTGCACACGGGAGCTGACAACTCGTAGTAAGCAGAGGAACGCAGAATGGAGCGAAATCACCAACAGTGTAAGTTAAACAACAGGAAAAATATCTGAGAACTGATTTAATGAATCTTCAGTTTTTTTCATTTTTTTTTTCTTAAGACGAAACTACTTTAAATTACTTCTGTTATCTTGCAAATGCAACTACGTATTTATTCTAAATTTGTTTGTTTGCATGAAGTGTAATTAGGACCATACTGTGTGTGACCCTCTTTTCAGGTGGAGAAGGCCTCCGTTGTCCTGGAGCAGGTGGAGGCGGAGCTTCCTGATGGCTCCCGTGTGAAGTCCTCCTCTGAGGAGCTTCAGGACCTGCTGCAGTCCTGGGAACAGTACCAGGACAGACTGGACTGTGAACATCGAGCCCTGTCCGCACTGGAACTCCGCACTGCCAGGCTGCTGGGTGTCCCCGCTCACCTGGAGCAGGCCCCTACCGCACCGCTCTGTCAGCAGCTGCAGGCGATGCAGGCTCGATACGGCAGGTGAGATGGTGTATGATGTGGAGTTCATAGCTTTATTTACATTACCAGACGTCTTGACAGTCCAGTTTAAAAATTATTGGACTGGTCTCCTTACATTTGGAATATGGAAACAACAAACGATGATAAAAAGCAGCTTGTTTGAAGACATTTGTGTAACATTTGAGGTTCTCCTTTTGTTAACGTGTAAATTATCCTTGTTCATAATGATTTCTGCTCCTGTAAAATCTAAATTAAGAAGATTTTTCTAAATCTCCAAAGTAACTATTAGTCTGTTAACACAAAACATTCAATTGCCCATAAGCCCTGGTACGCTTGGATGAACAATCAGGGGACAGTGAGTCGGACGTAGACTGCAGTGCCTCTGAGGTTGTACAGTATTTAGATACATTAAAACTGACAGTGCTTTAACTGCCATGAAGCTCCGTGCTTTAACTTCAATGGTGGATTTCGTTCTTAATGCAGACTTTCAAAGATTTAAGGTAAGAGGCTATAAAGTTGTTACATTGTTGTTTAAACTGTTGGACATATGTGTTTGTGTGATTTCATAGTGTAAAGCAGAGGAGCAGGGAGGGTCTAGAAGCGGCCAGGATGGAGCTGGAGGAGAGAGAAAAGGTTCGGGAGGAGCTGCAGGGCATCCGGGTTTGGCTGGAGGCTGCAGATGGTCTTCTGTCAGAGATGGAACAAAGCAGAAGCACACAGGAGCTTCAGGTGGGATGCTCATCACTCATAAATCAGGGTTCATCAGGAACAAAGAACAAATTTCATCCTTGCTTTACGTTTGTTTTGAAAGTATCCTGCTTTTGCTTCCATTTTGGTGGGCATGTTCATATTTTCATACATTCATTGGTGTCTACACATCACTCGTCATTGAGAATTACCTTACAAAGGCACACAGAACTACAATACTAATACCAACACACTGCACTAACAGTGTCAGTTGGTGACAAATTAATGCAATGATAGAGGCAACATCATGAAAGATGAAGATGAAGGGGTTATACAAAATAATCCACTGTCAAAAACTGCTAGTTGACAGAGTTAATCTATAGTTTCAGCATTGTGCCATAATAAAGCAGTGACTGTGAAAATACGGCAGATATACAGCTGGGAGGTGGATATAACTTTAGTTGTGTTTGAACATAGATTTGTTTGCGTAATCATTTTCTACATAAAGCCATGTTGAATAAGCAGAATTTAAGATATTTAGAGAAGGAAAGACTCCTGCTATCGCCGCAAGAAAGTAGCTGCGTTGTTACTGCAGTCAAACAGTATCTTAAACTCACACAAGCTTGGTGGGGGTTTAGTCCAGTCAGATGGAGGCTCAGCAGCCTCTTAGAGCCAGTTCAGGACTCTCCTGGTCTCCAGGTTGGTCGTCTGCTGGTTGTATTTGAAACCTTTTTGATGAGAATTAATAATCAATAGTCAGCTATTAGTGGTTGATAATTACTAAGATGCAGCAGTCGTGAATGCCATGTCGTGACATGACCAAACAGCCCCCCCCCCAACCCCCCGCCACTGGAGTGTAAATAATGAGTCCCTAATGAGACACGACAATTTCATCGTCTGAACTGAAAGCACAATGATGCATTTGTGCTCACTGTAACCAACATTATAGCTCCTCAGCGCTATTTTTATAAACAGCACAGGAAATGCACTCGTGTTAATGTTCAGCTGGACATCTCCAACGATCTCAACACCTACACACTGAAAATACCCTAACACTAACTTTAACCCTGAATAAATGCAGAGAGAAAGAGCCTGTTGACTGTCTGCTGTGTCCAGTAAATACGTCTGACTCTAACCGTTGGCTTGGCCTCAGGCCCGGAGGCTGTTTCTTTCATATGAATCCACCAACCCGCAGAATCACTCTGCCCTTTGTCCCGAAACCTGAGCAGAGGCCAACATCTCCTCATCCACTCCAGCTCCTCTCTCCTCTCTCTCTCTCACACACACACACACACACACACATTTCCCTTCCCCTTGCAGAGGGTCCGTGCTGATGAAAGACCTGAACACCCCCTTCACAACCCCCCACATCTCCCCCATCACTCCAAGTACCCTCGCCCCTCCTCTTGTACCAGACACCTTTTGTCCTGGGTTGTAAGTGGATCTTCCAGGTGGCCTTTGTAGCCAAGTCAGTCCATGGAGACACACACACATTTCTCCTCATGTACTTGTGAGGACACTCATTGACACAATACATTCCCTCGGCCCTAACTTCACTGAAATCTTAACCCTAAAAGCAAGTCTTAACCCTCCAATAACCAGGCAGACTACACATCCTCAGTTTACAAAAATATTCAGACTTTCTAAAATGTACTAACCTGACTTCTCCAAATGGTTTGTTACACAGAACCATCTGGGAGTCAGTTGGGAGAAGAGCAAAAACACCTTTTCGGTCTTGGTCTTCTTTTGATAAAGAAACAATCTCCAGTTCTGATTGAACTGACGCTAGCAGCATCTACCTTCTTTAGCAGCCACCATTTTGGTTTTTGAGCAAACAGTCTCTAACTTGTCAACACACACGTTAAACCATGGCCATAGCTCATGCCGTAGCAGCTGCATTGATTCGTCTGAACCACTGTGGTTGGACACAACCGCATAAATTGAATCCTGGCAGGAAGGATTTTTCGCGTGATCTCATGATTTCGTGATCTTGTCCGGCTGCCTTGCAAGGCTAAGAATGTACCTTTCCTTAAACGTCCTCACATTCTTATATATATATATATATATATATATATATATATATATATATATATATAAACTTTTCCAAATATGTGCTCTCGTTTCTTAAAGTGTCAAAAAAATTAAATTATCCTCACTGTATAATTTTCCTAAGATCCTACATTTCTTAAAATTGGTCCTCACAAAGATAGACACACAAGAACCGTAACACACTCTCTCTCTCACACACACACACACACACACACACACACACACACACACACACACACACACACACACCAGGACTCACTGCAAAGAAAGTGTCTCCCTCTCTTCCTTTGTGTCTCTCTCTCTCTCACACACACACACACACACACTCAGTTTCCCGTAGTGATAACAAGATGCACCTCCCTCTTCAGCAGAGCATCGGACATATTCAGACCCAGGTAGTCTACTCTGTGTTCTCTCTCACATTTCAGCACATTTTCTGATCTGATGTCGGCTGTTACTGTAAAGTAGAATCTTGAGGTGAAAAGAGGTCACTTTTACGATTGTGCTGTGAAGGACTTTGAAGAGGTGGACTCTGTTTGATGAAAGCAGCACAGGAGAGAGAGAGACAGAGCTAACTGCTAAACAAAGCACTGAGAGCTCACAAGCAGTTTGTTCGGTGAGAGATGAGATGAGATCGATGTCTGTGTCCTTTTTGTTCTGATTTAAAATTGTTACATGAGAATTACACCCGTTCTAACAAGAATGGCGCTGGGGTTGATGCTTGTAGGAAAGTGAGGTGCCACTGACTGCTTAAAAGTGTTTTTGTGAAGAAGGTGTGTTGAGTAATGGTCCTCACAAAGAGGATTTGTGGTGTTTTCACACAGAAAATCATTAAATATTGTTTTATTGACGCAGCAGAATCTCTATCAGACTTTGTTTCCTCTTTCCAACGTAGTCTTCATCACTCTCCCTGTCCCCATTTGGTTTTCTGCGTTGTGTTCATTTACGCTGTTCTTCTCTTTCTGGTTGTAGGAGGTTCACAGCCAGCTGTGTACCCAGAAGGCATTGCTCCAGCGCATCATGGAGAACCTGAAGATGAAGTACTCAGACATGTATACTCTGGTCCCGGTTGAGATCGAAGGCCAGCTGCAGGAGGTCACGGAGTCGCTGAAGCAAGTAGAAGTAAAGGTACACACGACTTTGATTTTAACGCAGCTGAAATAAAGATGGAGAATTAATTGGCCCTTATTGGAAATTTGGTTGGAGCTTGTTACCGTAACGTAGGGAGAGGTTTTTCACATTGGAATAGCATATTTATGCTTCAGTTTACAGAACTGACCCCAATACCCCCCATCCCACCAAGATAAAGAACAGAAAAAATAAAAAGAATTAATTAAAAGTATTAATAGAATTAATAGTGCAGATGGCATTAATAACCAAATGTTTGGAACAATAACAAATTGAGACTTCTTCAGGCCTGACTATAAAGTAGAAAACATTGCATTGTTGCTGTTTGATTCATCCATCAGGTGGGAGAGGCGGTGAAGAAGAGTGGGCCCGTCCACAGGCTGGGGGCAAAGCTGTCTGAGATCCAGGCTGGCCTGAAGTCAGTTCAGAAAAGACTGGAACAGAGAAGCCCCACTGTGACTCAAGCAAAGATCACTCAGAAGGTGGGTAGAGACATGGAGGTTGGAGGTGAGCTGGCTGCATTATTACCACTCTGAAAGCCAAAATTAGGTACCCCTTGTCTTGTAATGTTGCCTTTAAACCATCAGAAGCTTGCAGCTTGGTAGCAAACCTTGTTCCAAGCTGCAAAGCATCTGTTTCTGAGGGATGGAGGGTGAGGAAAGTTATTTCTACAGCACACTGATTCATTTGGAAGGCCATGGGAAGAGTTGGTACAGATATTTTTATAAAGGTAATAAAGATTTAAGCTTGTTTTGTCATGTATTTGGGGCTTTGTCAAGAAGAGCAAATAGGAACATCAAATAAGATCAGCACAGACTTGATTCTGTGAAAATCTTATTAATATCAGTATTCATTCATACTACCACGGATACCTTAATCCTCTCCCAGTGCAGTTTGTTTGTGTTCAAGATTTACCACCTTGAATAATTCTGTAGGTTTGAAATTGGTTTATGTGGACAACATTTAAACATAGAACTAGTGAATGTAAATCTGTTTTAAAGGCTTAAAAGTCAAGAATATTTAGTTATTTTGAATAGTGAATCAATGAAACATCAGTAAATCAATCATTTTTGTCTGTGTGTGCTCAGCGTGTGTGGGATGAGCTCGATGTGTGGCACTCGTGTCTGGCAGCGCTGGAGGTGGACATGCAGGACTTAGAGAAGCCAGAGGAGGCTCTGATGCTCACTGAGAGACTTGTGGAGGTCCAGCAGCTCCACTCGCAGCTGGCCAAGCAGGCGGAGCAGAGGACCACCCTCATCAGCAAGGTCAGAATCCCTTCGGCTCCCCTCGGCCCTCTTTTTCACATCTGAAACTGCCAGTCACCTCTTTAATTCCCTGTTATGATCCCTGGGGCATAATTACAAGCTGTGACTGCAGATTTGTTTGCTGTCAAACAGAAACTATGTATTTAATTCATGTTTATACGATTTATTTTCAGTCATCACTGTCAAACATCAGATGTTATTATTATAGATGTATCTCTCATATTTGCTCATCAACATTGGTTAGCAAACAGTGTCATTAGGAAACATTGTTAATGCCCTCCTCACAAACACTGCAACAAGTTCTGACTACAAAAGGTTCTCTTCCCCCACATTTACAGTAAATACCTCCTGGTTGTGGAATTTATGTGCTAAGATTTAATTTCTGTCAGCCTTTGAAGGTTAAGTTGTTGTTTCTGTGGTGCCGTCACATTTTGATAATGCCCTTAATTGAAGAAACCTTTTAAATGTGTCACAGCTTGTAATGGTTGGTAACCATGCAACAGTGTGCACACATTAAACATACTACAAGGAGCTTTAACTGGTTATAAAACTCAATTTAATACTGATGCTTCTATATGACCTATGACTTATATGAACAAACCAGACAATCAGTGAGAAGATTTGCTGTTTCTGTATAGTTATTCTAAATGCCTGCCACTGGAACAGATTTGGTTGGATTCCCTTTATAATCAGATGGTGAAGCAGTGGAAACGCTACCACTTTTGTCCACAGGGGGCACCAGAGTCAACACTAAATGAAAGTTCCAGCTTTAAGGTTTAAACCAGGGATCTCAAATTTCCTGTGGCCCACGACATGTCATAAATATTATAGAATCTGACCCCCACATTTAAAAAAAAAATTGTTATTAATTTTGCTAGTTGTTTTATATAAATTTAAACTACCCCTTCATATATAATTAAGAGAAAAACACAAATGTGTGCAAAATAAAAGGTGCCTGCGAAATGATTGTATAAAAATGTATAGAAACTGCTGTTTATTTAAAAGTATAATCTTAATAATATAATATTATTAGAGGTATTGAGCTTCCTTGTAGTTCTTGAACGCTGGAGTAGCCCTCCTATGAGATGACAATACCGGCAGTGGCCCCAAGCCAATTTGAGTTTGAGACCCCTGTTTTTAACTAAAACACTATTGTGTTTCTGGTCAGATTCATACATGGCTTCAGGAGCATCAGGAGATGATCAAGAGCTCTAAAAGCTGGATGGCCGAGGCTCAGACATGGCTCGCTGCCCCTTGCACCTACACCAGCGCTAAATGTCTGAGCAGTCACGTTCAGGCTCTGCAGGTCAGTACACTGAACTGTGGTCTGTCCTTTATACACTCTCTTTAGGAAACACTTAATGTGCTATTCAATTCTACAAACACTTCAAATACTCGATGGATCTGGAATGAATTGTTTGCTGTGTGTGTTGCAGACGGTGTTGGATGACTCGGAACAGATCCGAACCACGCTGCAGGGCTTCAGCTCAGTCCTGAAGGAAATGTCGCAGGTTTGCGACATCACAACTCTCCAAGAACAACTGGTCGAAGCAGATCGCCAAGTGGCCAACGTTCAGGACAGCTTCACTACTCCCCTGTCTCAACTGGAGCACGCTGCTGCCGTGAGTGTTTGATCTTTGAACTCTTCCACAGATAGTATTTATTGTATTTCCATATTATATATAGATATCTGTTGCTGGCCCCTCTGCTCGTACCTTTCTGTTGCTCAAATATATTGATTGATCTCTCGCTGTGTAGGAGGTGGAAGCCATTGAGAGTGAAGTCAGGCGGATGGAGAATGATGTGACTGAGATCAAGACCTTGTTATCGTCTCCGGAGACTTTCCCCACTCCCAGAGAAGAAAGCCTCAAGGTGAGAAATTAGGGGTTTTTGTTGTATGTCTTACCAACAAAAGGCTAAAATTGGTCAACTGATCAACTCAGTCAGGGCATGCTTTTATGGCTCAAACTACAAATTCTAAATGGTGGAAGTTTGCTTTAGGAAAAAAAAGAAAGACATTTCGTCAGTATTAAAGAATATCTGTTATTCTGAATGCCCTTCTTATGTGTACAGGCTGTTGAGCAGAGGATCCAGTCCATGAGGAGGACTATAGCGGAGATCCAGAAGTGTAAACCAGGCCTTTGTCTTCCAGAAAAGGCTGAAGAGACTCTGACTGTCTTTATTATAGTGGACCAGCTCCAGAGTCTGTTACTGGAACTGGAGAAGGTAAGGACAAAATCAATCAGTCAGTTAGGCACTTAAATTAATTGGTCTTCACTGAACCTTCTGCTTCTTTCTTTTTGTAGAAGGTTCCTGCTCTGTTCATCCAGCAGCCTCCGACTCCAATCCAAGCCAAAGCACTGTCGGCCCAGCAGACGGCGTCTCAGCCTCAACTCCTAAAATCCACTTCAGTGGAAGCTGAGGTGAATTTGACAACTTAAGTTGAACAAAAGTTGAATGAATTCAAAGATGAAGCTGTGAACCAAAGTGCTCTACAATGACAATGCAACAGTATTTAAAGGACCAGAGTATACGATTGAGTGGCATTTAGTGGTGTAGTTGCTGATTGCAATGCCTTCACCTCACCCTCCCGTTGCTAAATGTAGAAGGAGCAGTGGCTGCAAAATGAATCTAGAACCAGTGTACCTGCATCTGTAGCACTGGACCTTTTAAAGTACATTGGTTAGGAGACTTTCCAAGATTATGTGCAGACCCAAAGTCATCATGAGCAGAAAAGTAATCTATTTAACTAAATCTGTCCTTCGTGCTGTCTCTCAGAAGGAGGACACAGAGGGCCTAATCAGAATTGCCCACGTTGAAGCGGATGTACTGGAGAGATCCGGAGCCAAGCTACTGACTGTGGAGCAGTCCTCACCTGAACAGAGGAAGTCCTGGACACCTGACAGCGCTACGGTAAGGAAGCCAGGGAGTCATCTTTCTGGGTTTTAACACTGGTAGAAACAACCAAACTAATGAACACTGTATCTGTGTATATGTCCGATCTTCAGTGGTGTGTCACCAATGCGTATGTGTTCTCATTGTTATCTCATTTACATGAAATCACCGTCACCGGATCACCTGTGTTTTTAATATCAAACTACCACTTGAAAGTGGAGAGCGATCAGTACTAACATCCCTGCTTACCCATCCTTCCATGTGTTTTTAACAAAGTTATAACATATTCCAAATGTTGTGTTTTTCACTGCATGCTTAATACTACTAAATGTTTCTATTATCATGAGTTTACTTCACTTGAAGAGTGGGACATCGAACTAATTTTTTTTTTTTCAATCCAACTGCACTCAACTGCACTTCGTGAAATTCTAGTGGAGATCCTAGGGTTTGGAGGGAAATTCATTCAAGAGATTCAAAAGAAACTTTATGCAAGATATTTGGAATATTTTTAATTTATTTAATTCTGCCATAAAAATATAGTGTCTTGAGTTTTAATATGAATTAACTAGAGGCATCATATTTTGCAGTGTTAAAAAATATTTTAAGATAATTCCTTGATCAGAATTTTAAAAAACTAATATTATTTACCTTTCCTTCGGTCCATAGCCTATTTTTTCACCAAATTTTATTGAAATCAGTGGACAAGTTTTTAAAATATCTTGGTAATTAACAATAAACACACATTATAGTTGGTGACTAAACAATGACATTGTGGCCAGCTTGCAGCTCAGTGTCCCACATGCATGTTTGACCCCCCCCATCGTGTGACTCTGCACATGAGCGTGTTTCCGTGTCAGCAGTGGGAGCATCAAGGCGTGCTCCAGGCTGAAGAAGCCAGAGGGAAAAAAGGGAGTGAGGAGCAGAGAGTGGAAGAAGGTGGAGGAGGTGTTTTATGGTGGCTCTGGGATGCTTTCCTTGGCGCTTCTCCAGAGGTAACAAAGATTGAGAGCTGCTGTGGAAAACCCTTTATCTGTTTCCTTTCTCTGTCCTGCTGTCCTTTCAGTCACCTCTTTTTTCCCCTCGGAGTTCCTTGTGACCCAAGGTCTGCTACTTACGCTGTAGGTGGGGGTGTACTTAGCACACCACCTGCCATAACCAGTTTTAGAATAAACTATAGGGAAGTATTCTTTAGATTTATAATACACCTGAGACCATATTACAGATCCCGGTGACACTAAATGATTAACTCTATAGTTAGTAAGGCCTGGGTCACTCTGCTCTCCACGTTAGTGCTGGCAGTGAGTTCCTCACCTCTACTACCATCCTCATATCTTCCTCAGCTGCTTGCTCTTTCTAACCCTTCCCGGATTCCTCTCTCAGTACATCTCTTCAATCACTGCAGTTTCCAATTCCATGTTTTCTACTTCAACCTCCCTGCACATCTGTTACTGGAGTTTGTTCTTCCTCTAGAGGGCAGTGTTGAACAGTGTTTGTAATTTGTGTGACAGCACCATAGATGAATGAATTCTGTTAACTCATAACACATGTTCTTTCTTTCAGCTGTTTAACATTTTGATGTGGTTGTTTTCCATTTTAATATTTGTCATTGTTGGTGTTAGGAACCTTTGGTCGTTGTCCCAGAGGAGACTGAAGTTACCACTGGACACGGCAGTGAACAGACTGGAGAAGATAGACAGGTAACTGAACTCTCAACACTGTGAAACATCATCATTGGCTCCTATTGAAATTATTGAAATGATTTATTTTCAGCTTTTTAAAAAATATGATAGGTCAGCTCAAATCCAATCAAAAGAACAAAACCAACAATGAATCAATCCTACTACAATAACTATTGTCTGTGTATACTCAAAAATCATTGAGGTTTCCCTCAGTTACAATGATGTAGAGAGACAGAGAAATATGCGGTGTTAAAAAATAAAATACAAAATTAAAAGGAGGACAGGGGTAGTGAGAGTGTCAATGAGAATGTGTTGTAGATAATTCCATTTTGTGCACAAAAACGAAAGGCAGACTTTTATAAATTCAGAATAAACCCACAGGACCTGAAGCATGAAATATTCTGCGTATATGTTACACAGGCTACCCTGTATAACATATATGTTGGACCACCGATGTCCAATAAGGGATTTATCAATGAAAAGATGTAAGTCTTTATCACACCTCTGTGTCACAAAGGAACCAACCAACTTTGTTAAACATAATAAAATGGTGGATGTCATAGGGATTTCTGGTATCAAATCTCAGTCTAGGGGTTTAAGAGTGAAAGCAGCAGCATGTCTGTAGATAATATCACCATAATCCAGGACTGATAGACAGACTGCCTCAACTACTCTTTACTACATTTCAAAGGGAAGCTGGATGCTTTTCTATACAAAAATCTGAGTTTTTGCTGCAGTTTGGTGATTATATATGATATTTTTACGCTGTGACTCTCTCAATATTGCTGCCATTCAGTGTGGATAGGTATAGACTGTTTAAATCAATATCTCTTGTTCTAGATAAAAGCATGAACTTTGTTTTGTTTGCATTAAGTATTTATGGTTGAGAGCAACTTAAAGACCACAACAGGAAATTTGTATGTTCTCAAAAGCAAGTTGTACTGAATCAGCAAAACAATACAGGGTACTATCATCTGCATAAAGCTGATCAGGGAAGAGACCAGTATTATAAATTGTAAACTGACTGTACTGGGCCCAGTACTGATCCTTGTGGAACACTTTTTGTTACTGGTAAAAACTCTGATTGGATATTTCCAGCATTCCAGCATTCCAGCAGTAATTCTGGAACCATCTACAAGAAACTGAATCAAACCAAATATCATACAGTGTCTAAATAAGCAGTAAATGATCAACTGTATCGAAAGCTACGTATACTGTGCTGAACCAAATCCATGCCTGAAAATAGTCCCCAACAACTGCACTCCTAACTCCTGTTTATTTGTTAAAATTGTAGTTGAAATCTTTGGTTTAGGCTTGAGGATAAGTGCCACAGACAGTGTAGGAAAATCGGATAATATGCAATGTTGATTTTTATCTTCTTCTGGGATTTGTTGACAATAAAAAAATATAGAATATCACAAGCCTAATCTTTTAATTGATCTCAGTTATAGCAGTTTTGGATTTCTATTACTTTTATTATTGATGCCAACTTTCATTTCTGGTAAATCCTTTAATTTGAATTAATAAATATGGAAGACTGCCAATAAGAGCCATTGAATTTGTTTTACAATACAGAAGTTTATACAAGATAACATAACAAGAAGATGTCAATAACTGTATTTAATATAATTCCATAACAGAGTGTATCAGTAACTGTGTGAATCCTTGTCTTCCTGTCTATTTAACTGACTGACCTGACTGATCTTCTAACCCTGCTCATGTTTCAGGATGTTGAGGGCCCCACTGACACCACAGAAGCAAGTTCATCTGAAGCTTTATCAAAACCCCTGGGCACAGTCAGAACTCAGTCACTGCCCGAGAGCATGGTAAACACAGCCTCCACCGTAAAAGTCTCCAAATCTGACTCTGGAGCCCAGCAGAAATGTGTGGTCTCCTAGATCTAGAACTTGTATATAGAACTTCTCACTTCTTCTTGATCTAAGCATTAAACTTCAAGCTTCTTCTAGAGCAGTGTGCTGAAAGAATCACACCTTTTTTCTCCAACCGAAACCAAAGCCCTTGACTTTTTATAGAACGAGAATGTTTTTACCACAGAATCTCAGAACTCATAGAGCCAAACATAGAGCACCAATTTCTTCTACAGATTATTGTAGATCTCCCAACTTCTTCTGGATCCAACCATAGAACACCATGTCTTCTAGAAACAAGGGATATTCAAGAGCGCCCATTCTTGATTGAACCTTGGATCTCCTTAGATTTCAAGGCTTCATCCTGAACCTTCTAGAACAGGCCCTGGCACTCCCAACTTCCTCTTAGTCTATAATCCGCATTTTCTAGACTCAGATCTTGAGCTCAATATGCCTTGTAAAACCAGCTGTAGAGTCCAGCTACAACCAAACCTCAAACCTTTGCGTCTTCTAGAACCAAACCTAGAACACCAATTTCTACTAGAACCTGTATTAGATCTCCCAACGTTGTCTAGATCAACAAGGCCTCCTCTAGACCTCCCAGAGTGTTCTAGACTCAGATCTAGAGCTCCATCTGTCTTGTAGGACCAGCTATACAGCCCGGCTGTAATTGAATCTCAGAACTCCTCACATGTTCTAGAACCAAACCTAGAAAACCAATTTCTTCCCAAACCTGTGTTAGATGTCCCAACTTCTTGATCTAACCCTATAATTTCTTCTTAATATCAAGGCTTCCTCTAGAATCTTGTAGAACAAGACCTGGATCTTCCTTTTGACTTTTTCTAGAACCCTTTTCTACAAACTCAGAGCCCATATCTTCTGTTAAACCTAGAAGTTTCCTAGCACCACGCCTAGACATCCTGGTTCTTCTAGAAATGTCTGACTTTCAATCCTCAGTGCATTTACATGGCAGATAATTCCAGATATTGGCTTCCAGCAGTTCAGAGCTGTGGACATTTTGTTTACATTGGAAATTGTATTGTTTGTGTTTCTTACAGATGAATTCAATCTAATCAGATGTGTGCCAAAGACGTTCTTTTTCTAAGTTTATTTGTGTTTACATGAAGGACTACTGAGCTCGCCCATTCTCACAGTAATTCTGCCAATTTGTTGACAAGTGGTCACCACTGCAATGTGGTTAAAGATGACACAGCACACTATTTGCAACTATGTGAGAAGTGGTTGGCAGGGTGATGGTTACTATTTTACCAAAAACTGAAAGCAGACTGATAGTATTTAGCATGTGGGGTGGACGGTTTTTAACAGTCTGTATTAAGCTTTAGCATGGACCTTAATTCTGATGGGTTAATATGTTTTTATAAAAGAAAGAAACACATATTTTGTGAACCATGTTTTATAATGTATCATATAGGGAATGGTGATTTAGAATAGTTAAACCTTTTGATTGTTTCTTTCATTTGAGCTCGTTTGCCAGCAACTGCAGAGTATATCTGTTTAAATAAACTTTTGTTTGCTTGCTTAAATGCACCTGCCATTTGTGTTTCCATAAGCTGAACATGATGATTAATTGGTGTTGTACAGAGTTGATTGATTAACTGAGTAATTATCACTTCAGTGAGTTGCTCAGTCACTGCCTGGCAGCAGGGGAGAGTGGGGAAATATTCCCGCTTTGTTATGAATCAGCATATTCACGTTCACTCTCTACAATGCAGCTTTTGTACTTAAATTTACCTTTTCCAAAATGACTGTTGGCCATGAAAATGCACTGGTTTGACATGATTACTGATTAACACACGGCCGCTGGCAGGTGAAAACCACGTAACTCCAAATTTAGATTTAGTTTAGTATCACTTAATTAGAAGGATTGTACTCACATAATCAATAAATTATGTTACTTGCTTTCGTGCAAGATTTTTAAGAAATTCAGAATACAGTAACAAAACCCAAGAAGCTGCCGATTTTGGAGATACAAGGTTTTCACCTGGAAGCAGCAGTACTGATATGTCTTAAATTACATGGCATGTGCTGTACTTGTACCTTGTTCTACTGTCTTTCCATTCTGTCTACATATCCAAACAAGAGCACGAATACAAATAAACCCACATCAGTGATCTACTCCTCCGTCTCTCTTTCTCTGTGTCAGGAGCTCATGAAGGGACAGAGTGGGCTTGCATGGAGGGGGGATGACCCAGAGGGGCTGAAGACATACACAGTACATACACAGAGCACACACACACCTTCAGACTGCACACAGGACTCAGTCACACCTGCCCAAATTACACTTACAGAGGACTCATGTAGACCGAGTGAGGATAGCAAAGACTTTACGGCTGTGAGATCAGAAAGCAGAAACAGCACTGTGTTTGCGGTGGAGACGTCTCAACGACCGGTTCTGCCAACATCTGGAGAAGCTCTGGTAAAATCTAGAAGTCCTCTAGAAACAGCAGCAGCTGTAGCCACCACACACAAACCCTCTCAACTCAGTGTAACATCAGAACAAACCAAGGCCTCCCCAGCAGGCACATTCACACTGCAGCATCACAACGACACTGAGGGCTCTGCAGCTGCCGTGGTAAGCAAAAATATTTAATAGAAATCACACTCAGCTCCCTGGTTCCAGCATGATACACAAACAAAAGCACGGTCCTCCTCCTAACCCTCTAACCGTGCAGGAGTGGATGCAGAGTTGGAATCTGGTTGCACATCAATAACTCACTGATGGACTGAGTTGATAAAGCTGCCGTTCAGCTACCTGATAACCGTCTACTTGTTGGTTTACTGGCTGATTAATTTTTATGTTTGACCTATAATACAACCTGGAAGTTCTGCTGTTTCCCCTGCATTTACCTCTATTGCATTTTTATTACATTTTGCATTCGTGAATTTATATTCACACAGAGCCCAGAAAGTGTCAGGAGCTTTTGAAATATTTATTTTGTTGCCCAAATTTAGTCATTTGTACTAAATTAATTATTTGTGCCATTTGTGCCAGCTAAATTTTAGTTTTTATATTGAAAGTCAACTGACATTCATATACTGTGTTAACTTTATTGATGTTGTTTTGCTGACCTACATAACACAGAAGGGAGAGGCCAAATTATTTTCACAGCATTCAGGTACAAATTATTCACTCAAATTAATAATTAAAATCATTCTAAGGTACAAGTTACTGTAAATATGTCCTCAGTATAACAGAACTATAGGAGGTTGCCTAAAAAACATAATTAGAGACTCATTTTTATCTAAAATGTTCTCCATTAACAAATAGAAGGCTCAGTACGTTCCCATTAGACTTAAATGACATCAAAGCTTTGTGAATGAGTCCGGTGATTAATTACGACATTCAAAGCAGGTTTGTTGACTCTTGGTGTTCACCTCCTGTTAAGGCTGCATCAGATCCTCTGCAGTTTCTTGGCAACTGTGTGCACAGAGCTCAGTTATGAAAGAAAACCAGTCATCTGATGCACTTTGAGTCTAGACTGAAGAGACTAAAATGCTCATAATTCAGCAGGCGTCTAAAGAGGAGCAGAATGAAAGAAAGGAGCACTTAAAGCTGTAAATGAAGTTCTGATAGGAGATGACTGACAGCTACACACAGTTTGAGGAGGAAGTGTGTGTTTACTGCCCGGCCCTCTGTCTCAGCTCCACCCCTGTAGCCTGAGGCCTCTCTTCTTTCTCTCTGTCTCTCTGTCATTCTCTCTCGCTCTTCCTGTGATAAAGAGTCGCTGTCACTGGAGCCCTGCCACCGGCTCCAGGAAGTGGTTTCAGCCACAGGTGGGTGGAGCAGAGAGGCAAAGAAAGAGGAGAGCGAGGGAAAGAGACAGACAGGGGAGAGAGACTGGAAGTGGTGGTGTGAGAAACAGAATTACAGCTCAGAATTTAGATCAACAGTAGAGCTGCAACCTGTTCAGGTAGAGTCAACTTAAAGCTCCAGTTTGCTCAGGACTCAGTTCAGCTCTCCCCCTCCCTCTCCCTTCTCTCTCCCCCTTCTGTCCTCTCTACTTGCGACCCTGGAGGAGAGAGGCTCAGCCGGGTGTGTTGTGTTTGTGTCCCAGGCCCCGGAGGAGCCTCGGCCGGCTGGGTCCCAACCTGGGCCCCGCCCCAGCGAAGGTGTCCTGCATGTCTGCCTGGAGAGGGTTGGCCAGCTGGAGCTGTGGCTGTGGAAAGCTCAGAGCAGCCTGGTAGCCTCCGGAGCCGCTGGTTCACCGACCATGCAGGACAGCATGGAGCAGCAACTCCTCACCTGTCAGGTAAGCTCCGCCCACCCAGGAGACCAGGTGACTCCCGGGATTTACAGGTAGAAAGATGTCTGGTAGCTACAGTGAATTCAAACTGGGCTACATGAGGCTGAAAAGTGAATATTTTTCTATCTAAGTTACATATAGCCGTACACACTCAAATACAGGCCGAAGTCTCACATAGACGTACTGCTTGTTTCAGTTAGTTTGAACTTTTTCCAGTATCTTTTGTTTTTATTTTTTATTTTGTGTGGGTTAGCACTTTCTATTGCAGAATCAGTTTTCTTATTTTCTTTTTCTTTCTTTATTCTGTTACCTATTCCTGTTCCATTAGTAAGTCATTTTAAATTGCTTTTATTGGTATTATTGTTTTATGTTGACCCCAGGAAGACTAGCAGCCACTTTGCAAAGCAAATGGGGATCCAAATCAGGAATAAAGAAATTATGTTGAAACAATAGAAATGTCTTTTCAAATGAATGTAGCTCAGTTTTAAGTTAAATATCTGGACGTCTTTCGACCTGGAAATGATCAAATCAATGCTTCCCGGGCATTATTATCAATTTATCTGGGAAAGTTTTAATATTTTCCATAATATCAGGAAGCTCTTTCTAGGAATGTTTCAATAAAGTGAGTCTGTATGAATATTGTCGTTAAGTGTCTTTCAGTCAATTATCTAATTTTGACAATAATAAACATTCATAAAGACATAAAGGTGTCATGTCAGTCTTGTGACAGCTAATCTCTGACAAAGGTTAATACAAAACACCAAACAAAGGTCACTTTCACTTTGAAACCTGAAACATCAATAATAACTTTCCTTCCCTCAGAAGTTAAACTAGTTTTTTAAATCAGCTCTCTCACAGTCTGAGATCATAATCCTGCTACTGTCGGGTCTGCGTGCACCAGGAAGCTAAGAATAGCAACAATCAGAGGTCACTGGTCCAGTCATGTGACTTGACAAACATTTCAAGTTGCACAATGTCGCTTCAGGAGCAAAACTCAGGAATCATTTCCATATTCTTGCAGCTTGTTTCAGAGCTTGCAACATCTCAGCTCACCCCAGGCACAAAGTTAAGAAACTACACGCTGAGGATGTTTTGGCATCTCAGAGGTTCAAACTTCCCTCCCGTATTGGTTTGTTTGCCATCTCATGTGTGATGTAAGATCTTAAGACACATCTGGCTCTGTACGAGGGGTCAAAGTTCATCAGCTAGCAAAGTGGAAGTCATTTAAAGTTGAATGAGTGTGTGTATGTGTTTGTGTGTGTGCAGTGCCACAGACAGCCTGTCTGTCTGCTCGCTTCTTCCAGCGGCTGGATGTTACATATTTGACTAGTAGTTCAGTTCTACTATCTCAGTGCTGATAACACAATAATGCCAACATTGTCGCCACTTATGGCTGTGAACTCATCATAATAATATATTTACCCTGTGCGCTTCCTGATTGCTCAGTAGGGTGAACGTTGTACCAACACTGCCAAGGTTGGACCACCAGCCTCCAACCAGACTCCATTGACAAAACCAGTCATTTTACCTGAGCAGATAATCATATAACACACTCCAAAAACAAAATAAAACTCACCAAAACCTTTCTGCTGCCTTTCTAAGAGTCACCTATGCTTGTTTGGTCAAATGAATCCTTAATGTACAGAGTTAGATGAGAAAACAGTTTGCTGCTATATGTCTGCCATGTAGCATTAGCTAATCCTTGGGGACAAAGTATGTCCACTAAAAGTGCCTGACACTGGCAGGCTCAGATTGGTATTCAGAGATAAACCTTTTGTTTAATCAGAAACAGCCATAATGTCACTAATGCTCCCCACCAGACTCCATAGACAAAAACACTTCTAATTCTACCTCGCCGACCCTTGAAATTGTAATTTCATTCAAAGAGGGCAGAAAGGAAATGAAACTCACAAAAAACATCTTTATTAGTCTTTCCAACAATCACCAACTCTGATGTGATTGGAAAAAATCCCTAATTCTCCGACGTAGATGATAAAAACAGCAGCTTCAGTCGCTCTACTCAGCTGGAAATGGAGGGACTCACGTTAACATGCACCGGCGGCCAGACCAGATTTATAAACAAACCACAGACAGGCAAATCAATCAATCATTCACTCATCAACGTTACTCACTGAATAACCAATCCTGCCAAATATTGTATTTGTTGAGTGTTTTTTTGCCATAACGTCTTTCAGAATATCTTTAAAAGAAGAAATTACTTAAAGTAGCCTAATGAAATTTTCATTAAAATTAATTTAATGATTTGATTTAATTACAATGTCAGGTAGTCATTAAACTACTATCAGCCTTCCTGGACAGCCACTTACTGAGTGTTGTCTTCGGCTGTATATTGTTCTTACTTTCTTTTCCTCTGTTCTTTAGTCTCAGTGAACAGGTTTCATTAACTGCTCAGGTTTTATTACCCCTGAAGTTTGCTCTAAGTGTCAGACTGTCCATTCAAACCAGGACTGCTGGAGAAAGTGAAAGTGTGATTGTCTCACTAAACATTAACCGGAGTGGTCTTCTTCAAACAGTTAGAGCAGTAAACTCTGACATCTTGTACAGTAATTCTTTAGTTTAACATCACTGGCTCTCTCTTTGTTTACTGTTGAGAGAGAGAGTTCACAGTTTAACAAACACTACGCTGTCAGCTGCTGGTATTTGCATTGAGGGCGCAGTGTGGCTGCAAAGATCAGGACGCCAGAAATCAAGTGCTGTAGTTTTAAACTCTGCCAAGAGCTCCCTGACGACCAAACAAACACATGAAAACAGGCTGCAGAAGACAGGAGCAGTTACAGCAGATATCCACTAGACTAATAAACTGTTATCAGTTTTTATTGGATATTTGACACAGTTTACCGCTGTGGTGACATACTGTTGCTCTCCTGTAAAGAATGTGTATCTCTAAAAATGTCACACACTTCAAATCCTTCAGTTTATTTTAAAAAAATCACCAAATTTGGAGACACGCTTTATTAACTGGACAGTGATGATGTGTAAAAACTCTAATGTAATTTTATTTTCAGAAGTTGCTGTATACGACTTTCAGACTAGATGTCACGCTAGAGCAGCAGCAAGTCAGACCAAAACAAATATGCACATGCCCACCAGACTCCATTGACAAAAACACTAATTTTACCTGCTAGTTGATAAAACAACAATCACCACATCACAATAAACCCCTTAAGTCACCAAGTTGGATGAGAAAATAGACACAAAAAAGGCTGCAGCAGCTGCCCTGTAATTCTTAGGGACAAATGTGTTGGTCAAAGTATGTCCTTTAAAATGTTTGTTTTTGTCACTGACAAGTGTCCTATTATGGAACGGGTCACTACAGAGATAGATCAGACAAGAAACAGCCTGTATATTGTTATCGCTCACCACCAGATTCCATAGACAAAAACTGTAATTTAACCATCGTAAAACAGGTTCAGTCCTAACCTGCCGGACACAAAATAAAACTCACCAAAAACGTTTTTGTTAGTCTCACAACTGTTCAAGCAATCACCTGCTCTGGGTTGGTTGACATAAATCCTTAATTCACTGAGTTAGATGAGGAAAAACAGCAGTTTCAGTCGCTCTACTCAAAGCCAACAGTTGCATGTGGAGAGACTCACAGGCACTAACATGCAGCCAGACTGAAGTAAACGAGGCTCAGGGACACCATTATTCCACTATTCAAAAAGCAAAATGTTGTTTTCTGCTCTGTTAATGTTCAAAATCTTGTAAATATAACCTTTAATTCTGTTTTTTAAATCCATTTTTCTGTCAAAATTGGGACTTGACATGAATGACTATTGACAATCCATAAAATTGACAATTTTAATCTAGTTATATTCCATCTCAGGTCAAACTGGGAAACAAGGAAAGTCATAGCTGGATATATAGTGGTTAGGGATCTGTATGATTCAGGCTGTGGGATAATAGCTTTCAGTCAATAGAGCCCTGCCCTCACAGGCTTCAGTATTATGTCCTCACTCAAAGCTTTGGCAGGTATTTTCCTCCCAGGATTCACTCCCCGCTCACCCCGAGAGTGTAACTGGAGCCTCCATTAAAGTTTCAGAGGTTAAACACATCCCATAGACGCACGTCACATTTGAATGAAGCTTTGTGGGCAAACAAACAGCGACTGACAAGATCTTGTCTCCTATTCAAATTTACTGGAGAGCCTCGTACACAGAGACGCCTCATTCATGACCCAGATCTGACGTAAACATTCACAACCGACACAAAGACTCTCTGAAGATATTTAATTCTCAATGTCATTGTGTTACGGTATTGAATATGTATGTAAACATTAGAGTTCTTGTTAAAAGAATCAATGATTTGACACAAGTGTGTGTGTGTGTGTGTGTGTGTGTGTGTGTGTGTGTGTGTGTGTGTGTGTGTGTGTGTGTGTGTGTGTGTGTGCGTGTGTGTGTTAATGTGCAGGAGATGTTCCTGGAGATCGAGCAGAAGGTCGCCAGCCTGTCGGAGCTCGGCCTGGCCGCTGACCAGCAGCTGCAGCAGCAGGATGAACTGGGAGCTGTGGGGGCCCAGCAGGAAGCGGCTGAGCTGCTCTCCTCCAAACTGGAGCTCCTGAAGGCCAACCTGGTCAGCTTCCAACAGCTGCTGCAGGACAGACAGACAGAGGCCCACAAGGAGCCGCAGGAACTGGTAGGCCACAGGACACAGATAAGAAGTGTAACCATATCAACCAGAATCAGCTTGCTCAGCTTTGATCCCCTCCACTCAAAAATGTGTTTTCCTTATGTTTGTGACCCCTAAAATGTATACCTTGACTCTGCTGACTTTTATATGTGCAAACGCAAAGAAAACTTCCAGCAGAGGTGAGAGCGAGGAACGTGGCACAGTCTGCAGTGTTTGGATGTAAAGTGTGAGCACACTGTCTCACTGTAGCAGATATTACACCTTTCACAACCACTAACGCTGTGTCACTCACTGCCAGTTACGAGCTAACAAGCTGACAAACTCAAACAAGTAAAAGATGCTATCTTTTCTTCACCACTCATCTTTCACCGGTCCACCTAGCGAGCAGCGGTGGTGGGCGGGGCATTCATAGATCCAGAATTTCTCAATGAGGGAGAAAAGTGTGCTTCCAGATCTTTTTACTTTTTATGTGGGAAAACCATGTTAAACAAATGATTAATCATAGCAGAGAATGTTTGCATACTTTGAAACATGTCTGAAGGGGAAATTTGTATTTTCGCTCATGTTTTTTTTTTTTTTCAAACAATTTGACAATTTTGTATAGAAAAAAGTGTCTCATATTTTTTGTTTTGATGTGGCTATATGACGTTTGGATGTGCCACATCACTCTTTTTATTGAACCAGAACCATGAAAAGTAGTGAAAGATGTGGTAAAAATACAAATAATACATTATTATAATTTGTTTTGTGTTTTTAAATTTAGATAAACTCACATGAGAAATCATCTTTTCTAACCAAACACCAGGTCAAATTCTCATGATCCACCTCATTCCTTTCCCTATTCTCTTTCTTATTTTAATTATATGTAGTCTATAGGGTGTTTCTGCTGCCGAGCAGGCGTTGCACATGTGGTGAAGTCCCTCCTTGATAATTATTAACACGTTTGCAAATAAACCATTACAGGCTCACATGCACATCATTAGTGGTTCCCCGCTCGGCATGGAAGCAGGTCTGTTTAGTTTCATACCTGCAGGTGTGAAGCAGTTTTCAAGTCTTTAGAGGAACAAGTCACAAGTCTTCATAGAAAAATTGTAATAAATCAAAATGCGAGTTTGTCAAGTCTGAGTGCTGAACTTTAAAAGCCCACGTCTGCTGGGTGTAATGCTTGCCTGTCACTGTCCCAGCAATATTTTATTGTTCAAGATAACAAAAAAAGTAATTATACACTAATGAAAACATACCTATGAATATTATATTCAATATCTGCAGATCCTCCTAAATGTTACACACTGGACCTTTAAGGGACCCATTTTCTATTATAACTAAACTGACTAGGTGACATATTTTGTAAATATTTGGTGTTGTATTCAATTCATTTTTTACACTTAAAATCAAGAAAGCCTCCTTGGCCACTTGAAGCTTTGGCGACCTAGTGGAAGTCGGGACCCCCAGGTTGGGAACCAGTGAAATACAGTTGCTGACTACGACCTTTTGGAATCAGAGAAGGAGAAAAGCTTCTTATTTTTCCTCCCTGTCTCTCTTCTTCTCCTCAGAAGTCGGATCCTCAGCCAGAGCACCACCTGGAGTCACAGTTGAAGCGCAGCAGCAGCGTTCAAGAAATCTTCTCCTCACCTAGAAACAAACTGCTCAGACAGAGCAGCCTGCAACAGCAGAAGGTACTGGACTCTACTGACTGCTTCAGTGAAGAGTTATCAATCCCTTTAGTAGAAGACAATGAAACCCTGAACTCTGTGTTTCATTAAACCCTCATGTCAGAAGTTCTTTCTGTCAGAGGTCGGGGACATGACTGACATGACAATTTTTCCATTGTGCTCTGGAATTGAAACCAGCAAGAGTCAACGTAGCAAAGACCTTTTTGTTAACGAATAAGATCCTTTTTCTTTAACCACAAACAGCTGTTATATCACTCTGTTCAAAGCCACCAAACTCCATTGACAAAACCATTAATTTTACCTCCCAGAACATGGGAGTTGCTGGTCTTCCTTTGCCAATCAGTTAGTTTGTGTTACTGTATTACTGTGTGGCTTGTGTTTTTAACATGTTGGTTTGGATGAAGTTAAAACACCAAAGTCACACAATAAGCAGATTAACCAATCAATCGAGGCAGCGCTAGACCAGTTACTTCTAAACTCAACTTTTTGTAAAATTATTGTTTTCGTCGATGGAGTCTGGTGGCTGTGAACAGAGCGACAACGGCTGTTTCTGGTTATAGAAAAAGGATCTTGCTCTTTAACAAAAAGGTCTATCTCTGTAGGAATCCTTTCCATAATATTGTCAGATACTTTCAATACAAACTGAGACCAAAAACACCAAAAACAAGAACTTTTAGTGCTTTCAGACGAATTGTGGAAGAACCTTTAACTGTTGTTGTTGTTTGCTGTGCAGGAGTTTGAGCAGGAGCTGACTGAACAGAGAGGACTGACTCAGGCCATCGCCAGGCAGGGCAGCAGGACTCGACTCGTCAGCCAGGACCCAGAGGACTACAGCCAGCTGTCACCATGGTAACACACGCCATCACCACTCTGTTATATTGTTATATATGTATATATATAACACATAGTGTATGGGATACACTTGTGTTATGTTGTATTTTAGTTCATTGCTCTAAATCTCTTCTTTACAGTTTCATTTTCCCACACGATTATAAGTCTTAATTCTAATTAGTTATTTTGGGCTTTTATTTTCTCCTGAATATTATATATATATTTTAAAAGTCTGATTTCAAAAGTAAGTACAGATTAACTTGAATTGTGAGTATCTTCAACACAACAGGAGAGAATAAAAACAGAATAAATCTTCTAACTTCTGAAAACTTCTTAGATTTATTAGATTTTTCCAATCAGTGCAATTAGAAAAAAAAAAACAGACATAAGACATAAGATTCAAAGAGATACCTCCAGCCTTCCACCAATGAAAGGCTGCTAAAAAAAAAGCAAGAAAGAAAGATGAAGTGAAGTGCTAATTTTCAGCCTTTTCTCTCCCTGCAGGTCGCCTCCTGCTGCGGCTGATGAGGAGGAGGACTCTGCTCAGAAGAAGTGGGATCGCCTTCACAGTCGGCTGCTGGGTTTGGAGGAGAGTTGGCTGCTTCCTCCCTCTGCGGTAAGGCCTTCATCGTCAGAGCCGCAGTGCTTGATTATCACTTTTCAAATACAAAAAAGAAAAGAAAAATCGTGTTCTCGCCATGCTTGATTATCACCTTCTTTGAGCAGAAGGCACCTTGTTGTCTCTTTGGTGTTATGGGGACTCCTGCAGGGCATAATGAGAGTCGCGTGTGTCTCTGACTTCTGATTTTTCTCTTCCCTTTCTGTCTACTTGTATGCAACTCTCTCTCTCTTTCTCTCTGAAGGTGACAGACTCATCTACGAGGCGTAGTGATGGAACAGCAGGACGTATGATTGGCACACAAACTCTGAAAGAGCTCCAGACTCACATCAGCCACCTGAGAGAGCTGGGACACACAGCGACAGAGCGTCTGAATCAGGTGCACACAGGGGTCTTTATCATGGCTGTTTATCAGAGAGTATGAAAGTTGTGACATGTGATACCTGGACCATTGCCGGTTCCAGGACCCCTCAAGTGTCCATGACATAAATCTGAGGGTCTATTGATCATTAGCACATTTTCTTTGTTATAGCTATATAACTAATGCTATAGCCATTAAATGTATTCATTCAGACTGAATGAAATGATTGGCTGGCCTTTCTATCTACCTGTCCTACCTCTGTGCACTCCACCCCTGCATTCACTTCGCATTAGTCTTCCACAAGTCGGCCATTCAGATATTGCTAAAGCCACTGAACTAGTTGCACAAGAATGGCAGAGAAAGAGCAGCGTAAAGTCATAGTTCCACCTTTACCTACAACAGTTTGTACTCGTGATAGACCGATTAATCGGTCGATAAACACAACATATCTCCATATAAATCTGCAGGCAGCTTCGTCAGTGTTGCTGCTTTAGAACAATGTTAGTGCTCCCCTTCGATAGAAGAGAATTATACATTACTTTTCTTTGTTTTGATATTGGCATTATATATCGCCCATCAGCAGCCCTGCTCTCTAAATATGGTGTCAGCTGTTGAAACACCAATATCAGACGACCATTAGTTTGTATTGCTAAACAAAGCAAGAAAAGAAACACATAAGTAGAAAAAATATTTGGATAAAGCAACAGGTCAAACCAGAGTCAGCATGGATGTGGCTTTTCCTAGCTTTAACAAGTAGTAGTCGTTTGCATTGTCAGTGGTGGAGTCCACCATTCCCGCAAGTGTCATTTCGATCTCTTCGAACTCTTGGACTTCTATTATTAAGATGTTCTTAGTGTTACCAGCAGTAACCACAGGTTGCCAAATAAACGTTTAATTTCTCCCTAAAGTAGCTTTAAATTTAGTGAAATCATCTCATTCCACTCTGTCTAACAGTATTACATATTTTATATGAGCATAAATCACAAACTAGACACTGCTTCACTCGAAGAATACAGATACAGTCTGATGAAAGCAAGCGAGCCCAAAGTTTGTGAAATAAAGGACGTATTAGAGGAGAACTGTGCTACTTGTATTGAGGCGTAAAAAAAAACTAAAGAAAAAAAAAAAAAAAATCTACTAAATTCTGATTGACTTTTGATTCAAATTAAAGTGAGCAGGAAATGAAACTACACACACAGATTGACCCCAGCATGTTGTCACCGCTCACCACAGGAAACACATTTTGACATCACACTTCACAAAAAGAAGAGCAGGAAACAACAAACATGAAAGACAACAGTTGTTGGCTTCCTCCTCCTCTTCCTGGTCGTCTTTGCTGAATAATATCTGACAAAAAAAATGCAAACAGTCAGAAAAAGCAACAATATGTCCGTCTGACAGAGTATGAATTTGTGTCCTGTCTTAACTTCCTAAAATTTCTGTTTTTTTAAATAAGTTGGCTAACTGTCTGACTCCAGGCCCCCCCTGAGGACAGCTCCCATCAGACGCTGGATGAGGGTTTGTTTCATGTGCTGTATGGAGCGTCCCTGTCCCTGTCCTCCATCAACAACCTGCTGCACTCATCGGCTGGGACGACACACGACGGAGACACACAGCTGAGGCTGCTGCAGCTGCAGGTGGGACAGATTCATCCCTCTCTTTATTTAGAAAAAGGAAGACAATAAAGTAAATAACAGTAATAGACCAACATAAACCCAACAGGTACAAAACTGTGGAAAGAAATCAAACAAAAACAAGATAAACAAAAGGAAAACACATGTAAAAAAAGTTGGAAACAAAATCAAGATCCAAACTCTCCTCTCTCCTCCCCACTTACTGATTATTATGCTGAATCACTCTAATCGGGACTTCCTTTTCAGAGTCTGTCTGCAGAGCTGGCCACCCTCGGCAGCGAGGTGGCCTCTCAGGGGTCAAAGGTCAGCTGTGTCCTGGGGTCAGAGTGCGGTCAGCAGTGTGTAGATGATGTGTGTAGAGTCCTTCATGTGGTCCAGGCCGCACTGACCAGCAGAGAGAAGCAGCTCAGAAACCTGCAGGAGGAGAATGCAAAGCAACAGGTCAGATATCCTAAAATAACTCTGATTAACTGCACACAAGAACACACTGATACCAAGTAAATATTGAATCCAGTTTTTATCTCACTTATATTAATGTTTATGGTCTGTGTGAGTTGTCCTGCTGTGTTTTGTTCCTGTATCATCATTTATACAGAAACTCACCTCCTCTGTATAATGAATATCTCACCTTGTCTAACATATTTATACAACAAGTATAATTGTAAACTTTTTGCAAACCTTGTTTGCATGCATCAGTGTTAAGAATAAGTTGTCTGTTTGACCAACAGATGCGACTAAATGAGTTGCATGCAGCCTTCACCTCTAACCAGACGACTGTTCACCAAATAATTAATGAATTCAGTGGAACCCTGGACCTTAACGAACAACTGCAGGTACCGTTTCCATGGAGATATTTCACTTAAACGAACTGATGATGGTTTTAAAGCTGCAGGAATTCAATTGATTAATATATGAACATTAATTGGAAACTATTTTGATAAGCTGTTAATAATTTAAAGCTGCAACATGGAACTTTTATTTTGTGGTGATTTTGGCGACCCCTGTGGACAAAAGCGGGTGGTAGTGTCAGGAACCGGTACCAGTTTGTACAAGTTCTAGATACCCTCCCTATATACAACCTACAGAAAAACAAGAAGAATAGATCTGTTTTTATGAGGTTATACACAACAGCATACTGTTGAATAGAGAGGAATAGACAAAGTAACTTCATCCAGCTGGCATGGTCAGATGTTAATGACCTTACATATCACAAGCTATTTAACAAGTTTACATGTTAAACTTGTTAAATAGCTCGTCTGAATAGCACATAGTCACAAAGCTTTAATTCCACAGTGTGTGTGTTTGTTTTCCAGGCAGTGGTTCCGATGCAGGAGGCTCTGCAGCAGCAGGTGGAGCAGGTGAGCTCCCTGCTGGGGGAGGCTGAACGACAAAACTTGCCGGCCTCTCTCATCCACCAGGCCAAACAGCTGCAGGTATGATAGCGGGTATATGTCATGGGTCATGTCTCTGACTCTGGGTCAATTTAGCCATGTTTTTGAAATCTGCTTTGCATAAGCACAAAGACATTTGGGATGTCGACTTCTTAAAGATAATACTAAATAGGTGATCATAGAGTGCTGCTGGGATGATTTATTTTTTTGCATCACCCTGTTTCCTTTAACAAAAAGCCAATGGGACTTTCAGATTATAGTTTGGATAGATAATCTTCACAAATGAACAAAACTTTTATGCTTTTTGAAGCGGAAGTGAAAGAAGTGAAAAGCTAATATTAGCCTGTAAACGAACTACACCGTGCTCACATGACTTTAACGTCACCACTAAGCTTTAAGTGTTCGGCATGCTAACTTTTAATTTCCCCAAAGACCTCTGTGGTCTCATTTAGCCACTTCATTAGCAGCCGCCTTTTTTAAGACAATCCAAGTAAATCCTATGAAGATGTAAAAGCTGTAAAATTTGTGAGTAAGGTATTTAAATACAGAACTTATTCAAGTATCCAAAAACCCAATCAAAACACCTATTGGCTACGAGACAAGAGAGAACTCATTTTCGGGTTTTAGAACTCATTCTTGCAGCACTTTATTTAGTTGCCACAAGAACGTTTAAATCTTGAAACTGTGTGTATGTGCAGGGTGAGCTGGACAGTTCTCTGGGTGGTGTTCGCTCCCGCTGTGAGGAGCTGAAGAGCAGCGTGGAGCTGCAGCAGCAGTACGAGCGGCTGGTCCACAGCCTGGAGGAGCTGCTCGCTCTGGGCTCTCAACGCCTCGCACAGCAGCCCGAGCTCCACAACAGAGCTCAGCTCCAGCAGCAGCTCAACAGTCACACGGTCAGTCTGAGCGCTGCACAGAAAGGTTGGAGTGCTGGAAATAAAAGCTTAAAAATATCATCTCTAACATTGCTTTCCCTTTCTATTATCAGAAGTTCTTCCAGTTCCTGAGCCATCATTCTAGGAATCTGCAGTACCTGACCCAGAGACTCCCAGAGAGCGCCCTCCAAAGGTGGGAAGGTGTAGTGATGGGCCTGCAGGATGAGGTGACCCGACTGCAGCAGCACGGACTGGAGAAGGGGACCAGGATGGAGGAAATATTGCAGGTAGTGCATGAAAATCAGTTCATGTGTATTTACTATGGGGGTTTTCAAGATGGCGGCTTGGCTGACAGTCCACATTGCTGAGCTCTAAAAGAAACTATACAGGTATAGTATATATGGTAATGGGGACTATTCCTAATGGTTTTCTGTAAGGGGTTTTCATTTCAAGTGTTAGTGTTAGATTTGGGGTTAGGGAACTTAGGACCCTGGGAACATATGGTGTGTTCCATTCACCTCCAGTCCAAAGTCGGAGCTGGGAATGAAACCCGAGTTGGCTGCTTTCCTGTACAACAAGTCGGAAAACCAAGCTCTAGGTTAGCCATTAGCAATGCATTACACTGTGTTTTATTCATACGAACATGTCCACAGACAGAAGTTGGACAGTACTGTGTGTATGATATCGATGAGACATGAAAGATAGAAGTGCTAATAAACAGAATATCACTGCAACTTTCACACAGGAGTTGGTGAGGTTCCTACGACTTTCCTAGTTGGAAATCCAACTTCAGGGGGGCGTTCCAGCTTAAATTTCTGGATGTACCGATGGACTGCACCAATACATGTGCTCACATTAGCATTTAGCTCAAAGCACCACTGTGCCTTAAAGCTTCAGAGCTGCTAGCGTAGTTTTGTTACTGTGCCAAATGGTATCTAAGAGAGGTGATGCATTGTACATGAATGTAGAATAATATGGTTCTCATTCCTGAAAAGGTTCAATCTTCAGAGTCAGAAATGCCACTTCTGGGTCATTAATAGATCTGTTCACCCAATTCATCCAAATTCATTCCGAACTTTTTGGGATATTTTTATATTAAGACGTGTGTAACAGGTGCCACCAGGAATGAGAAGAATCATTAAAAAACAATCAGAACTGATTTTAATGAACAGTGACATCTCTCCTGACTGTCATCATTTCTCCATCCATCCCAGATGTGGTCACATTGGGAAGAGGACAGTGCCTGGTCAGACTCCCTGCTGAGAGGCATTGACACTTCATTTCCCAAGATGCACGACGGGGGTGATTCTGAGAAGCAGATATCAGAGAAGCTCTCTGTCTACCAGGTCTACCATTTTTATTAATACATGTGCTCTTTGTGACCGTCATACTGATTTACTGACAGGCATCCGACCAGAGGCTAGGCAGTGCATTTTGCAATGTTCCATTCTGCTCATTTGGAGACTATGGGACACGCTCTCCATGCCGTACTTTGTGCATGGCACTCAACACCTAATTTACTCAATTAAATTCAAGGGGTTGTTTTCCGTTGGAGCACGATGTTCCTTGGCATTGATGTGAGTTATTAGCCGAGCTGAGACCTCCGACTAGAATTCATTCTGGTTCTGCTGTGGGATTGGAAATGTGTCTCTGAGTCATCTGAAAATGGACTGTGAAGAAGAGCGTTGAGGGATTGAGGCCCTTGCAGCAGCCATTTTAAAACATCTCAGACTTGCGCTGAGTTTTAAATTAAGCTCAGCATTCGTGTACTTTATCAACTTTAGCTGTACTAACCTTAACTCTATTTGTGGCTGTGTAGAGATTAAACAACCAAGATACAACATGCAGCGACCTACTGTTTAACTTTAGACAGAGCCAGGCTAGCTGTTTTTTTATGGAAAATTAAAATATGCTACATTCAAATGATAAAAGTGAAAGTGATAAACGTATTTAGACTGAAACTGTTGAATGGAGTTTAGTCATAATAAAATAAAATAAAATACACTAACTGGTAGCATTAGCTATCTAACTTGTCAGATGTCATAAAATGTAGGGGTTCTGTATGCTCATGTAATGTTTCTCTGTATGAGCTCTTGTTGAAGAAAGTGTGTGTTTCTGACAGGAGCTGCGTGGCGTTCTGGACGGGAACAAGGCGCGGTTCAGTCGGATGCTGGAGACGGGGTTCTGGCTGCAGACGGCGGGCTGTAGAGAAGTGGGTGTGTCCACCAGCCAGCTGGAGGCACGCTGTAGAGCCCTGCACAAGAAGGTGGAGCACAAATGCACCAACGTAGCCTGGAACAGGAAGCTGAGGAGCAGGTGAGAGATGAGAAAGAGAGAAAAAACGTTTACACTGCAAAGTAGTCTTCTCCATATTATTGACTGGGGAAAATCTTCCTTCCTTTATTCATGGTATAGAAGTTTAGCAAGGTGGGTTATAATCAAAACATAATAAAATAGTCAAATGAAATGTTTTAAGAATAAAATGTGAACTGCATTTAATAAAAAGCATCTGGAAAAAGTGTTAAAGCCCCAAAATCTATGTAATCTCTGAATTATTCACACTGTAGAATTGTAGATTTGTTAATCAAACTTTAACCAATAAACAGGTTCCTTCGTGACTCTGCTGTACTGGCTGACTGGATGGGCGGGGCCAGAGAGATGATTGACAAATGGAGTCAGCTCTCTGTCTCAGCCAATGAGGAGATGGATGTGGAACAGAGGCGGGACCACTATCTCCAGTTTGTAGTGAGTTCTCATTAACTGTAAATAACAAACTCCATCTTTCATACAAGCAATCATAAAGATTTGTGCACATTGTTGACCTTCAGATTCCTGAATAGAAATAGATCATCTAGTTTTGATGTCAGTAAACTGTTAAACTATTGTGTAATCAGGACCTCCTACACACTGCAGATTTAAATGCTTCTAGGCCACCCTGCTGTACTTATAAATGGCAAATAGTTCAAAATCAGAGTTGGTACAGGCTGAAAAGGGGTTGAAAATAACAGATGTTTTAGCCTGTATTTAGCATGGAGAACAGAATATAACACACCACTTCTATTTCAGACTTTGACCAAAGAGTCGGAGGCCAAATCTGGACTGAAGGTGGCTGTAATCGGTGCTGGAGCCCAGCTGGTCCAGCTGAGGGAAGCAGATGGAGACTCAGATGGAAATCTAGAGGACAAAGAGGCTTCGCGATGTCAGACTTCAGACCCAGATCTCTGCTCCATCCACTCCCAGCTCAGACAGATAGAGATGGACTGGTCCAGTCTGCTGGCCGATGTTCCTGTGGTCCAACAAGCCCTACATAAGGTGGGGAAATTCATAAAACATAGTTTCAGAGGTTTTGTGACTTTTTATTGTATTATTTTTAGCCAGATTTGAGTTGTGGCTCTATGGATGACAATGTCGGTCTGCAGCACTACAGTACTTCATTATAATGCTGTTTTTTCTCACATTTTATCTTTTATCAAAAAATTGCAGCTTCTGTGATTTGTACATGGCCATATTGAGATTATCATATAGATAATGGTTTTTTTTAAAGTTATTTTTTTGGCCTTTTCATGCCTTTATTGGATAGAGACAGCTGGAAAGGAAAGGTGGGTAGAGAGAGGGGGTGACACGCAGCAAAGCGCTAACCAGGCACACCATCATATATATAACTTTAAGAACCCAACCATGAACTGCAGTGTCCTAAATACAGTTGCTAAAATGCTGAAATGAAGAAAGAAAAGAGATAACAAACATCAGGTCCAGGTTTCAGCATTGCCAGTGACCAAAATAACAAAACAAATGGAGGTTTTTGTTCTGATGTGTTTCTAAATGTCACAGGTTTTACTTAAATCCTCTTCTCCGTGCCCACATGTACAGTACAGAGCAGTCTGGTATTTCAAAACCCACGCCGCAGTCTTCCTGGCACCAATTAGTTTTAAACATCCCCACTGTGCAGCACAATGCCATCCTGAGGACTCTTCTCCTCTTATTGGTGTGAAACCATTCTCCCCTCCTTCCATCGGCCTGTCTGTCTGTCTGTCTGTCTGTCTATATTGATTTCCTCCTTCTTTAATGCTCTCCTCTTCTTCCTCTGCCCTTTTCTCCCATCTTCCCAACCTCCTCTCAGCTCTCTTTCTATCCCTGTCCCCCTCTTCTTCATTCCCTCTCATCTCCTCTTCCTGCCGTCTCTTTTTTCTCCTCCTCACCTCGTCTGCTCTTCTGATTCACCGTCTTTTCTCTCCCTCCCTCCCTGCACTTTTTCACCCTCTTACTCACCTTCTTCTCAAGTTCAAATATAGTTTTAAAGCTTATTTCAGATAAATGCATCTCCTACATCTTTCAAAGATGAACAAATAAAGTTACACATTTTTAAAAACTACACAAAGATCACATTCAGTGTATGACCCACTTTTGTCTTTTTTGGGGGGCTTAAGAAGAGTAGCTGGTCAGCGGTATATGCACATAGATGTCATTTAATTTGTCTGAAAGAGGGAACTTGAAGATTAATTTGAGATGACTCACCTGGTCAACATTTTCCAGCATAAATCTCAAACTTTTGGACCATAAATAAAGAGAAAATTATAAAATTAAATGATTTTATTACTTTAAAAATTTTATAATATTAAAAAAAGGGGATAAATTTATTTTAATTTATAAAAAAAATTACTTTATTTTTTTTTTTTTTTTTTTTTTTTTTTTTTTTTTTTTTTTTTTTTTTTTTTTTTTTTTTTTTTTTTTTTTTTTTCTTTTTTTTTTTTTTTTTTTTTTTTTTTTTTTTTATTTATTTTTTTTTTTTTTTTTTTTTGTAATTTTTTTTTCCCCCTTTTTGGAGTCTTTTTCTTTTTGAAATATTGAAAAACTTTAACCCCCACGAGAACCTCCAACCTGCAAGTGACTCCCATGGACCTATGGTGACTCCTGCCCGCACATACATGCCCCATCTTCAACTATCTACTGTACCGGGTAAATTTTGCTATGTATATATTGCTATGTCTAGCAGATCTGAATGGGCTTTCCTTCTGAACAACCGCAAAGTCCTCAGGTTCCTGCGTAGAGTCGACAGACTAATGATAATACCATCTATATGACTTAAAGACAGGACTATATCCCAGTGTTTTAAACCCAGATCAAAGTATAACTTGATTGAACTAAACAAGCCGGTTATGTTTGTTTCCGTTAAATCAAGCTCTCAATAGAGGAATCAATGCGTCTATTGTTTCAAATGCTCTCTAAACTCAGAAAATAAAATTGTCAGAAAATCTGAAAAAAATTACTCCGAAAAACCAACCATAAAAATAAATTACTCTGAAAAACAGAAAAAAAAAATACTCCGAAAAACAAACAAAAAAAAAACTACTCAGAAAAGCAGAAATAATTACCACGAAAAACAGACCAAAAAAAATTACTCAGAAAAAAAGAAAAAAAAACTACTCAGAAAAACACAAATAATTACTCCGAAAAACAAACCAAAAAATAAAATTTCAAGTGAATGCAATACGCTTCCGTACATAAACTATAAAATATATATAATATATATAATATATATTTATATAAATAAATATATGTTCTTTTTCACAGAAAAATGATCAGAAACCCCTCCAAACTACCACATTAGGACACCAAGACCTTGAGGAACACCATAAAAACATTAATGCTGAGATTTGGTATTAAAATCTTTTGACATTTAGAGATTTCTGTAAGAACTGCATTTTTTGGTGATTGAATGGTGAGCACTTCTTGCTCTGGAAATTGCTCAGAAGCCCTGTTATTACCTCCTCTGAATGTTCTTGGTCTCTAGTTTGTTGCTGCACAGTTTCATGAGGCTGTTATCTTCCTAGAGGTGATTTTATACAATTAGGTCAAGTACAGTGAATTTCTACTCTCAGGGCTGACATAATGACATATGAATACAATTGGACTTATTGAATCCACAAGAGTCTCAGCTTTCCATTCATACCCAATTTATATAATTTCCATACTGTTTAGGGACTGTAGTATACAGAAATATTCCAAAATACGCTAGGCAAAATGTCACATTGATACTACATGCAAAACTGCATGGGATTAGCATAAAGTGGTCATTCATGTAACAGGGGGGATTTATGGGTACCCACAGAAGCCTTTTTCATTCAGATATCTTGAGGTCAGAGGTCATGGGATCTCTTTGAAAATGGCCATGCCAGTTTTTCCCTCGCCAAAACTTACTTAGCCCCCTTGGTGACCAGCTAGCTTGACAATGGATGCCTTAGGTCTTCTAGTTTCATCTTCACTTTAGCTTTAAAACAGAGCCTGCTGGAACTATATTTTCCAACAGGGGCAGTAAAATCCTGGATCAGCTGAATCTCCCACTGGCTTATTTGAGGAGTACAAAACATATTATTTTAAAATGCTTGAAGGTCAGAGCAGAGGACTCAAACACTCAATAGAATAAAGAAGTTTTTTGAGAGTAGTTTTGATTTTTTTGACCCTGTCTCCTCAGCGATGGGTGAAGACGTTGACCCAGCAGGGGGCGCTGCTGGAGCTGCAGGCCTGGCTGGAAGTTGCTGAGTCGCGCCTGGAGGAGCAACACAGCCAAATCAACCGGACCTCCTCCACCAGCACCGTTCTGAGTCAGCTCCTGAAGTACTGCAAGGTAGAAAGAGACAGAATGATGGTCTGCCACAGATGTAAATGTCCTGATTACCTTGGTACTTTCTGCCAGCAGTGGAGGTTTTTCATGGATTCACTGAAGTTCTGTACCAAAGCCTGTCTGCTTACTTATATATCTGTTTGACTGACTCTCTCTCTCTGTCCATCTGTCTCAGGAGTGTCAGACAGAGATGTTGGCCCATCAGGCCACACTGGACTTTGTGAACCAGCCGTTACAGACATGCAGTATCGAGGAGGGCCAGAGGGGGCGCTATGAGCACAACCAGTTCGCAGAGGAGCAGGGTCGTCTCAACCATCAGTGGCTCAGTTTACAGGAAACTCTAAACTCTCAGGTCAGAAAACAAACGTCAAACTGTGACCAAACTATTTCAAATCAAAGGCCACTTACCAGCTTTTTCTGGAACTTTCAGCCGCATCAGTAGTAGCACTTTTATTCAACCATTGCACTTTTATTCAACCATTGCACTTTTAAGACTCCATGTCCATATTAGCTTAATGCTGAAGTTCCTGAAGTTCAGTCTTGACAAAACAATTCCGACTTATAAGGTTTTTTTTCTGGAGCTTTCAAATATATCACACAGTCTTCATCAGCAACACAGTGGAAATAAAAGGGTTAGGGTTTGTTTGTTTTTTTAAAGGTTTTTGTGAGTCAGTGTACCAAACTGCCTTTTCACCACCAAAGTTATTGTTGTTATTTTGTTTATGATTAAATATCTCTTTTCCCTGTACAGTCATAATATGATCATCATTTTTGGCCTGAAATCAATACTGACTGTAATACAATAAGTTATTCAAACACAAACTAAATTTTTATTAAAGTTTAGTTAAAGTTAAAAAAACGATTCTTGGTTAAGTAGCTTTTAGTAGTAATTTTAAGTGACTCTTACTTTGTTTTGTAAGTTAAAGTAACATTCCTGATTAAGTACTTTTTACAAGGTAGTTTGTATTCAGAGTACAAATAAAAATTACAAAATTACAGTAAGTTCACTTAAAATAAGTTAAGCTACTTGATCAAGAATGCTTTTTGAACTTAAAAATTAAGTTGGTTTTACTTACAGTTTTTGATGTAATCAATTTCAGCAGTTAGATTAGTTAGATTAGTTCGATTAACTTATCTGGTTTTAATTCAATCAGTTATTTTAACTCAAAAATCTTTTTTAAACGGATTACGTTGAACATTTTAAGTAACATAAACTCAATTTTGTAAGTTTTGTAAGTTAAAAATCTTGAGTTAAATGAAATGTTCTTCAGTTCTTGGCCCCATGTCTGACCTGCTGTTGTTGCTGTTGTTGTTGTCGTTGGTGCTCAGGTCCAGGAAGTGGACCAGGAGCTGAGGAGCAGAGTGGAGCGGGAGGCCCGACTGCAGCAGATCAACAGCTGGATCGCAGATCAGAACCTCTGGATCGACTCAGCTCGGACTCCGAACAGCCAGACGGAGCTGCAGAGGAGCATCAGCACCTGCCAGGTCAGAGGTCACATCCATACTCTGACATCTGCACGAACAACCAGAACACCTGGAGCTACATCTTCAGTCATATTCCTTAAAGAAGAAATACAGACAGCTACAAATCCTTCTGCTCTTTGATGTTTTCATCTCCCTGTTTGGTGTGTGTTTCAGGATCTGGAGGAGAAGATCAGGCAGAAGTCTGCAGCTCTCCAGGAGTTGAGAGATAAAGTTGATGGTGGAGAAGAAACCAGCAGCTGTGAGTTCCTCTCTCAGACGGAGAAATCCATCCAGGCCTGTGCTGCTCTCACTCAACAGGTGAATGACACTCAGGAACAGTGTTTTATGGATGTAAAAAAAATGTGGATTTAGTTTTTGTTATTTGTGATTGATACATCTGTAACTGTCGCGCTTCAGGAGTATGAACTCTTTGTTTGTTCCCTATTATGGGACCATCCCGTCTGTTCTTTAACAGAATGAATCAGTGAAGCGGAGGCTGGTTCAGGCCCAGACGCTGTGGGACTGTGTGGAGAAGAGACTGAATCATGGGATGCTGAAAACAATGAGAACATCTCAGACTCTCGATCATCACAGCAGCCCTCCGCTCTCCCTGCAGGCGCACAGAGAGCTCCATGAAAAGCTGCAGGTAGGAGCGATGCACTCAGCTTATTGTTGGATGGGGGTATGGATGGACATTATTCCACAATAGGCTGCATGTAGAGCAGTGGTTCCAACCTTCAACAGCCTCGCAATTAAAAATATTAAAATATAAACCATTTTTCAATTTAATTTAACAATTTTTGAAATACAGATTTACAAGATTCAAGTTTTTCCACAGAGAAAAGTAAGTTATCATTCGTTATTAGCAGTTTATTTCAAAACTTAAAAGTTTAAGTTTGACGTAAAACTTTAACTTGAAATTACGAGTTTTCTCAACTTCTTTTTTGACAGTGTACTTGTGGCACAAGTTGGATGTTTCAACCATTTATCCAGCTAACCTTTTACATCATTTATCAGATTATTTTCAAATCATTTATATTATACTTTTCTTTGGCTAATGTTTACAACAGTTTTTCCACGACCTTTGGCTAACTGCTGCTCTCTTACTAACTAGTTTTCATGCTCTCTCATTCACCACCTCTCAGTCAACACCTGACGACGTTACATCTCACTAAACATGTTGATATATATTTTTGGAATTCAATTGGAATTTCTATTTTTTAACTATTAGTTGAGTTACTCCACAACCTCTTCACAAACCCCTGGTTGGGTATCACTGCTGTGGAGCATGAAAACAAATATTCAGGTCTTGTCTGGATTGTGTACCTGTGATGACTGACGGGTTCGTTGTACCTGTGATGACTGACGGGTTTGTTGTACCTGTGATGACTGACGGGTTGTACCTGTGATGACTGACGGGTTGTACCTCTGATGACTGACGGGTTTGTTGTACCTTTGATGACTGACGGGTTTGTTGTACCTGTGATGACTGACGGGTTTGTTGTACCTGTGTTGACTAACGGGTTGTACCTGTGATGACTGACGTGTTTGTTGTGTTGGAAGCAGCTTCTTCATGAGGACTCAGAAGCTTCAGAGGCAGAGTGGGACGAACTGAGTGGAAGTGTCTCCTCCCTCAGAGACATCATCAGTCCTGCTGCTGCCGCCCTCCTTGCGGATCAGCTGGACAGACAGAGAGACAGGTGAGACAGACTTCATGCAGCCACACACACACACACACACACACACACACACACACACACACACACACACACAAAAAAAAAACCACACAATAAATCAATCATCCTCCCGTCCTCCAGTTGGACTACGGTGTCTGCAGCGTTGGACCAGCAGCTCCAGAGGAGTCGGGGTGTCCTGCAGGTGTGGAAGGTCTATGCCCGCCTGGCTACGTCTTTCTCCCAGCGGCTGCAGGCGCTGCAGAGTGACACTGAGTCAGCGCTGAGCAGCACGCCTGCAGACCATAACACTGTGGAGCAGGTCGCTGTCAAGATACACAACGTTCAGGTGAGGAAATCAACAAATAGTAAGTGGAAGAAAATTCATTTATAGGAGCAAAAAAGCAGATTAATGACTCCATAAAGGGCGTTTTTCACTTTACAGTGACTCACCTCTCCTTTTCCAACAGCTCCAATGTCCAAAAAGCTCTTAATCTGTCTGAGGTTTTTCAGTTTTTATAGAAAGGAGGCTGTGAAGTGGAAAATGTGAAATTTAAAGATGTCAAAATCATCAATGCTACAAAGTAAAAACACCTCCATGAAGTTTGTTTTTCACTCTCAGTGACTCCCACGTCCTTTTCAAAACTCACCATCTGTGAGACTTTAAATATTCCTCTAGTGACACATTTATGTCTCATTTTTTCTAATTCTGAAACTTCTCAACATCAAATGAAAAGTCAGCTTAAAGGCTTTTTTCAGGGATTTTAATAAACTTTTTTACATTTGCACAGTGCAAAGATCATTTTAAAACATTTAACTAAGTGTAGGTGGTTACTTTGCTTTTCCCCTGTTTTTATTTCTGCTCTCTGAACATGTTGTTAGGTTGGAAGCTGTTTTTATGCCCATTTACTCTCATTTTTATGCTCTTTTTTTATTTTTCACTAGTTCAAAGACTGTGTAATTAAATAAATCTCCCAGTTGCAGGATAATCTCACAACACCTCATGCTATGGAAACTCTCCATTCTTCTCTGCACCTGAACCTGTATCCCTGTTTGCCCCTGTGCTTCTCTCCAACTCCAGGGTCTCCTGGAGAGGACAGACACTCTACAGTCTGACCTGGAGGGGGTGCTGGAGGCCTCCAAGGACTTGACTGGCCACCTGGAACCTTCAGCTGCCAGTCTGGTCCAATCAGAGAGCCGGTTGTTGTCACGTGGCATCCAGCAGCTCAGCCGGACACTAACAGGGAAGCTGGGTCAGCTGCAGGTACGGCTTCATGAATGAATGAGTCTGTGTGTGTCCAGGGTGACTGAGACAACTGCACACAAAGAAATGACACATTTAACTGGAGGACAGTGTTTGATGTGAGCTGTAAACGGTCTCAGCTGCTGCAACAGCTCAATGATTCACTGACTTTTTGTTGTGTACGAACTCAATGTAAGGCTTTTTACAGCAACCTGCTGCTTTGTAAGCGTTTTAAACTGATATTGTCTTGTTTATCCAAGAAGATTTTATTTACATTATTATTATTGTCTCACTGTTTATGAAGTGTAAAATCATAAACAAGCTAGACTGCTTTGTTTGTTATGCTCTGTCCTCAGAGCACTGCATTACCTGTGTGTTTGTGTCCTAACCTGCCACTTACAGTAAGTGTCACAGTGACCTATAAATTAAGACACAGATGGCCGTGTGTCATGTTTGCGTGTAGGAGGAGCTCGAGCGGCTGCAGGACTTTGGAAAGGTCCTGGAGGCGCTGGAGAGAAACCTGGAGCTTTGGCAGGAGCGTCTGCAGGATGAGGCTCGGACAGCAGAGCAGGTGAGAGACAGCACGAGCCGACTTTATGAATGACTCTAGTGCCGCTGTTTTCTCCCACAGTAATCCACTGAGCAAGAGACTGTTACACTGAAGTAAAAATGTCTGGAATTGTTGTGTTAAATATATTGTGGCTGGTTTTCTTTAGAGGAGCTGCAGTTTATTTAACTATTTTTAGTACAAATCTACAAGATTTTTCTGGTAATTTTACAGGATTCCAGTGATCCCAGTGTCTTATTCTGTAAGATACTAAATATGTATGAAGATACGAAATAATAATTTCTTCAGTCTCACCACAAAGTCCATTTTGTATGTGTTCTGTGTCACATGATCCTCCTCAGCAGAGGGAGTTTGCTCAGTTTTCATGTCATTGTAGATGTTTGAATTTCCATTTTTTGTGAGACTTCTTGTTTATGTTGGTGTCCAAGTTGATCATGAAAAGATTTAAATCTTTAAACAACTCAACATCTAACCGGTAGTGAGATTCTTTGATGAAGGTCAAGACTGAACTTATATATTCCTTAGAAAATCCGACTGTTAGTGCTCACTATTAGACCTAAAGATGTGTTAAATAGAATTGGCTCCCTAAGGACACTTTATGGCGTTAATAAAGTGTTTCTCTTCATCTGAGAGGAGAAATTACAGAACAATGAGTCAAGAAATGAACAGCGGACTAAACAGGGACAGGAGGATGTGTGTGTAGCATGTAGTGTTCGGGTCTTTGTGTCGTGTTGTGATCCCCTGTGATCTGAGATGCCACCATATGTTTCCAGTCTGGCCTCCTAGAGCCGAGCGGCCTGTCTGCTGACCTGGATGTGCTGAATGAGCTGAGCCGTAGCTTGACTCTGGGCGACGCTGCAGCACGCCGCCTGCAACGCCTCAACCACCACTGGGCCGACGCCTGCGCCAGGGCCGAGGAGGCCTGCAGGTCAGACCTCAGATCTGTACACGGATATATCATGTCCAAAGACTAAAAAACGCTGTTGTCATGTTACAACGCAATGTGGTAACTCATTTTGTTCAATATGTGACAGTGATATTTGTATAAAATGAAACATTTAAAGTTTTTGTACTCTAAAAGCCAATTAAGTAGAAATTAATTGTTTAAGAGGGTGACAACCGTTAATTTAAATGAAATAAAATGTACTACAGCACAGATTTCAGATGCGTTTGTGTTCTCTGGGGTTTTTGCTGTGCAGTGAGCTGCAGACGGAGGCACTGAGACGGAAGAGTTTTGAGCAGAAGTGTGAGAGCTGGATGTCTTTCCTGCAGAGGATGGAGGACAGTCTGGCTGTAGATGTTGCCGGCTCTTACGTTGGCCTCAGGCAGCAGCTCTGCACACACAAGGTATCAGACACACACTCACCGACAGTCTTAACAAAAACACCACAAACAATCCTGATGTAATCCTGATGTCTCCTGGTGTTTCAGAGGTTTCAGGCAGAGCTGTCCATCGGTCACCAGATTCTTCACTCCGTCATCTCTGAAGCTCTTCATCTGCTGCAGAAAGGAGAGGTAGAGGACAGGTAAGAGGATCAGACTGTAAAGCTACTGTTGTTTTGACCAGCTCCTGGATGGATTTTCATGACTTTTGTACAAACTCAAGATCCGTTTAAATGACTCTGTTTTTTTTTGTTTCTGATTTTCAAACCTTTCAGACAGGAAATATCTAAACTTTTAAGGACATTTAACTGTGTTCATGTCTCCAGGAGTGACTTCATCCTGAAGCTTGCCCAGCTCCGGGAGCACTGGCAGGGGGCGGTGCAGCGGGCGGACCAGCGGCGCGCCCTGGTGGAGGGGCTGGTGAAGCACTGGCACCTGTACAGTCGCAGCCTGAAGAAGCTGCAGAGGTTCCTGTCGGACACGCAGACCCTCCTTCCCCCCGCAGGACCAGCCCGCTGCAGCCTGCAGCATCTACGGCGCTCTCTCCAGGACCTCCAGGTGAGACCGACAGCGACAGGGCTGGAATATCAGTAAATTACAGTAAATTCCATTGTTAATACAATTAATATCATAGACTTTAAGACTGGAATCTCTAAATTGTACTTACAGTAGCGACAGTGCTTGACTAAAGGTTACTTTTCCAACCTCTGTCCCTAATCTTTAAAAAATACTTTTGAGACCTTAAACAAACCCAGAAACAATCAAACTGTCTTTACGTACATTTTCAGGTCTGTAAAACGTTCCCTGCAGAGAGCTAATGGTCTGTAAAAGGGCTGTTAATTCAGATTAAGATCAGAAGCTTACGACCACAGGCAGAAACAAACAGCTGATTTAAGACAGAGAAACGACTTCCGCTGATGACATTTACATGAAAAGAGACGAGGACAAGGGTTTCCATTCCGGCTCCTTTTGAGCCTTTGATCAGCATGAAGAGAAGAGATGAGATTTGAATTGATTGTGAGTGAAGATACAATAAACATGGAGCTGCTCCTCAATAAAAGGGCACAGTCGAGCCCCTCGCTGAAAAGATTCACAGTTCATTCTTCATCTTCCTCTCTTTAGCTTCTTTCTGTCTTCCCTTCCTCCTCTCGTCTGTTAGAAATCCATCTTTAACCTTTTCTATCCTCCATCTTGCTCCTCAGCACACAGAGCTCTTGTTCCAGAGGTATCAGTGCAGTTTTATCCACACTCTGGACGTCGGTCGCCAGCTCTTCTGCATGGGGGACGAGGAGACCCAGACTCAGCTGCAGACGGATCTGGGAACCCTGCAGGAGGAGTGGGACAACCTCCACAGCCTGCTGGGCCGGAGGATGGACCTCACAGAGGCCATCGTCAAGGTATTTCCTCTCAAGTTCTTCTGCTGAAGTGATGCTTTCAGGAACATCGTGTTGATGTTTGGGGCTCAGTCGCCCAACTTTCCCAAATGTTAGATGTTGTTTGTGTCTTCTATGACTTGGATTTGTCTTGGTCCTGGTCATTATTGGTATCCACTCTCTTTATTTTTGTTTACTGCCTATTTTATGTGTTGGCTGTGAGGCATGACTTAGTGTGAACTTATCTTATTTGGTCCTTAGTCGTTAGATCTTTGAAAAGGATGCACATTTTCCAAAAAAACGATAGATATATATATATATTTATATATATCCATGTTTTTGTCCATTTGATACAATACCAGCTGAGCACATACAGGGCAGAAAACACCCCTATAATTCAAGAAAAATCTGACAATAACAGAAATGTACAGAATATCAGTATCAGCAGTATATTAAGTAATGATAGGGCTATCTCTTAACCAAGGATTAGTTTTATTTGCCATTGTGCTGTCTAAGAGCAGGTATCACGTTTTTAACGTAGTGGAAATGTGATCTTGTAAATGATCTCTTTCCACATGTGTTTGGCCAGTGAACTGTTATTGTGGATGACTCTGTTATGTTGGAGGCTCAGTTGCATGAAACCAAACCACTGGCCTCCAGTCAGTCCAATCGGAGGCTCAGATTCCTCCGGACAGACAAAATCAATGCCATTTTCGAAACATTATCTGTTGAGTCTCAGTGTCCGGCTGCAGAGTGCTGCTCTGTTGTTCCCCTGAGACAGTTACATCAGCTCCTGCACATCCTCTTAATCTTTGACCCAGTTCTGTCAGATATACATTAGTTTAATAATTCAGTTTTATTAGATTTATATTTCCATGACTGATTTCTGTTATATTCCCATTTAAATTGTGTGTGTAAGTAAATGCCAAGTACTCTCTGAAGCAGTGGCTCCCACCATTTTATATAGAATCAGAATTTTTTGGGTTATTTATATTCAAAGAAGGTAATGACAGCTTAGGGTTATAAATGTATTCAAATAGCTCTAGTTCTACTGTAGCCCACAATTTCCAAATAGTCCTGGATGTGTTACAGTTTCATAGTGGACCCTCTAAATGTAGGGTAAACACACTGAAGCATACATTTTGTAGGAAACAGTCATAGAATAAAAACAGGGCATACTGTTTTGAATCAGCTGCAGATTCTGAAGCAAGCTGACTTTTTGTTTATTCAACCTGGGCTGAAGATCTGGATCCTCCATCTGTCCCCTGTAGCCTCTGACGGTTTCTGTTTGCCTGAGAGCGGCCAAGTTAATCCAATCTGCTCTAATTAATGACAGTGGCCATGTTTAGGAGGACGTGTAATGGCTCTCTTAACATTCTCAAAGCCAATCAGCTTTTTTTTTTTTAGAACCCCATGCATTGATCTGTGTGATCAAGGAGTTTTTTGTTGTTGTTGTTGTTGTTGTTGTTGTGTCTCAGAACTGGGAGCGCTGTGAGGCTGGACTAGCAGACAGCATGCTGCAGCTGAAGGACGTGAAGACCAGACTGAACCAGTCGATGCCAGATAGCGACGATGAGCTGGAGAGTGCCGAGAAATTCACCAAGGTACATCCACAAACACAACTAAACAAATATCACTCGTTCTGTACACACTGGTTGTATTCATCCAAAAGCTTCAGTGGAGACGCACAGCCACTCTGGAGGCAGCAGTAATCTCATTGGCTCAGTTAAACCTCAGAGGGAGGAGCCAAAGGCCGATTTTATGACTCAGTAAAATTGGATTTTTTTATATATTTTGACCATCTGTGCCATCAGTTAACCCTTAACCTCAACCTGTGTGATTATTCCTGCTTCCAAAGCAGCTCCGACCTCATGTTTTCAGGCAGTTATTACATTATTGAGTGCATTCAAGATAGGTTAGTGTTTCTAAACTAAAAGTGCCTGTTTATTTTTTTGCTTGTTTGGCATCGATACCACTCTCATGTTTGTACACGCCGTATGAAGCTAGAGCCAGGAGACCGTTAGCTTAGCATTAAGACTGTAAGCAGCTCGCCTTTTTCCACTTTTTTACAGGTTAAACAAACAAGACTTGTTTGCCGTCTTTATGCTAAGCTAAGCTAATGGTCTCCTGATTGTAGCTCCTTCTTATTAGATAGATAGATAGATATTCCTTTATTATTTAATGGACAGATATGAGAGCGATATCGATCTTCTCATCTAACTCTTTTCTAGTCCTTTATGGTTTCAGGCGTATGTATACTTGTACTGTTGTATTGTACCAGGATTATTTTTATGGAGTATTTTTTTAAAATAACCACAATGACTAAATAGACGAGGGTGTAATCCATCGATACATATTGTATAGTGGAACTTTTCATACTGTTAGCAGCCTGTGAAAGATGCACATTATGCTAGTGTCCTGCAGGTGGAACATTTGGTTGTAAAAAGTTAATATTCAAAACAAACACAGATCAATGTCCCTATGTAGAATATAAAAACTGTCGTGTGAGGACGTCACGAGACAGGGCAGGGGCTGCAAACAGACGTGTAGCCTTCAGGCAGTTTGGTGGGGAACAAACGCTGGAAGTTTCAAGAGAGCAAAGCCAAGTTTGAAACAGGTTTGGCTCAACTCATCCTCTCTGACCCATCACAGCCTTTATCCTCCACCCCTCCCTCAATCCCCTCCCCTCCCCCTCCACCGCCACCCCTCCCCCCGGCCCGGCCTGCAGCCTGTGGCCCTTAATCCTCTCTCTCTGGGCGGGGAGAAAGAGAGAAAAGGGTGACAGAGAGAGACAGGGAGAGAAAGAGAGAGGGGCCGGGGCAGAGAGAGACATTAGGGAGTAGCTGTGAGAGAGCGAGCTGTGGAGGGGGTCCCTGACGGTTTGTTGTGGCGGTTGGTGTGTTATGGTATGCAGGAGAACGAGGACTCCCTGGAGGACTGGGCTGAGAGCCTGACGGAGCTGAGCACCATGAAGACGGATCTGTCCCAGTACATCATCGCCGACGATGTCCTGCTGCTGCAGGAGCAGGTGGAGCACCTGCACTGTCAGTGGGAGGAACTCTGCCTCAAGGTCAGTCTGCTGGCTCTCAACTCTGAAGCTGAAGGGACTCACACAACATTTGTACCTGCTAGAACGAGCTGCTTCTGCTGTTTATCTGCTTTTATCTGACTTTAATCCTGATACACACTTACAGCAATATCCTCCTGGAAAAAAAAACTTCTGTTTTAAGTGTTATGTACTTAAAACCCCCCTTTTGAGTATCTTAAAATTTGGAGGAATCCTCTGATTTCACAATAGTATCATGTAAATATTCTTCCAGCTCTTAGTTAATTGTAGTGCTGCAACTAAAGATTATTTTCATTTTGTTAAATCTATTAGTTGTTTGGTCCATAAAATGTCAGAAAATTGTGAAAAATTGTTTCCTAAAGCCCAAACTGACATCCTCAAATGTCCACAGCTCAAAGAGAAATCAGAAAATATTCACATTTGAGAAGCTGAAATCAGAGAATTTTGACTTTTTTTCTTAAATAATGACTCAAAATGATGAATCGACTATCAAAATAGTTGGTGATTAACTTAATAGCTAGCTAATCAGTGAATCAACTAACTGTTGCTGCTCCATTGAAGCTGTATGACAATGAACCAGACTTTTGTTGTTGCAGCTGCTCCATTCAATCAAATTGAAATATTTTTCGTGTATTACGCTATTTTATACACATTTTCCCAAATTCAGCCCGGCATGTTTGATACCTCTGTAAAACTTTTGGATCTCCACTAACATTTAAGATAATATCCTGTGACTGTGAGTGAGTTGACTGTCGCTTGTTTTTTAAGTGAAAATCTGATTAAATCACCAATTAAATGTCATTTCAAGCTATCATTGGCAAAGATAGATTTCAGGGCCAAATGCTGGCTTCCTTTAATCATATTTTAAAAACAGAAAGAGTTCATGTAAAGTGCAAAGTGAGGGAACAAGACCAGAAACACTGCTCATCACTTGTTTTTATTCTCTGGGGACACATTTTTAAATCTATGAACCAGGCTACAGGAGTGCTGGTTGTGGAGGGTTAATTATTGAAGAGCTAACGTGTGTGTGTGTGTGTGTGTGTGTGTGTGTGTGTGTGTGTGTGTGTGTGTGTGTGTGGTGTGTGTGTGTGTTTACAGCAGCAGGTCAGGTGAGAGCATTTATCTCCTCAAACTGCAGACAAGAGTGAGGGAGGGGAAAGTTGTGCAACGACTGAATGGCTCAGTGCAGAAACTTAATTTTCTTTATTAAATGAAGGTTATTTGAGGTGATCTGACATGTTTTTGACAGTTTGCTGTGTCTGTACCGCGCTGCATTTTAATCTGCATTCACATCACACAGCTCTCACTTTCTTTGTCTGTCCTCCGCTCCTCATCACTGTTCAGAGTCTAAGCCTTTGATGAGGAGCTAAGTTAGTAAATCTTGTGAGTGTTTTTAGGGTGACCGGGGAGACCAACAGGTCTGGGGTGAGGGGGTGGTGAGAGGGTGAGGGGCATTGTGGGGACGGGGGAACAGATGGTGACAGGAGAGAAATGTTGTAATGAGCTGAGAGGCGTCAGGAAGAAGAGCTTTTGTATTGAAATGAGTTAGGAGGGAGGGGGATGGGGGGGGTGTAGTGATCATACTGACTTTCACTTTTCACCGTCTGACTGTTTGTGTATTTACTGTTCGGGGCTGTCTCATCCACATCATGCCTCCTGGTTAAAGTGTAAGCTGCATTGTGCTGGAGCTGGGAAAGTTACCTGGGATGTACTTAAAGCTATAATCTGTAACAGTTCTGCATTAAAATATCTATAAACTCTAGCTCTATGTTCTATATGTAGTTGAGTTGTGTTCTTACATTATCCAAAAAGTTTCCAACAATGTTCAAACTCAGAGAAATCTTATTGAGCTCATTGCTGCCCCCTGTGTTTAACGGAGGAAAGCACCCACTGCACATGCTTCCTTCACACAGAGGGAACTACTGTAGTTCAGCACCAATCAAATCAAAATGATGCCGGTATCAGTAATAATAAGACATAGATTAGGCACACGCAGTACGAGTAAGTATCTTAAAGTGATGAAGCTTATTTCATTTCTCTCTTCCAATCCTCTTTGTGTCAGGTGTCTCTGCGTAAACAGGAGATCGCTGATCGTCTGAACGCCTGGATCATCTTCAACGAGAAGAACAAGGAGCTGTGTGAGTGGCTGACGCAGATGGAGAACAAGGTGGCGCACAACTCCGACCTCAATATCGAGGAGATGGTGGAGAAACTCAAGAAGGTAGAATACTTAAAGATCCCCTCCAGACATGCTTTAAGACAGATGTACAAAGATCCTCCTAGTGTGAAACTCTGCACAGTGAATCTCAAACATCACACTGTAGGAACAACACTGGTTTCTGACTGGAGGGGGAAGATGTGATCAATGACACTGCACATGTTTAGATGCCTGTAAATTCATCAGCCATCACAGCTGAAGTTTACTGAATGATACTCTTGAGTGATTGGTTTAGATGAACTCAACTTAGAAAGATGTAACTTCAGTCTGGCTGTATATCCAAAAGTGGAAATATGTGTATTTTAATTATTTGTTTTTTTGGTGCCATTTGTCTGTTTTTTGTTAACAGGATTTCTTAAGATAGAATCTGGTGTAAAGTAAGGAGATGAGCCAAGAAACAAGTGATTCGTTGTTGGTGCTTCAAATTTAAAAAAAACAGGCACATATATCCCATGATGTTATTTCTGTGTTCTTAAAATAATGAACTTAGATGAGGCAGCCAGAGGTTTGAACTCTGTGAGCTCACAAGGCTCCTTTACAGAGAGCATGAAGAAGAGCCTTTCAGAATAAAAGGTGCAAAATAGACGGTATGAACAGATAAATAAAATAACATTCACTTACAATGCTAAGATAAACATTACACTGGAACATCATCTGTTCTCGTGGGTTCTCAAGTTATACGTAACCCCAATTCAATGTGTTCCTCCCTTTAAGTTCCTCCAGTTGCTATGTTATGCTGTGTTATGTTGATTATGCAACTTGGGTGCGTGGTTTTGTTAGTTTTGCTGTGTCAGCCGTCAGCGCACTCTGCTCTGTGTCGGGACGTGCCGGGCTGGGTGGTGGTGGAGGGACGGTCTGGGCTTTTCAAAAAGCTGTGAATTCCCTCCTGATTGTTAAAGAGACGACAGCTGTTTGAGCCCCAGCAGGGCCACGCGGGTTTGTTTTGTGTCGGGTTTCATTTGTTACGTGGTGACTAAGGGGAGTAGAGGGGAGTGCTGTTATAGAAACCCCAAACTTATTGCCCTGGCGGGGGGTTTAAACCTTTTCAGCCGCTGGAGCTTTAAATTTAGTGTCTTTCCCCGACACAGACTCTTTTTGCAGGAGCTGTGTTACTTTCTGGCAAACTTCCGAACTTATAAGATAATTTGTTTTGCTCAACCTGAAGGTAGGGGTCGAGTTTAGCTACCTTTATGGCTCACAGAAATCTTAATTTGTTACATTTCTGATTGAAATAGTCTTAAAATTAAGTATGAAAAGTTGGAATTTTAGACACATAAATACTTTCTAAAAGGGTAGTTGATTTTGTCTTCATTCCTAGTTTTCAATCTATGGCCAATCGTTATTGCTCCATATTGAGCCATTATAAAGCCACCCTGTCCTTATGTGAGATTTATAGCAGTGATTATATGTCAATTTACTAAATCCTGGAGAGAAATCGCTGTGGGTACTAAATCCGTGCTTTTTGTTCTGTGATTCTCCATAAGGACTGTATGGAAGAGATCAACCTGTTCAGTGAGAATAAAACCCATCTGAAGCAGCTCGGGGAACAGCTCATCACAGCCAGCAACAAGACGAAAGAGACGGAGATCAACGACAAGCTGAAGGACATCAACGACCGCTGGCAGCATCTGTTTGACCACATAGAGGCCAGGTAAGGATGGATGGGGAGATGGTGGGATGAAAGAAGGCTTGGGGCATGGTCTGTCGTTACCTGTACCTGGGGTAGGGCTACGGTTTGGGTTAGCAGGCTTGGAGCAGTATTCAGCACAATAACATTAGCATTCACCTTAAAGGAGCAGTGTGTACAAACTACTGTGGCCACGAAAAACACTAAAGGCCCTATCTAGAGCCAGTGTTTGGTTTGTCCATTCTGGGCTACTGTAGAAACATGTTGGTTCAACATGGCGGACTCGATGTAAAGGACCTGCTCCCTTTGTAGATATAAAATGTCTCATTCCAAGGTAACAAAAACACAGTTCTTATATTCAGGTGCACTAATGAAACCATACCTAGATCCTCCTAAATGTTACACACTGGACCTTTAAAGCTGAGACTGAGACAAGTTTTAAAAGGGAAACTGTATAAACGATAAACTTCTTTTTATGTCTGAGCTCTTCACTTAGTCTGTTCAGTCTGTGCTGGCATTCTGACCAGAGCAATATTTTGTGATGAAGGCATCACCCAGAAATCTTCTCTTATTTGGTTTTTTTATAACTGTGGTTCATATGACTCTATTGATCAATAACTATAAGAACAGCCCTCCTCGGGAACGGACTTGGTAACAACTGGTGCAGTGGTAACAGCAGCGTTGTACTTTGCACTTAAACCGTTTTAACTTAAACACAGTGAAAACGGTTCTTTGTTATGGTCGGACTGCAGGTGCTGCAGCATGAGGGGTAAGGTGGAAATCAGCTACTATGTATGAATGAGATTTTTGTCAGCGAACTCCTGCGACTATTTGATCTTTGACATGCTGAAAATGCATATTTGTAGTTTATAGGTCCTTCTAATGTGTTTATGTTTAGCAATGGTTAGCTTCTGAAATCCCATGAATCCTGTTGATTCTATCTTCTGTTGTAAGGCGTTACAGACTTTTTCTGAAGTCCAAACCCTTGTTGTTGACTGCTGCAGTTCAACCCGTGCAGCTTTATCTGTGAATGTTGGTTTTTCTCTGAGAACAGGAGCGGGCAGAGCACAGCTGTTATTCTACTGCAGATTAAAGGAGAAAAGCTCCGAGCCGACAGAGGATAGAGTGATATTGTTATTAATCCAGAAATGCAGCTTCCAGCACACAGAGGAGTGGTGGCTCTGTGCTGGAAGCTGCTGAAATGTTTATGCATCAGCTTAGAGCCTCTTAACTGCTGATCTACACACAGCAGCATTATGGGATGTGACCGATAGGTGCAAGAACAAGGTGAACATCAACAGCGAGAGCGAGATGAACCCAGTGGCTGCTCTCTTTTGGCAGATTTGATCACGTCCGGCGGTTTGATAGTTCTTTGTGAGGGTTAAGGCCTCCTTTTGACTTTTTCTGACCTCATCTAAAATGTTTATACACTCAAAGGCAGTTGCTCCATTAAAGCACTGCTTTTTAACTTGGGAATCCCAAGATAAATCTCTGAGGGGTGCAACATGATTGATGGGAAAGAAAAGCAGAAAGAACTTGTAATCTTCTTTTTTATTTTTTTTTATCACAGGATAATTACCTCTTCAGACGTCTTAAATTATCAAAGTTAAAGAAGTACAAATATAAATATGATAGGGATGGTAAGATTCACAGATTTGCATCAATGCATAAAAGTTCAAGATTCAATTGCTGCGGATTGGATACAATTTGGGATAAAGTCAGGATGTATAATTTCTAACATCTTTGCATTTGTCAAATAAATCTTAAATATAATGTGTGTTTTGTCTCTTTTTTGGCAAATTATCTTAAATTAAATTAACTTTGGCAGTGTTAATATGCATCAGCACCACCTGCTATTTTGGAGTCTGAACCACAAAGAAGGAAATGATTTAAGAAGCACTGGATTGTTTACACGATATTATCATATGTGCATTATTACCACAATGACATAATCAGAGATACTTACTGCATTACAGTTGCTCAAGTTGTTAAACAAAGACATATAAGAAATAAAAATAGTAATAATAACGTGAAGATATGTGTATTAAATTATAATATATAGCAATGATTTTTTTTACAGGGTAAGAAAGTCAGGAATCGCTGTTTGGATGTATTTTATGAGAGACAGTAAAGAGGAAAAGAAGCCTGACTGAGTAATAAAAGGTCTGTTAATACTTCTGTTACAGTGTAACTTGAGGCTTTGCTGTTTAACTGATGCCATTACACGAATCTTCTGCCTAAAGTCTGCTTTAGTTTGACTGTTTTGATTTTGTGGATAATTATGTGTTCCCGCGATAACAAGGTCAATCTCAGAAACAAGTATCGCGCATTAGCTTGCTCTGCTTCAGTACCTTGGCCTTCCCAGCATCCAGCATTACAGTAATTATTATCAACTATGTCTTCGCTGTGCAGCTGAATGGACGCAGGGTGGTGGAGTGCACAATAATTACTGCTACATCTCTGGCAAACAAGAGGACAGCAAGTTTAAACTGATGACTGCATTCTGCTCCTGATAATTGCCTGTTTGTTGATCTTTAGAGGACTCAATGTTCAGTAGATGGCAAGTTCATAAAACGCACACAGCAAATCAGAGACAACCAAACGGTCGGTCTATCTTTTGGTCATTCAGTTTTCTTTTCAGAAGTGGGTATTAAAAAAACTTTTGTACAACGCGTTTTTCTTTTTCATTCCTTCTTGATTTATTACATTTTTCGTATTCTAAAATCTAATAACCACTCGTTTTCTGTTTAGAAATACTCGTTTCTGAAAAGAAAATCAAATGACCAACAGATACACTGACCCAGAACTGAGTCAAGCTGAGCAGTGGAATGTTTTCTTGGAACCAGATGGGTTAAACCAGTCTGGGCGGAGGGGGCAGAGGGGGCGGAGGTGACTTATCTTCTGTGAGAATGACTGACTTAAATCTGCCATATGGTGGCTGGTTAGTGGCTGTGGGGACTCTGTCTCCCCTTTCTCATTCACATATTAATGTTTGTTTCAAGACTCTGAATCTCAGATTGGTATAAATGATCATTTAACCTACAGTAACAGTTACGTTTTACTTGAAGATACAAAGAGCCTGTCTCTTCTCTCTCACAAGCCTGAATCTTGAGTCCGCGTTAAACATGTGATTTACAGACTTAGCTCTGTTTGCACAGTTTTTGCCACTGTGGTGGTGCATAATGAAGGTGTTTTCACAAGCGATGCGTCTCAATTCATAATTTTTCATCACAGGCAGCTATTCCTCCATTTGAATAGAGTAGAAAACAGCTATGTGCCTCAGTTTCACCAGGCAATAAAAAGAAGTGTGGCAGATTGTGTGTCACTGGACATTTGATTAATGTTAAACTTTTCTCAGCGTCCTTACGTCTTGCTGCTGTACGCCTTTTTTTGTCATTTCGTTCACAATGAGTGGCATCCTGTTAGTGTTTATCTGTGTGAAAATGGTGTTAAACACCTGCCTTCCGGTGGATCTCAAGATGTTTGAGGTAGCAACAGCAGAGGTGTGTGAACGAACAGTAGAAAAAAACATTATCTAACAGTAACTTCCATGGACTTCCACATTGTACAGTGTATATGACTCCCTGTTAACATGATCCCATATTGTGTCACCTTTTGTGTGGATGGAAGCATCAGATTAAATGGTAAATGGACCACTCAAAGCACTTTTACACTACGTGCCACATTCACCTTTTCACGCACATTCACACAGTGATAACAAAGTCCATCGAACAGAAACTAACATTCATACACACTCACACACCGATGCACGGCATCGGGAGCAATTTAGGGTTCAGTATCTTGCTCAAGGATACTTCGACATGTGGCACCAGGAGCCGGGGATCGAACCCACAACCTTCCGATTAAGGAACGACCCGTTCATTATTATCCCATTCAATGTGTTCAGATCCTAGACGAGCCCCCATTATGTTATGACATAAAATGAGGGATGCCACACCGGTTAAATGCAAAAGAATACAATTTATTTTCCAGAAGAACAAAATGGTAAAATCAACAGAACAAACAAAGTTTGGGGGGTGGGGGGGGGGGACGAGCCCCCTAAAAAAACCCCCCCCCACAAACCAAAAAAGGTTTCCTCCATTTAGGATCAGTGAGCACCTAGAACACAAAAACATAGAGCAGAAATACAAGCAAAACAGTAACAGGACCCACAATAACACACATTAGGAACAGTTAGGATAGTAGTTATCCAATCAAAATAAAAATTTACAGAAGGATGAATCCACGTGGGCCCGCCATTCACAGTGCACGAGGATGAGGGTTTTTATCATGACTGACAGATTGTTAGTACAGAGATGTGCCCTGTGTCTTTAACAATAGAAGGGGAACTGGAGTGGAGAGGGAGCGTGACACACAACTGTGGATTTGCCCTTCCCCTCAGCTGCCTCCCCCCCGTCCCCTCAGAGACTGACCAACATAACAAGGCTAAGCCTGTTAATGAGCCGCTGCTGAGGCACGAGCCTCGTGTCTGTGATGGAATCTGCAGTTGTCACACTGTTGATTTAGATTTTATTGTACCTAAGCCAAGGAAAATACCCGTTTCTGTTCATTCCAAAGGCTTTGGATGGGGTTGAGGTCAGGGCTCAGTGCAGGCTAGTTGAGTTCCTCCACTCCAACTTGATGAAGCATTCCTTTATGGAGCTGGCTTTGTGCACGGGAGCATTGTCATGTTAAAACAGGAAATGGTCTTTCCCATAATGTTGACACAAATGTGGAAGAGCATTAAGATTTCTCTTCACTGGAACCAAGGAGCCATGCACATCCCTAACAACTGAGCATGTGTGACATGTATCATATTATAATGATCATCTTGAGAGCTACAATCCATTGTGGGATTTGAGGCTCAGGATCTGCTGTTGCAGACTGTAGTGAGGAGGGTGAAAACCCACTAAGCTGATAAACGTGGGGAGCGTCTCACCACACAAGCTTCTTAACATGATCATGGACCATTTCACCATTGTCACATCCGTGTTGTTCACACCTCAAAACCACCAGAGCCGTTT